CTACGTGCAATGTGATGGGGCTCCTACACTTGGCAGTCGTAAACCAAACGGGCGACCCCCCTCTCAGAAGTAGTTACCCTGAAGATACATCAAAATAACACATCCAAAGAGTTGGATTTCCAGGTTGTCGAAACAATAAACAAGCCTCTACTATCTGCTGAAACCTGCGAGAAACTCGGACTGTTTAAGCTTACCATCTCAGACACAGTACAAGTAAACAGTGTGGGTCCAGTATCAGTAAAGATGAGTGCTCCACTGATCAGAGAGAAAGTCTTGACCGAATACAAGGATGTGTTCAATTGCCTTGGTCATATAGGAGATTCCAGCAGTTTCACTATCGATCCAAACTATCCCCTAGTACAACACATGCTGAGATACATACCAGTGACTCTGCAGAAAGAAGTTAAGGAGAAGATTGCAGAGTTGGAGAGGAAAGGCATTATACAAAAAGTGGCTGAGTCCACTTCATGGATTAGCAGCATGGTGGTACTTGAAAAGTTTCCTCCAACTTGTTCACCCTGAAATCTAAGGAATATATTGTGCTTACAGACAGTTACTCAGATTTCATAGAAGTTGGTGAGTTGAAGGACATGACCACAGTGTACATCATAAAGTTTTTCAAAGAGCAATTTAGCTGTTACAGCAGACCTGATGTACTTGTCACCAACACCGCCATTTGAGAGTATACGTAATTTTCCAGGGAATGGGAGTCTAAACACATGATGTCATCACCCAAGCATGTCAAATCCAACAGTAAGGCCAAAGCGGCAGCAGAAATAGTAAAGAAGATTTTCAAGAAAGCATACAGAGACAACAAGGACCCTTGGCTGGCATTGATAGATCAGCGCAACGTGCCTAAGCAAGGTGTTAATTCTAGCTTAGAACAGAGACTGATGGCATGAAGAACATGTACACTGTGACCCATATTAGCAAATCTTCTGTACCCCAGAGTAGAAAAGTAGTGTTTTTGTAGATAAACTGTCAATCAAAAACATACACAGGCTTCTCTAAAAATGGCGTGTTCACTGTATGAAGTGTAAACAGCCTACTTGCAAAATTTTACTTGTGATGCAGTAACACAGAAGAAAAACCGTTTTTTTTTTAAACCATTATGAAATGGAAGCTTTGAGTATACCCAAAAAAAGAAAAAAGCTTTGGTTTTCTGAATTTAATGTTCCACATATTTTCACGAGAGTATTTTACTGAATTATTTTGTTACAGATTCCAGGGATGGATAATCAACCCAATCCAGCACCTAAAATCCCACAAGAGGATTTGGATGAAGAGGTACAGTTTACATATTGTGAACATCATAATGTTATGTTTGTGTGTGAAACAAACAGCCAAATGAGTACACCCACCAGGTGCTAGTAGGTGGATTTCCCTATTCCATTCTGTAACAGACTAGGTGTGAAGTTTTGATTGTTGTGGCTTTCTATTTACCTTTGGTTTTGTCATTAACAAGGCTGCAACTAGTACAGAAAAAATTAGATGGACATTTTAACAAAAGATATCACTAACTGTTGTGTACTTTTTCAAATCTCTTTTCACAACTTTAGGCTGCTTTGCCACTTAAATGTGCAATAGTGATGTTTGTGTTGTTAATCTGAGTTGAGATGTGTTTGTATTGTTAATCTGAGTTGAGATGTATAGGCTACATGTTCCACCTTTTTGATGAACAAAATAAAAGGCAGATATACACTGTATGTTTTTGGATGGTTACATTTTTGAGACTAGGAGTAAATAGATGCATAACTTTCTTCCTTTCTACTTACAAAAAGTAGAGTAAGAAAAACAATATGAATACATTCTTGTCACTTGTGTTTCTGCAGTCCCTCTACTTATATATTTGCAGACAAGTTAATAATTATTGCAATTATTGCATTATTATAATGTGGTCCATTTTGCTTTGAAATCTAAACCCTTTGGGTAAAATCCCTGATTGCTTCATTCAAGGAAACTTGCTCTTGAACCTCTTTAAACAGATAGAAAATCAACATGGTATTCTAATTGATGAAGAAATCTTCAACTTGGAAGAAATTAAACGGCGACTAGAAATGATAAAAGCTCTACTGTCCTTACTGCTGCTGTGTCTTCACTTTTACAGGTAAAATATCAAAAACAAAGTTCATTTACTAAGAAAACATTTCTGAGGTACATTTGCTTTACATGCACGGAAAATTAACACAAAATGAAGATAAAAAAGATTAATGGCAGTAATTTTGCTTTGGTTATTCAAATATTTGTGCCCTCCACCTCAGTAGACTTTCTTGGTTTCATCTGATTTCCTGCTCTTACAGTTTTGGAATGCTGCCATGAATGATTTAAATTAAAAAGAATGGTAGAAGCCATGGACAAATATAACCTAATACAGACCTATTAATTTGGTAAATAACCTTTTAATATAATTTTATTTAAATTAAACATTGTTTATGCTACTTGATCAAGATCTTGAAAATCTATTCATGATTGCCCACCACCTAGATTTTAGGGTGAAAATCAAAAGCATCATATTGGTTATTAGATATTTTTGTCAAGTTTACTTTGGTGTTTAAGTTATTGGGGACCTTGAGTGAAGCTTCATCATTTGATAATCCTTACTGGTACAAGTCTTTTGTGACTGCTTTTTAAGTCAGTAAGGGACAAGAGTTCTACTGTTGTCTCAACTGCCTTTGTAACATTTTATTTTTCTTGTCATATAATTAATTTAAATGAGGAATTATAGATGATACTGCCTAAAAGGCATATCTATGACTAATTTTAGTGAAAAAAGTACTGAAAGTAACATGTTTACAAGTAATTATAGGGTGGTTAACAATCCCAGTTTTCTTGTTGGGGGATACCAGTTGACAATTCACAACTCAGTAAAGGAGTTCAATTTTGAACATGATGATCAGTCAGCTAAGAACAAATTCTGTGGGTGCATGATGGAAAGCTCAAGTTAATCAGTTGATCAGTCTTACCAGAGACCATGCCAAGGTGTCCATGCTCTGCTCACTTAAATGAATGTTTTGAAGACACTGAGGAGTGACTTGTGACATTGTTTTATTCATTTTCAGCATTGCTCCCTCTGAGAGAGACTAGACTCATCAAAATTTGACATGGAAAGAAGGTGATGTTACACTTAATATACTTTTATGCCAATCAATTTGACTATTGACTGAGCCTGGGGAGTGGGGAATTTGAACCTTGCTTGGTTGGGGTGGGGAATTCGAATTGTGTCAAGTCTTTCCAATGGAATACGTCTTTTGTCTTTCAATATGGTGGTTTAAAGGTAAATAGTTCATGAGCGAATGGTTTGGAAGAAAGGGTTCACAAGGGTGAGGTTCAAAGCGTGGTCAGTGAGTAGAAAGTCACAATTGTTGTTGGGTTTGCTTTTTACCAAAATACTGACCATCTAATCTGGCACTCATGTAGGGCATTCCAAAAAAACAATCTTCAAAAGTTCAAATGCCCAGCAAGAGGGGGGCATGTTGAAGCTTCGAAATGACCAATACTTATTTCTGGCAAACTCAGGACCAATAATATTTTTAAGCCCATACACTTCTTCCTGAGCTAAAACTTGACCCCAGAAATGTTGGATGGGTAGAACACACTTCAAAAAAAGTCCTTTTTCTTCTTACATAACTCAGTTTAAATAGAAAGGAGTCTAACAATTGCTTTTGTTGCGCAGAAAAATTTTATACCTGTGTACCTATGTTTGAGATGCAATTCCACAAGTCACCATGGTATATAGATGTTTTACTGAATTGATGCAAAAACTCCCTTAGAGGTCACCTTTTTTAATTACACAGAATTTGAATACAGGGTTGTTCTTCATCCAAGTTCACCTAATGTTTTCTTTTTATTTTATTCAGGTTGATATCAAGAGCATGGATAGCTTTGCTGCAAAGAAATATTTACTAAGTCTTTTTAATTAGTTGTTGTAAGATAAAATTCTTGGAATGGCAAAGGCTTTCATTTGTATGATACATAAAATATATGGCACTTTTATATGGCTCAGCTTTCAAGTTTGCCTTTTTTAAGTCTTGGAATTGTGAAGTATTTTTAGTAGTTTTCACTGCCATGGTTTTATAGATTGTACGTATGGCCAGTGTAAGGCTGTGACTCGTTTGTATTGTCACTAAACTATGGTTTGGCTTTGAAGTAATCCTTTGTCGGTGTCATGAACCTTAAGTCATTTGATTAAAATGTATTTTAGTGGTTTTGCTACCATGATTGTCTTCATGTCTCACTAAAGACTTTGATGCAATACTCATGTACTTCATACTCTAGAAAATAACCATACTCTAGTTGTCATGACTTTTATCTCCCCTCAAAAAGATCTTTGCTGAATTTGTTATATTGGCCTTCCAAAGAGATACAAACAACAGCCTCCATTTGGTGTCACAATTATGAGAAGAGGAGGGGGGGGGGGGAAGAGGATAACCTGCAATGAACTTGATTCCCATCCAGTGGGATCTGCAATATTTTTTGTCACTTGGTTCCACAGAACTTGGATAAACTGCAGCTGGATGGGCTGCATGGCTCAGGTGTAGAACTTTTCAAATTCTGTTTATCTGGCAAATTTTTCTTTCCTTGTGTTGCAATTTTTAACAAAGCAGCATACATGGAATTAATAATTATCAGATGATAATTATTAATTCCATGTATGCTGCTTTATACCCCTCTTACTCCTCAATGGAAACTTATTTTACATTTTTGTTACTTTACAGAGTTACAAAAAAACTTTTCCTGCCATTCCTCAGAAAAAAAAAATTCATTAAAAGACAGTTTGGTTCATTTGGTTTCATTCATAACACATTTTGTTTACTAGTGAATTGAATAATCTGTTCTGTAACAGAAATCTCATGACAGGTCATTAGTTTACATATTGAAGTAAAGTAATCTTCAAGGTGTCTGTTAAAAGTAAAAAGCTTTGTTCCAACAGGAGTTCCACAAGAATGGTACACGGGAATTTAAAAAATAAATTAATCCTTTTTCTTAGTTTGTGTTGTACTAAAATTTTATTGTCATTGACATCAAACATATACATCACAGCTGGACATATAGCATCCACTCAACCATGCAAAAAATACATTCTGCACTAAAAAATAGCTTCTGTTTCAACTGATGTACTGCCCCAATTACATATCTTCAGTGCTCCATTTATATGCATTTGTCTGTGCAGCAGCTTTGTTGGCTAACATGGCAAATCGTTTGTTCTCAAAGCCATTCGAGCGGTTCACACCATCCCAGCGGTATCCTGGTCTGATGTTAAATCTGTTTGGGGGAGGATCTGGGCCCTTGTACACAGGTTTTTCTGTCAAAAGGAAAAAAGGGGTGCAAAGATATGTAAAAAAAAAAAAAACACAGCAGAGTATTGATTACTAAATTTACTTGTTCAAAAGTGCAAGTCAGGTGAGCTTCAAATTAAACCCTTTCTACCCTAACATCAGTGAGCATATTCTCCACACTGTTCTCGATACATTTCTTGAGGTGCTAACAAAGACAATTTGTTTGTCAATAAAGAGCTTCTTGTTTGAATGAGTAGGTGATCATTTTCTTTATTCTTGTGGCTTCAACATTTTAATCAGCGGTGAAATTGTAAGGAGAAATTAAATACCAGTCCCTCTAAGAGGTCAAAGGGTTAAAGGGACAAAAGTACCAAACAGTTAAGATCTCATAAGTAACTCTCCTCACTGTTTGCCATATAGTTCTTGTGATGTTAGTTCAGAGAATTTGGTATTGGATCAACTAATAATCCCTTTACTATTATTTTTCTTTATTCTCACCACTTTCATACTTGATACTGTATTGATATTGTAAGGAGAAATTTTGTCTTGGTCACTTATGAGTTAAAGGGTTGAGAGCTTTTTTTACAGCATATGGATGGCTTTACCTGTCATGTTTAGTTAGAATCATAAAAACCAAACCCAAAGTATATCTACAAAAATGCATGTGTTATTACATTGAAGCAAACCAGAACAAACAATACTGCACTGAAACCAGGGAGAACTAGAAGTCACTAACATGTGAAGCAACCTTAATCCTTTGACCCCTGACAGTGAATAGTATCCTAATTTTCTTTACAATACCATCCCCGGATCACTCAGTAAGGTCACAAGAATAAAGGAAATGATCACCAACTAAAGAAGCTCTTGATTGATAAACAAATTGTCCTTGTTAGCACCTAATGAAATGTATAGAGAACAGTGTGGAGAATATGCATACTGATGTTGAGGTGTAAAGTGTTAAGTATAGGGAGATAATTGTTAGTAACTATAATGTGATCCATTTTAGTAAGTGTTGCCTCCTTTTAGAACTTCATTTTGCAGTCTCAACACAAATTTCTAATACAATTTTTCATAATGGCACTAACAATTATGTGGTTTATGGAGCATACTTCTCCCTAAACATCAATCAGTGTGGTAAAAAACAAAATTTCAACATTACTCCTGTGATTGGCTTGAGAATCCCTTTAAAGCTCTCCTGTAAACAAAATCCAAGTTGATAGCCAAAAGACACAAACCTTTCTTTCCCTCCATTACATTCTGTTTAGCCTTTTTCTGCTTCATGTAAGCCAACATGGGATCGTCATCTCTTTCCTGATCTTTCAACATTTTATCTAGGTCAACATCATCACGGTAGCGAGCCAGTGGTTTATCCACTTCATGTAGATAATCAGCAACTTTTTCCTCATTTTCTCTAGTTTGTGCTACCCTGTTGACAAAAAAAAATGCAAAAATTTTAGTTGAAGAAAAAAAAAACAAAAGCTCAGATTAGGTTTAAAGTTGCCTGGAGTTGACAATGCTCTCTCTCGTGATTTTGATATTATCAAATGTAAAAATTCACTGTCTCAGTTAAACAAAGACATTTTGAAGGGACAAATAAAATTAAATGATCTGAGGAGTGTACTTATCTTCTACTAACTGGGTGATGTTGGGAGGGTCAGGAAATATGGGAATGATCAGTTTAAGTGAAATGGTAGTGCCTCAATGGTCAACTTCTTGCATCCAATATGAATTCATCTGAATGCCAATTTCTGTTGCTCTGAGGAAAGTTTCAATCTCATTTTGTGCAAGTAATTAACCAACTATACCTTCATATTTTTTTCGGGAGAGGGTTGATTTACTAGGGATTACATTGGGGCTTGCATTTTCACAGATCTACCATAATGAAAACACTCACCCTCTTCCCCACTCCATAAATTTCTCATTCTCTTCTGTCTCCTTTCTTTCCTCCTCCCTTCTTTTAATTCTCTCTAACTTGATGTCCTTTTTTCTTCCCATTTTATCTCGGTACACTGTTTCTGAACCTTTGCCTGATATACTTGGATCCATTGTAGCAAACATTTCAGCTTCTCTCTGCCGTTTCCTTTCATTTTCTTGCTTCAAGTCACTTCCACTCAGAAGACCAGCTTTCTGTCCTACACCAACAGAAAAAGTTTAATCATTTTAGGAAGTTTATAGAGGCAGATCACATACAGTTCTGAGAACCTCTAACATAAAAGAGAAAAAAAAAGTCAAATACCAGCAAACATTCCCCAGCTAAAAGGGGAACTACATGTAAATCTAGTTTCTAAAATACTTGGTCACATTCTCTCCTTGTAAGTCTGGACCATTGTTTGTTCACAAAACTCAGTCCAGAAAAAAATTAACTTTATGTTGATTACAGATGGCTGGAAAAATTCAGAAAATATGGAGCTTTCTCTAAACTTTCAGCAATGCAACACCTGTATAACTTTGCAACTTGAAGATCAAAAGCAAAGAAATAAACTTCACAGTTTCACTAACCACTAGCCATTCTTTCTTCACGTTTATCCACTCTCTTTTGTTTCCCACTTTCTGTTCTTATGTCTCTCCTATCAGGCTTTTTTTGTCTTCTTGGTGGTGACTGGTCTGAATCACCATTACCATGTTTTCTAGGGGGTGACTGATCAGATTCAATGTTTGCACGTTTTCTAACAGGTGACTGATCAGAGTCACTATTTGCTCTTTTCCTTAGCGGTGATTGATCCAATTCTTTATTCAGTTCCGACCTGGGAGGTGAAAGGTCGGAAGAATCATTCCTATGTCTCCTCACAGGAGACCTATTGGGACTTTCTTGTAACCGTGGTGAATCAAGACTGTGATCTTGTGACTGCTCTGGTAGAGAATCACCAGAATCATGCCTTCTCCGCCTCGCTCTTGGAGGACTCTGATCTGCTGCGGGAGAGGCATCTTTCCTCCCATTATGGATTGAAGGTGAATCTCTTACAGCTCTACGCGAAGATTTTTTCCTAGGTGGTGATTGGTCTAAGCTGTAAACATCTCCACCACGTCGAGGAGACAAGTCAGGTGTATCCAGTCTCTTTCTGCCTGTCATTCGTGGTGTTGGGTTCTCACTCTCAAAATTTAATCTATCCTCTTCCTCTCTATATGACTGAGTCGCTCCACTTATCGGCGCCCACTTGTTTCTTTGGTCTTCCTCTCTTTTCTTGAATGATTCTATCGATACTTTTGTGATACCATCTTCTTCAAAAACTGCTGGAGCTTCGTCAACATCGCCTTCCAGTTCGTTTACGTCTTGTGCAGAATCATAAACTTTAATATCTCTGATATCGATATCATCATCCACAATGATAGATTTTGGATATTTTGAAGAGGCCTTGGGAACTTTCTTTCTCTTCTTCTTTTTTTCACCTTCGGAATTTGACAAATAACGTTTGAGGTACTCTTGCTTAGAAATGGCCGCCATCTTGAAAATAGTGATGCGCTAAAAGGGTGGCGCATATGTTATTAGAGACACTGCTGCGAAAACGCTGGCTCGCAATCAGCTGAAAGAAAATTGTAATCATCATGGCTGACTGGGAAGAAATAAAGCGACTGGCGGCTGATTTTCAACGCGCTCAGCTAAGTAGCACAGCTCACAAACTCTCAGAAAGAAACTGCATCGAAATAGTTCAGAAACTAATCGGTTTGGGGCTGGTTGAGGTTATTTACACGACAGATGGCAAGGAATATCTCACCCCACAACAACTTGAACGGGAGATAAAAGACGAATTATTTGTTCACGGCGGTAAGTATCTGTGTTACTTTGGTTCTTGATTACTAGTTTGGAATGATCCTTAGCGAAGTTGTCACTTTTCTGTTTCAGGGAGAGTTAATTTGGTGGACTTACAGCAGGTACGTTGACTTCATCTTTAATTTCCATTTCAGTGAGGTAACTTTTTTCTCTATTTCATATCCACGTGTGTCGATTTTAAAAGATGACGTGTATTTAATTATTACATCCAGTTCCTTAAAAATCTGTATTTGTGGTTGCCATAACGAAAACCTTGATGTATCAAGAGTAATTTTCATTTCTTTGGCAAATTTTCAAGCCGAAATGTTTCTACTGAAGTGTACATTTTTGTCATGTTTGTTTTAATTAACTCGCCATGCCTTTCGTGAGCTTTTAAAGGTTTGTCAACGGAAAAACAATTAATTTTTTACCTCTCATCGAATATTATCCTAAGAAAGCAAGAACTATACTTGTGTTATAAGCAACCGAAAACTTAAAACTAGCTTTTCCAATTCTTGGAATATTACATACATGTCATATGCAAAGTGGCTTCAATTCACTTATGTTACCTTATTATTAATTAATAAATAAAGAAAAACAACATTTTAACCACATCTATCACCTTTAATTTAATTATGTCAATCATGTTTTTGGTTGTTGTATCAAGCTTTTACTCGTATGATGCGTCAGCTGGGGAAATCCTTAACCTTTCTTCTGTGGAAATTGAAAAATGATTACCAGCCCTGTGTTGCCTTTCCTCAGATGGTAGAGAAGTTGGCAGGATGCTAAGCACTTACTATTTTGATTCTTGCTAGATTATCGGAGTAGATCTGACCCATGTTGAGAATAAGGTTGCCGAAATTGTCAAACATGACAAAAATTTGATTGTCATCCAAGGAGAACTTATTGACAAGTAAGAATCAAACTAACATTTACTATTTGAAAAAATAGGTGATTCACAGCGTAATAGCTGATTGTTTGTATGTTACAGACATATTTCAGTAACAGAGATCCCTTTATTGGACTATGGGGTTTTAAAACTTTATCAAACACTGAACTTCCTCATTTTTAATGAAATGAATTTCATTTGATCTACAAATGAAAACAAGTAAAGCAATTATCCTTGAAGGTGAGATGCAATTTACTGAAAGAAATTGCAGAAAAGAAGCCAGAAAAAATTCAGGCTTTGCCAGATTCAAATGATTCAAATGCATACCCCCCAGATACTTAATCTTTAATCTCCCTAGTCATTCTAAGCAGCACATGGCAGTTTGTGGTCTTTCCCTACATCTAGCCATATCAGAAAGCTGAAAAACTCTAGAACAAAAATTTATCTTTCAAATCAGTTCTTTCAATCCCCACAGTATCAATGAGTGCTTTTAATTCAACTACTTTATTCTTGTTTTTTTTCATCATATTCCCACCAATAGTGTAGCTCCATTTTTTGCATATATACCCACACACAACCCACAATTCCTCTTATCACTTTGATGAAGGGCTAACGCTTGAAATGTCAGCCTTTAAACTCTTTATGTTGGCCAATTTACTTTATAAACTCAGCTACAAACTGAGCTATGTAGCAATTGCTTAAATTGCAGCATCTGTGAGGATCATTGCTTTACTTGACTACTCTTCATTTCATGGAACACCTTTGCCAAACAGATCTTGGAGCCTCAAATCACTTCCAACTCCTTCATCCCTTCCAAATGTCCCTTCCCTTCCCCAACCCTTACACAGTTATAACTGCATGTTACCAGCCAGGCAATGTTGATTGTAAGGAGGGGGAAAAAAGTTACCATTATTACATTGTTTTTTCAAGAGAAATGTTGCATAAACAAGGAAGTGTTCAAACAGTTGTTTTCTGAGATTGGAGCCATCCTAACAGCTTGTTAACATTCTTTTAACTGTAATTTCTTGGATTACAGTAACTACTTAGACCAAGTTGCAGAAGAGATCAACGACACTTTACAAGAGTCTGGACAAGTTGTTATCTCAGAGTTAAGCAAGACATTTACACTCTCCACTGACTTCCTACTTGAGGTGAGCTATGCAACAGATTATTTCCTATGGATGTGCTACAAATTTGATGAACATAATGAAAAGGCGATCCATATTGCTGCAAAAATATAAAGTGATTTTGTAAGCAACTAGGAGTCATCAAGTGTTTTTAAGAGGCAGGATTTCATAGTGACACAATTATGAGTGCCAGCTGTCATGTGCACATATAGGAGGGTGTAGAAGGGCCTTTTCTATTTGCTTGTTTGAGCTGGTGAAACCTATCCTCAAATTAGGAATAACAGTTACAAAATTATGTCTGATGTATCCATCAATCAATTGATTTTGTTGCTGTACTCTTGGAGTTTTAAAGATTTGCAAAAATAGTGAAGGGTAGCAAACAGAAGGTTACTGATTACAAATTTCATTAGGTCAAAAGGATTAAATTTATAGAAATTGTTCCTTTCCTATGAGTCAAAGGTAGCATAAGTGTTTTTAGCTCACCAAAATAGAGATTACTCTTTTTTGATTACCATAGATTGTTGAGAACAGATTAGGGACAATCATTCATGGACAACTTGATCAATTGGAAAGAGGTGTCCTGTTTACTGATGCATTTGTAGCACGGCAAATGGCTTGCATCAGAGGAGTCTTTAGTGCTGTCACAAAGTATGTCACTTAATGAAAAATTAACACAATTTTATTGATGTTTAACTCAGTATTTCACTAACCAAAAGTTCCATGATCAACATCTGAAAGACAAGTCTTACTATGTGAAGGGCAAATAATAAAAACAATTTAGAATTGATGACATTGAGTTCCTATAAAATGTTATCAGTCTTACGTAGTAGGAATTCTAATGTTCCTTTTTTTGGGGGTGTTTTTCATTCAGTGGACAAAAAATTTTGTCATTTCATCAGTTCCAAAGAAAGATGTTAGATAATTTATTGATTGAGTTTAAGAGGGATGGACAATTTTTAGTCTCTTGCTTTGTTGAATAAAATCTGCATTTTGTTTATTAAAGAAACACAACAGGAAAGTTAGTGAACTCTGATGTTAAGAAGAAGTTAAGTTATCTTCCTAATGACTTAGTCTTGATACATTTTCTCCTTTTGTTTGTTTCTAAATTTGATTAGCTTTGTTTACATGTAAAAACGTTTTTATCTTTGTCATCAGGTTATGGATAAACTAGCAAACTGGGTGATGTTAATTATGGGTATTTAACCAAGCTTTTTTCTTTTTTTTTTTTAGGCCCACACCTATATCAAGTCTTATGGCTCAGTATGGATTTCAAGAAAAGCTACTTTATAGTAAGTGGTTAGTTGTCCTTGTGATAACCCTGCTTAGCAGGCATAAGAACAAATTATTCTTTTAATTGAAGCCCCAGTGTTTGATTTGGCACAGGTATTTCATTTCTTTGCCACCTCTACCCCCTTATTGTTTTCTTCACTCCAGGCTTTTTTCTCAGTAAGGGGCATGGTAGCTTCAATACTAGCTAAAAATATTGAAGACACCCACCCCCTTAAAGTATGTTAGCTGAACACTCTTTCTGTGGTGTGCTCTGAGTGCAGCAGTATCTCAGAATATTTTGGATGTTTGAAATGACTTAAGTGGCAATATTTGAAATGTGTTGTGTACAATCCATCCATGACAGTTTTTCTTTCGCAGTGGATATAGACCAGTTGTGCTCTGACGGCCGTATATCAGGAAGTATACAAGGGAGACAAGACAAGGCTGTATTTGTTCCAGATATCTACTCCAAGACACAGACTTCTTGGATAGATGACTTCTTCAATCAGAATGGATACGTAGGTGAGTAACTGTAGCAACACTTTTCATTCAAGTGACTTCTTATTATGTTATTCTCTAAGAAATCATGTACCCTATAATATTTGCCAATACTTAAAAGAGTGTCAGCACACTCGTGGTGTGGTGCATCTTCAAAAGTGACACTTAAGTGGGATTGTGGTTAATATGTAAAATTTCCCGTCAAGAAATAACATTACTCCTTTTTAATTTAACCTTATAATCCTTTGTTTTGTTCGAAAAGATAACTAAAGCATTAAAGTCTCAAAGGAATGTAACAAATTTGAGATCCCAAGTACAAAACAACAAAAATAACTTGTCATGTGAAAATAAATTAATAGACGTCTGTTTTGAACAGTAGCTCATTACCCACTCTGGATCTTAATAATTCCAAGTAGAAGGCTATGTGGTATATACAATGTATTAAATAAATGCCGTGTTCTTTCAAGGGTAGGACTTAAGAATGATTCTCCCTCGAAATTAGAAGTTCTTTCTCTATGCAATAATAAATGTTTCAATGGAATTTTTTTTGTTTAGAGTATGATGCATTGTCACGTCTTGGGATTACTGATGGAAGACAATTTCTAAAGAGAAGATTCCATAAGTTACCAGTGAAATTTCTGCCCACATGTTGTGTGGGTGAATCTTTACAAGGCCAGGTGGAGGCTGCTATTGATGAAGCTCTGTCTAGTGGTGAATGGATTGACATACTGGTGAGTGTTTTGATTACCTTGGATTTTTCTTTCTTTAATAAGTTAAAGGAATATACCAAAAACATGTCTCTTCACTTTGTGGGAACTTTGTAGTTTTTGCACTTCTCTCACTATTATATACAAGTATTTCTCTTGCACTGTATGTTAGTGATTAAGAGTTTCTTTCCTTTCCTAGCCTCTCCTTCCATCGCCATTCACTCCAGGGGATGCTTCTCAGCTGTTACAGGATTGTCTTAAGGCTGTTGGTAGATCGTCAGCTCATGTGTTCTGTGAGAGCATTGTGGTCAGTGAAAAGTTCCTTCAAGATTGTAAAGATCCCTTCCAACAACTGATGCAAGACAAAGCCAAAGCGGTAAATATTTAAGCTTTAACCTTAATGTTACAACAGTCAATTTTAGAAATTTGCCATTTACATCTAATGTTAGTTACTTCCAACCTTGTTCTTTGTTTTTTTGCGTTTTAACTGCCTAGTATTTTCATCCTTGGAGAACTCCGAGTTATAAGGTTTCCTTTTGTTAGCTGTTTATTAGAATACTGTCATGAACTGATTAGTTCATTTTTTCTTTTAGGATGCAATTAAAGCTCCTGCATTGTTCTCAGAGCTTACCAGAAAAGACTTGGCTTCTTTGGGTGCCTCCAAAGGAGGTACTGACAGACGGGACAACAAGAAAGAGGAGAGGCGGAAGAAGGCAGCCTCAGGAGGTAGTAAAGGAGGAGGAGGAGGCGGAGGAGGAGGGGGTGGTGGTAGTGGAGGTGGTGGTGGAGGCAGAGGAGGAAGAGAAAGTAAAACTCAAAAGGTGAGAGTGGTAAATAGGGGATTGTTTTTACTTCATTTAAATCATTGCAGTTATATACACAGCTTCCTTGCATTTTGTTGTGTTGGGATTCACAACTTTTAGTGGTAAATTCTAATTTTCTCTTAAAAAAAAAAAAATTCAAATCCTTAGGTACGTGATAAGAAAAAGGACCGAGCTAGAGATGAAGATATGGAGGAAGACATCAGACCTAAACAAAGCTCCTCTGATATACCCTTCATGACAGCTGAAGAGGTAAGAGTGTTTTGGTTTTTCTGTTTCTACATGGGTGTGTTTCTTGTTTGGATCTTTGTTTTCTTTGTTTTAGAAGTTTCCTCAAATTTCTCTTTTTCTTTAGTTCCTTTGTCTTTTTTAACTCCTCACTTAAGAATCACTGAACCCCAGCTGAGCTGAGTTGTTTTATAGCTTTGAGACAGTTTAAATCTTGTTTATGTTTTTCTTTCAGTTTTGTCTTGCGCCAAGTAAAACCCTTAAAAACATAAACCTTAATATATGCTTTATTTCAAGAGAAATCATGGACAAGTTCAGCTTTTAATCCTGGATTGTTGGTAACGCCCTTTCAAACAACCAGCCCCAGTTGGTTACTTGGCTCACTATAGCAGTGAAGTAAATTCAACTACAGCAGTCAAATAAAGTAGAGGGAACCTAGGTTGACTCAAGCATACTTTTGTGAATCATTGCCTGTTTTTGTTGCTCTTTCAATGTAGATATCAGAAGAATTACAGAAAAGATTTCCAAGTTGTCCAGAGGAACTCTTTGAAGAATTAGCTTCTTACCTGTTTAGGTGAAGAATCACTTAGAATAAAGAGAGCAAGATTTTCTTTAGGATTTGGATCTTTCTTAAACTTTACTAAATTTTTGAAGTTTAATTTTTTATTTTATTTCCTATCTTCAATTTTCATCTTTTGTTTACTGTAGCAATTACTCCAGAGGTGGTAAAAACTTCACAGAAATCTTGTAATTAACAAAACAGGGCTTTGCTAGCTTAGGAAAGCTATGAATTCCATGCTCTAAGAACTGTTGTATGCTGGCTATCTCTTAATCACATCTTTGAGTTGAGAACATCACTGTAATACTGAATAATGCAGCTTAGTTGTTCTTTAGAAGGTATTTTTTTGTGATTGTTTGGTTGCTTTTTATTTACCCAATAGACCACTGACCCAATGTTACCAAGAGGTGGCTCGGTCGGTCTTCCTTTCCACAGGAGACAAAAAACGTAAAAGTCATTCAGAGGTGCAGGAAAAAGTCAGTGTGCTGTGGGCAAATGCAAAACTGTTTGACAAAGGAATCAAATTATTTTCTGGTAAGTGACTTTTTAAAATACTCTTTGACTCCCAATCATGATCAGCTGATTTTTTTCTTGCTTTGATGGATCCACCTCAGACTGGGGACTTTAACCTTTCCCACCCTAACATCAGTTAGGGTGGGGGGGAAGGGACAGTGTAAGGAAAATTAGATGCTAGTCACTCCCAGGGTCAAAGGGTAAATGGTAACAGACACTGTGAAACCATTCCAAATCTGTGGTGGGTTCTGTAACTCTAAAGAAACCTTTGTCATGTGAATTATTTCATTTACCTCCATCAACTGCATGAGGGTGATCTGATTATTATCAAGATTTGGGTCAGATCTGTGAGCAACATTGAGTCTTGTTTTGTGTGGTTTTAACAGATGATGTACAAGTGCAGTTGTCCCGCCATCTTCTGCGAACGGTATGTACAGATATTGTAAACCAGGCAGTGGGTCTGTTAGCTGCTGACCACATGATCACAATCAATGACGAATCAACTCTAACTCCCGAGGTATGGATGTTATTATGTTACTTTCATTAATGCATGTTTAGTTTAGTCAGAATTTAACAGAGCACTTCCCTCTTAAAAATACCCTGTCTTTCTGAATTATCCCAGATTTGAAATTTCCTTGTGGAAATACATATAGTTTGCATGGGAGTCAAAAAAATATTTTTATAGGGAAGGCTCTGCACTCACCCTTGTTTTCAAATAGAGAATTTCATTATTTCCATAAGTGGAACAGTTATTCTGGATTGGCTAAGATCAGATGAAAATCTTCAAGACTTAATATGATAACTGCTTATATATTCATAAGACTTTCCATCACAAGACTGGGTATAATCTATTAGTTTTTGTCAGATTTTTAAAGGTGCATCTTTGCAAGCTTTCAGTTTTCACTACACTTGGTTTGATTCATTTGATTACACTGTATGTATGCTAACAAGAACTAAGCTATTATTAATAGTGATGATTCTTTCTTACACAGGATCGTCTGAAAGTAATTTCAAAATTTCCTGACAAAGTAAAAGCTGAGGTAGCCAAGTTGAATTCTTCATTAAATGGAAAGGTTTGTCATCCTTATTTTGTGTGATGAGTACCAGTACTTGTTTTGTATACTTATATGCCGTCTACTGGTTTCAAAGCAGTAAGTCTCTCACATCCTACTTTTTTCAGGTAACAGAAGATTTCTTTAACCAGTTTGATGTAATTTGTGGGAGTGGCTACTGCGAGTTTATGTTGAAGAAGTTGGATAAGAAAAGAGAAAGGCAAGTCTTGGGTATCACTTGTGGGCCTTAACCCTTAACTCCAATTAGTATACATTAGACTTACTATGAAAATTCTGATTGGTTAAGAGCATACAGTCAATATACAATAACAAGTGAAGTTGACATGATAACTCAACATCTGCAGCAGATACTGGGTTATCATGTTTAGCTCAAAGTCTGCTGAGTTTCCAAGCCTCTCTTCGGTGTAGCATTATCAAACTTGTGCAAACTCAGAAAGAAATGTCTTCTTTTGCAGATTATTTTGAAAATATATTTTAAAACAATTATTGATATCAGTTTTCACATATAATGATTTATCAAACCCTATGTCTTTTTTTATCTGCCTCATCCTTCGGCTACAGCAGATAGCTCAGACCTTAGCATTGACAATTCATGATATCATGCTCAACTTCATCCAATAATTGCCTAGGATCTTATCATTCATTCTCCCTTCTGACTGCTACACATTTTTCTTTAATCTGGTTATGAGAATTTGGCATTTAGATCAAGATAACTCAAACGGGATTAATTTAAGAATTCTCATGATATTTTTGCTGGATACTAACTATATGGATATTATAGGGAGAAACTACATGTTAATAAAAATAATATTATTATTTCTAGAGCGTTTGTACATTTCCATTATTATGCTATCTACATGTAGATGCAGCAGAGAGCTACTGTGTTTCCTACACAGTTCAAACAATTACATTTCCCTCAACAAGAGCTAGCTTTATCACAAATTTAGCCCAACAGGAATAAAAGCCTCCCTCTATCATCATGATATAATTTCTGAAGAAACTTTTGTCTAACGCCGTTCTTATCAAATGTTGTTACTGATGTGGCGGCCTTTTTTATTTATATTTGAATTTTATAGGCAGCTGACCGTTGAGCATCGCTGCGCTCTTCAGGAACAGTTACGTCAAGAAAACGAGCCTGCCATGGCTCTTCACCTAGCATCAGCGGTGTTATTCCAACACCACACTCACTGCATGGTACATGCGCCAGGTCGGTGCGTGCCTCAGATAATAAACTTTCTCAAAGATAAGTTAACATCCGAAAACTTCGACAAATTAAACCACTACATGACACTAGTTATAAAGCAACTGTCCGGCAACGAAGAGAATGCAGTGAAGAATGGTGACGAACATGAAAAAGAGGAAGAACACGAAGAGAGAACGATAGGAGCTCAACTGGAAGAAGGACTGGGAGACATCAAGCGAATAGCACTGGAGTTAAAAAAAGTCAAAGACGAATCTTAAGTTAAGATTAACAATTTTTTTTTTTTAAGAGCAAACGAAGCGATTTTGTTGCGTTACATCTTGCAATGTCGTATCACGCTACCATCTTTAAGTACACGTACAAAGAGCAGTGTTACTAGCCCTCAATCTTCACGGTAAAATTTGAGATACATTTATTTATTTATCTACTTATGAACTTAGCAAAATTCTAAAACGACAGTTTAAATGTTAAATTTACATAGCAATTGTACTTAAAATTAAGGAAAAAGTAGTCATATACGCTCGTATCATGACAACTTCTCCAAAGATTGGAATCATGCAACGTTCTTAAAATTTTTGTGGCGTATTGTTAGTACCTTCTGCCTATAAGATCCACAAACATTTCAAGTTTCAACGTAGTTTTATGATTCTGCGTCGAATTTTGGTCATTAGATATAAAAGAGATTAAGAGAATAAATCGTTACATTATTGGATCCTAGGTTTAGCTAGAAGAAGGTTCAGAAGTCACGTTGTCAACTGCTGTAAAAAAAAAGAAGTTACACTGGACCGTTGGTTGTAGGCTGTGGTTGATTACCTCATAATGCTTAAGTCTAGAAGAGAGGAAAGTACTTGAGTAATGGGAGGTTGGGGGGGGGGAAGAAGGTGCTCAATAACAGTACAACATTTCAAGGTCAACCTTTTTCCTGATGAAAGACAAATACCAAGTGAACAGTGAGTTTCTTTCTCTGAAGACAGGATAAACGAGATATTTCAGTAACCTTGTAGCTTCGTTCTTAATAATTTATCAGCCGTATAATCTGCAAAAATTATTTGACTCAAATTGTTCTTTGTTCTTAAATCGAATTTGGGTAAAGACAGCTTTAACATTTCATTTACTTCAATCTTCAAGAACCTCACAAACTTCCCATCGTTTACGAAGCTCTGCTCATTTGGTCCACCAACATCTCAAATAGCAAACCTTTTCAGCGGTTGCTGTCAAGGTTTGTTTCTAAGAAATGCAACTTTACCGAGGATCACTGCCTTAGTCTCGTATTCGTGACTCAATCCTTCTATTCATCTCTCTAGTCCGACTGTTGTTTCCCCAGCATATTTGGAAGAGCCTTCTTTTCTACCCCTGTGCCTGTTTCGCAGAGTGCTTAGCGCTCCTTGCTGTCAATCAAAACTAGACACAAGTTCAAACCATTGCCTCAGCGCGTCACTTAAAGTCACTGGTAATGCGTTGATATCCCTTAGAATGATGTAAAATGGAAAAGGAAATTGTTCCATGTAGGATTTGATCTCGGGTAACTTTCCTGAACGGAAAATCGGTACTCTGATGTCAAGAACCGAGTCTTTGTTAGCTGGGTTGTCAAGTATTACAAATACCATGAAGATATCTGTCTCCCTTGCTAGTCGTACAGCCTTTTGAACAGTCTAAGGGAAGAAATAAGGCCGTGCCAGTTATTAAATTATCTCTCTACGGTGGCCAATTTACGAAATCAATTCAGTTGGTAAACCAAATTACGTTGTAATACCCCCACCAACGCAGCACCACAAATTATTGAGAGACTTGCTCCCTTTATCCATACTTGAACAGAGCGCTTTTCAGTTGTATGAGACGAACACCAAAACCTGAGTTATCACTATGGCCAATCGGAAAAGAAGACAAATATCGCAAGGATCCAATGATAATTCAAGTAAAAAGAAGCTAATGATCTTATGAACGAGGAAACGCTAGTGAGCAATTGTCAATTAGTTTCACTTTTTAATTTGTTAAGTCGGGAGAGTGGCGCGAGATTTCTCTTCAAATCAATGAGCTTTCTAAAGTAAAACCAAATGCAATCTTCGACTACTTTCGAAGATCAACTTCCAGAAAATTCATATAAAAATTGTGCATGATTAGCTCACTAACCTCCATCCCCTCCAGAAATATTCCTCTGCCATCAGACACAATTAGCAATAACTGGCTCGTTTCTCTTCTCATCCGGGGAGACACTTGTAACCGTGAATGTGACGCCACCATTAAACTTGTACACGTACTTAAAAGCTACATATAAAGGTATAAAAACGCAGAGACTTAGAGTGATTTCTATGGCATTATCTCGGATAGCTGTAATACTATTGCCTGCTCTGATAATGTTCTCATCGAAAAAGTTTGATGATAGAGTTTCACCATCATTCCCTTAGGAAACACGAAATATCATACCAATCTCACCAGCAACCAAGACTACGGATATTTACGATTGAGAGTAATATTACAACACAAATGGAAAGTATGCAATAATTGAGGTCAATAATTTAATTGAAATTCACTAGTTAACCCTTTACCTCACAAGATCTAATTTGCACCTCTCCCTTCCCGTTACCATAGAATCCCTTTAAATTTGTTGGGAGAATTTGATCGTGTATCAAAATAAAAATCGCTATCCGATATATTGATTAGTCTGTTTGCGATATAGGATACAAAGGATGTATTGTTTAAAGTCCCTAGGCGTGGCTTACTTCGGCTATCTTGGTTTTCTTCTGATCAAAAGTGAACTGCTGTAGAATTCTAGCTCCTGAGTTATCTGTGAAGGGTTCGTGGAATGGATGCAAGAGGCAGACAGTTTCCCCAAAACTAAAATATAAAAACACACACACACAAAAGCAAGTGTAACGTTAGACTCATCCACAATTTCACCATCCTAACACACTTCTATTCCATCGATCACTAATTCTCAGCCCTTTCACTTGACGCAATTTTTACAGGGCACACAGAAAACAAAGTCGAAAAGGTCAGAATAAGTTCAAATTTCCCACAGGAACATACGCGCAAATGTAAGTCACACACGCAGATGAAAACGTTTCTCATTATGACCTTTTTGTTCCTATAACTTCTAACAAGACCTACTGACTATGAACGCTCCACAGTTGCAGTGTCAACATGCTTTGCTGTGCTTCTGCTCCTTCGAGTTCAACACCGATATGCTGAGGCTGTAAATTGCACTCACCTACAAACACCCAAATCCCCAGCTTCAAGTCTGGTTAAAGCATTGCTGATGACAGCTAACGACTCAAACGCCAGCTAGAGCGATGTGATAAAAAACAGAATTCAGCATTATAGTGTATCAATCTGAGAAAAACATTCGCTGGAACTGCACTAAACACGCCACGGTACAAACTGGTAAAGTAGTTCTTCCTTTTGGAATCTGACTGACATGTATGAAATGGCGACGAGTTTTCTTTTAGTAAACAAATGGGTGTAATCTATAGAATAAGAAACCTTTACCATTAAAATCAAATGTCAAGTTTTCTACTTGAACTTAAAATTTCCTCAAGTTAGAGTTCTTCATCTCAAACTAAAGTTAGTTGGCTATAAACAGACTGACGACCTATGTTAATTTTGGTGAAAACAAATAAAATTCTCAATTTGAGGCTGCCAGACTTCAGCAGTATAGAAAAGGTAACGCACAACTGAGCTTGAACTTTCAGCCGGCCAATGACAAAGGCTATTTCCTAAAAACCATAAAAATGGAGGGACTCTTCCATAGTTCAAGACTGATCGCAGCCTGCGTAAATCGACGTTGGGGCAAGATCTGACCTGTCAATCAGTCTTGTCCCAATCTCCTCCCACACGATCACAAAAGGGTTCCCAGTCCATATCGAGACAAAGGGAAACTGTTAGCAACTTTCAGTAGTCCCCAGGCCTTTCTCGTGATTACCTGTTTAGAGCGATTGTCATTCATGCTGGAAGAGTCATCCACAGCCAGCATGATCTGGTACTGTCTCTTACTCGGCTTCGTCCTCCTCAGCCAGATTTTGTCCTTACGGAACTGACTAGCAATGTAAGGGATCACTTTCCTCATGTTTAACCGTTTTCCTGATCGATAATCGCCCCTGTAAACAAATGGTAAGGTCACTGTGTCATCAAACAGTGAAAGGCGCTCAGACTTACTTGTTTTTCGTATGTGAGAAAAATTTCAGGCCATCGAGGATCATTTCACAGTTTTCTCACTGTTCAAAATGTTTCCGATTTCCAGACATCACTGCCCCAGGTCCTCTCAATATTTAACTTGGCGGTTTTGGAGCCAAACAATACTGGGGATCGGTAACGAGCTTAAGCATTCTTATATCTCGATTAATTTCCAATTGACGCTAACATTTTGAATACGTAAGGAAAATGAGATGCCCTTTCCCCAATTCCACATTCTCCCGAATTACCCCCGACCGTCCCCAACCTTCGGGAATGTATACGATTCTGCATTAATTAGCACACTCTTGGACGGTCAAGACAAAGTGAAGTCTTTCTTAACACGAACAGACCAGCCATTGGATATAAATAGTGATAAACCAGCTGAGTTCTTATCACTCGACTCTCGGACTCTCAAGAAACACTTCGTAATTCTGCCCACTAGCCTCTTCAATATTCTGAAAGGGTACAGGTATCTGAAGAGACTCCAGGCTGAGACGAATTAAGTATTAAGCAATTCTTTAACCTCCACCAAAAACAGTAGGTTACAATAAAAAGCTTCACGAGCTATATTCAACATACTTAAGCTTGGTGGCCAGTGACGGTTCTAAGACCAGTCTCAACTGTTCGCAAAGATCCTGAGACAGATTGGACGTGAGAAGCTCGTACTTGCGCCACGCCTCTTGAGCCATTTGCTGCTGCTCGGCCGTGCCTCGATCCATGCTGCTCCATTCTGCTAACTGATGTTCCAGATCAGCTCTCACCTTCTCAGGATCCAGTGATGATATATCCTTCGAAATAAAAGGGTCCAACGGTAAAAGACAAGCGTGTACATTTCTTTGTATGAAACAATTATCCCTTAAGTAAAAAGAGAAAAAGTAAAATACGGGCACCAAGCATTGGGCTATTGCCATCAACTAAAAATATGGTTGAACATCTGAGAAAAAATTCAAACAGGTAAAGAGAGGCCAGTATTTGTTTCTTTTTGCTCCCTTCTGGACAACAACGAAACTCCCTGAGAACTAACTGCTGTTAGGACCCTCAGGTATTCTATCTTTTTGAATACAGCGAGCAACGTAAACTGCGTTCTAGTTCTAAACAACACTGTTGAGTCTTACCAATCTTCCAAAGGCCAGTGCCATGTCGGATGAATGGTAAGTACTGCGTAAACGCTCAGCTGTCATTCCTTCATCATCATTGGTTTCCATGGCTTCCTCGACAGCCTCACTTTCGCGCGCCTCGTTTCCATCTTCATTATCCGCTGTCAGCTTGGGTTTCATTGGTGGAGGAAGTCGGGACAGCTGGGACTTATCTGGTGTCTAATAGGAAAAACAACAGTAAATGGCCATGTAGTACCTTACCTTTCTCCAAGCCCTATTAGGAAATATTCAACTTGTAGAGAGACTCCTCTTAAAATTGACGACCTCCAGTGCAGATCTACGTTTGGGTGTAGAGAGACTCAGTACTTAAACATACATAAGGGGTGAGGTGAGGTGAGTCTAAGGACGTCCATCTGGATTATTAATCCAAATACATTCAACAAACTAGGATAGCATCATTCTCCTTGAAAATGGCACCGTTTTCTCTGCTGCCCTTGGGCAATCAGAAATTCGACTTTACAAATTAGCTTCTTTGACTTTACGCTATCCAGGTGAAACACACAAAGTTAAGTGCAATACACAGAAACAACTACGAAACCGTTAACCGAAATAGCCTAAGACACCTGAAGAAGTCAGTTGAAATAAATCTTTATTGTCGGAAACACCTCGCACTTCTCACGATACAATGTTGACATTTCCCACCCTTCATTAACCAGATTGGGAACCTTTTCTAAACCCTCCCCTCCCTCAATAAAACTGTTACCGGCCTAATAATGATTGTACTTACGGGAAGTTCCTCGTTATCGTAGAGCAAAGCTGTTTCCGTTTTTGAGTCCCCTTCGTCGTCTTCACCGTCACTGTGCATCTCGGGAAAGTTTGCTTTATCTTGCGTTTCGGCTTGATCGGCGGTTGCACTGTCAAGAGTCTGTGCGTCATGTGAACTTGGATCATCGTTTCGCATATGTTGGAACAGATCTTCAGTTCTCGTCTCATTTACCTGACACAGGTAAAAATAGCAAACATAAGCCAGAATAATGATGAGTTTCTTAGAACGTTAAAGATTGTAACTATTGAGGTCGGTCGTGGATTAAAGAAAGACATTATTTGCTTTGTCGAAATGGTGGGAGAAAGAATAAAAAGCGAGTTCCCTTCGAGGAATTAAATTCAGACCATGCGTTCTGCAAGCACTGAGGAGCACGAGATTTAGGACAACTCCCACACTGCTATACTTTCTCTACTTTTAATTCCTTTCAAGGACTGCTATGTAAAGAAATCTTGAAGAATCAGTATTTGGAAATATTTAATACTTGTTTCCACCGAGAATATTGGTGTCACTAACTCATATCTAATACAACATAGTGACCAGTTTAGTGTTAAGTTGCATGCACAGAGTTACGCTCAAAACGTCTCAAGAGAACACAGCCCTGGGGTCGATGTTGCTGCACAAAAATTGTCAAAAATATTAAACTTGGGGAATAAATAAATTCTTCCGATTATCAATTGTGTTTGTTAGAATATTTCATAACTTCCAATCTACCTCTGCTCCAGGCTCCAACTCTGTTTCATCAACAGTCTTCAGTCTCTTGTGAGTTGTTTCATCCATGGAACCCAGTGCCCGGTCAGACCTGGCAAGGTTCATCTGCTTTCTTTGCCGAGACTGATGTAAAAATATAGACCAACTTGAGAAACTACTTAGTGGGCTACAACTCATTTCTATACTTCAAATTTCTTTAGTGATTTATCCATACCCTAGCCTTTCAGGTTCTCATTCTTGATCGAATAAAGTTTGTGTGCTTCTTGTGTGCTTCTCAAACGACCAAGAAAAATACTTCTTAGCTGACGAGGGTAAATAAAGGTGTCTTGCATCTTACCACACGAATAAAAATGTGCTTTTAATGCAATACTTGTGTACCCCTCCACCTTTCCACTGCAAAATCCCCTTCAAGGTCCCCAAAAGTGGTTTATTATAAATTGCAGTGTAAATCGTTAAGCGCTCTGACCTGTTGTCTGGCATCTGTTGTGGTTTGAGCGATCCTTTGGCTTGACTCTCCGAGGTGTCCGTCATCAAGTGCCTCAGCTCGCCCCACTCCACGCTCCTCATTACCTTCTGTCGATTCAGATTGGCCAGCAGTAACGTCACTTTGTTCTCCATTCCCATCTCCTTCTCCAGAATCCTCCACAGCCTGGACATTTTCTTGAGGCTAAAAAATAAATCAAATGTCAAATATGACAGTTTAAAATTCTCTTGGTGGCCTTGCTGTTACCCCACTCACAGACCATCAACACAAACAAAATTTTGGCAAAGGTACGACGTCGGTATAAAATTAGTAACGAAAAATACGAGATGCAAAGATTTTAGCTCCAAGTGTCGTTACTGATGAAAAACGCAAAGCGGGCAAATTTGAATCGCTGAGCTTAAAGTGAAAAATCCCTCCTCCGTTTTCATCTAGCTCCTAGTTAGTCGAGCGACCTCTTGAATTTGGATGCGGAATAATGGACGCAGCATGTCTTTTTTTTTCTGTCTTGCTGATATATACATCAACATACACGTTCATCTGACCTCAGTATCTGTTTTTGTCCTCCAGTCCTCCTGGTCAGTCTCATCAATAGCATCTTCATCCTGCTATAGGCAAGAGGGGAGAGGAGAGAAAGAAAGAAAATGCTAAGAACTCAAATGGCCGAGTAATTCATGGTTGCTATACCTTCTTCACCCTTTTGTCCCAAAGAGTGACCAAAATCAAATTTCTCCTTATAGTAATACTGCTGAATCATTCATTACGCTCATGAGAATAAAGGAAATGATCGCCAGCCTAATAAGCTTTGATTGTTAAACGAATTCTTCTTATCAGTGCCATAGGAAAAGTAGAAACGGGAGTAAGGAGAATATGACTACTGAAGTGCACCGGATCTTCATTATGTCTTAAATTGGACATTTGACAATGCTCCACCTACGCCAATACAATGTTGTAGAACCAACAATTTATGAAACGGGTATCTGTTAAGGGAGAACATTCAAGTTCAGTGGCAGAGGAAGCCTCCGCGAGCACCACTTATTCATTTTAAATTCAGAAACAGACATCATTACTTGTCCCTAATGCTCTGAGTCTGTTTGGGAAACGGTATGCGGTAACAATCATCGCAATATTTCTATGCACTAAGTCGAATCTATCAAAAAGAAAAAAAAAAAAAGGAAAAAGGGTCCTAATCACTAACCTCGGGACCCTCTCCTACATCTTGTTTCTCATCACCCTCAGTCCCCTCCACGTCTTCTTCATCACCCAGTTCTTCCCCTTCCTCTTCATCGTTGCCGGTATCCATTTGTTCATCATCTGGTGCCGTTGTTTTGTCTCCAGTTTCTTCGGTGTCAATTTGATCTCCTTCAAATTCATCAGTTTCCATTTCTTCTGGTTGGTCTTCAACATCAAAGAGAGGGTAAGTAAATGTGATTGCATTTTAAAAACCAGATTTTGATGACACACCCAGTAAAGTTTAAACACTTGCTCATCGTTTTCTTTACCCACTCTGTTCCAAGAACAAAAGGACATAACGAATATGGAAGCGATCCTCGCATTTATGAACACCATTTAAGAAGTAGTGGAAATAAAGCTTGAAAAAAATTAAGGCCCGTACGGGATTTGAACAAAAGGACATTTTTCTTTCAATCCTAAGATTCCAACAAAGGCCTTCTTCATCAAGCTGCATGTCGAGTCCAGGTACTGTCCTAATTATAATATTTTTTCGTCCACAATCTCCGCGATTCAGCCTTTGTTTTACCCAGCTTGTTATGTTCAAGTATCTTTTGCAGTGTAACATAAACGACTCACCTCCTTCGCCTTCGTTCCCTTCATCGTCAAGCTGCAGATCATCAGGCAGCTCTAATTTAGAAGATTCCTCTACATCAACAGGCTCTTCTTCTTTACCTTGCTGTCCAGTACCTTCCTGTTCATCCTCCCCCTCGTCACTCAAGTTTCCCTCTTCACCTTGCAAGGCTTCATTGATATTTTCGTCACTTTGTTCTTCATCAGCATCAGGTTGTCCCTCTGTTTGCTCTTTTCTTTCATCTGTAGAGCCTGTATTTTAAAAGGAAAACTATTCACGAGAAAATTTACGAACATTATGTGAAAAACCGACGTTCATCTTGTTCCTTTGAGAACGCATGAATCAAAAGGCTGAAAAATGTAAGGTTAAGAGAAAGTAATATGAGAACTGCTTAACGGCAGGACCTCCAAAAAAGACGGCTTGTCTTGTAGAAATAATTAAATCTCTAAAATGTACGTCTCTGTTGGGTCTTGGTTCACTCTACCCACAAAAGAAAGAAAAGAAAAAAAAACACACCTGGGTACTTGCGACAAAAGACAACCAAGACTTGCTTTAGCCTATAGCACCAGCTATATCTGAACTGGCGTTTTCAACAGCCAGTTTAAAGTTAAAGCAGCTAGTGACCCAGTTGACACCTTACCACCTTACCTTTATTGTCTTCCTTAGCGACCAATTGTGACTGAGATTCGGCTTCAGCCCCTGTTCCCTTCTCTTCTTTCATCTCGTGTTCCTGGAGCGATACAAGAGGAAAAAAGATGTATTTCATATTGTCATATCCCTTGGTTTGCTTTTTTGAGATTCTAATCGCATAGGACAACATGCAATCGCTTTGCGTCTACTATTAAACGAGGAGGTACAACTGACAAGTTCCTACCTGTGCTGCTGTTGTAAATGGTTTAAATATAAAATGCATAATAAAAACTCTAGAACTATGACTGTTTGTCGAAAGGAAGGGTATGCAGAATGGGTACGATTTCTCAAAAATGTAATTCTTGCAAACCTACATTAACCTTTTAACTCCTAAGATCTGATTGTTAATTCTTCTATTTGGCTGCTTTACATTTCCTCGCAAATTAGTTACAAGAATTTGGTTTTATATCATGAAAACAACTACCAGATGAGTTTGAATATTCTCATTACTTGTTTGCTGGATAATGTATGGATATTAAAGGGAGAAGTTGGAATTCAATCACTTCTGGAAGTTAAAGGATTAAACTTTGAAGAATGGTTTAAAGTTTGAAGAATGGTTTATTGTGGTGCTTTTTTTTTCCAGTTATTCCCATTTACAATGGTAAATTTTCTTTGTGAGGGAGAAAATCATCTAAAGCCAAAAGTTAGAATTTTCTCCCATTTCTTCTCATATTCTTAGGGAAAAAAAACGAATTTTACTTTAAAGATGGTGTTCCTCATCTACCTCTTTTTCCTCCTCGTCATCTGAGTCTCCCCAGATCTTCTCGTCCAGTTTTTCAGTGTCTTGTCCATCAACCTCTCCCATCTGTTTATCAACGTCATCCTCATCCCCATTCCCTTCTTCGTTCTCCTCGTCCTCTTCCTTTCCAGCTTCCACATCATGTAAAGCCCCCTCAAAGTTCTCACTCATTTCAATACCATTTTCTTCGTCAGGTATTTGTTGTTGGGAGTCGTCTTCTTTCTTTTCTTGATCTTGTCCTTCTTGCTTAGCATCTTCAAGCTGGGAAATGTCAAATAAATAACTTAATAAAACAAGTGACACTTTAAGCAAAAGCTGTAATTTTCTATTTAGCCATAAAACCAATTTTCAGCTCTTCCTTCATAGATTAGCTTCAAATTTGATAAAGTTAAGGTAGATGTAAGGCTGCTTATGGAGTCGGTCAACACGATTTCCACGAAAAAAATCTCGTTTCGAGAACTTTTCTAATTCTGAGTGGAAAATCTTCAAAATGCAGAGAAAAAATGTTGTGATTTTGAAATGGAGTTATGAAAAGGTGCAAGACTTTTTTAAATCATAAAAGTTTGTTTTTAGTCCTCAATTCGAAGGCTTATAGAAGAATTATTGGTTAAATTTTCAGAAAAAAAAGAAAAAAAACCGAGAGGCACAGGCAAAAAAAATTTAAATCTAGGGTCTGATATTATAAAGTGCAAGCAACGATTTTCCAAGGCAGTATGAAATAACAAAATTACCAAAGTATACTAGTACATTGACATTAAAAAGAAATATAGGGGAGGTGACCTTAGCTAATAATTGTTTGTTTTAAGGAAAACAGGAAAAGAAGGGTAAATAACTAAATTAACCTGATCCTCATTCTCTATCTGGTCACTGACATCTTTCATTCCCTCTCCTTCTCCAATGCCTCCCCCTTCAATGTCTTCAAACTCTGTAGACCCGTCGCCTTCACCCTCCTCTATTTCTGGGGGACACAGAATCCTCTTGTGCCGAGATCGGTGAAGATACTCAGCAACACAGACAACAGTTTGCTGGTTGCGCGGTGAGCTTCCAGTAAATTGATGAGAAGATTTTGTGAGAGGTTCAGGTATTGATGGAGTAGGGGGATGGAGCCTTCCAGTAAATGAGCGCAAAAGCCACTGAGTGAAAATTGAACTGACATGTTAGAAGAAGACCATGAGGAATCAGTCATGTTTTTGACCTGGGACAGAAGTGAAGAAATGCTCCTCGTCACGCCGTTTAATTTGAGCCTGCTGATGTCGTTGAGTAAGTTCTGATGTAAACGAGTTGCCAAGTGTCCATCTTGAAGCTGTAAGTTCTCACTGCCATCTAATTTAATATGTAAAAGAAGATGCTAAGTTAACAAGTTCACACACCCCAGAGGCCATGAGGGAGTTATCACTGAGAAGTCATATTAAATTTTCCACAGCAAGGAGCACAAACAAGTCTCACTAAGGTGAACACTTTCGACACAAGTAATATGTGATCATTTAAGTAATGTGATGGTAAAACAGACATTGATCCAAACTCTTGGGATTACCCAGCCATGATATGTTTGGTTCACTGCGAGGAGCTATAGGTCGGTACTATAAGCTATAGGTTGGGGTTAAAGAGTGTCGATTGTTTCGCCACATTTAGATTTATGTCTGTATCTGAGCAACTGCACACCCACCCCTCCCCTGACCCAGTAACAGTCAACTAATAACAAGTTAGGGCTAATGTTGGGTTAGGGGAGGGGTAGGTGCGCAGTTACTCAGATACTGACATGGACCCCCATATTTCGAGTGAGGTATTTCGCTACATGTAAAATAACTATAACTACCTTGATCAGCTGTGTTCTTTTTGCTACCTTCACCTTCTTCGTTTCTTTCTTGGGTGCTATTTTCTGTTACCTTAGCCAAACGCTGAACTGTCAGAAGAAGCGAGGTGTTCAGGGCGTCCACATCGCTGATAAATGCATTCAGAGTCGCCACTCCTAAACAAAATGAAAATATTCTAAACAGGCCACTCTAACACACCAACTACACTTAGGAAAAGGCAGTTTCAACCCCAAGATGATTAATGTTGTCTGAACATACTCAATAACATAAAGCTTTACAAAGTATGCTTAAGAGATCTGAAGCAGCAGTACAAATACTACTACTAAATTGTGGTACAATTCTACCGGAAAATGTGCTGAAATTCTCAACTACACCATGACAACAGATGAGGGTAGAAAAGCCAAATTTATGTAAAATTACAGTTTACTTGTATATTTACCTTGGTCATCAATGTTTTCATCACTCCAGGGTGTCTGAATCTCCTCCTTCCCAGACACAGCCGTACTCCATGAATGGAAATCGTTAAATTTCTCTAAGATCTCGTCTTTGAGGCGGACTAGTGGGCCACCAAGGCCTTTGCTAACTGAACAACTGTAATGATATAAATTTGTACAAATCGCTACAATTGAAAACTAAATGTAAATTTTAGGCCTGTCATAGGGATTAGAACATTAGGATAGAATGCATTGTATTTCTTTCTTATATATGGCGTATGGAGAAATTATCAAATGAGTGTCGAAAGTGATCCGGGATTCCATTGGTTTTGCTTCTCCCAGCCCTATGATTAGTCGAGAAAACTCGCGCCACCCTCTCAACCAATCAGAAACCAAAAGGCAGGTAATCGAAACTTGTTCATCCATTTTTTCCCAGGCTTTAGGCAGTTAGCTTGTTTTCACTTTGAGTTATGATTAGTTCTATAGGGAATTTTCCTTTCTTTTGATTAGCCTTTGTGATTAATTTGGTTCTAGTTTCAAGACACTCAGTTGAAAAGCGCTCTAACCAACCACTAAGATTGTAAGTTGGACGTACCAACGACAGTCTTGATCATCCCTTGAAAATTAATCAGTAAGTGATTCCTCCTTTTGTTTCCTTTAATCAACTTCTTGATAAAGAGCAAACTCACCACTTTGATTTAAACTTTGGCAATATTTCATCAATCAAGTCTGCTGTTCCTTTCAGCTTGAAGAAAGCATCCGTTGTTACTCTGTTCTGTAGCCTACAAAATAAAAGACATATTGATTTGCTCTTTGGAAAACAAATCGTACTAGTTCATGAAAGGATCATACTCTTCGTAAAACACTTTTCATCACGTACAGATGAATTCTGAGTGCTTCTTTCGATTTTTAAAAACGTCGTAAGAAATAGCTATTTTTCAGGGGTAGACGACCGTATAAGAGGAAGCATAAGCCAAAAATTAGCAAGGATGCTTCTGGTTTTTCTGGTTAGAAAAAGATTGACACAGACTAGAAATGACGAACTCGAAAAATTTACCCGCATCATTGAAGAACGAGAAATAGCGGCGAGGCCCTTTGCTGCGAATCTTAAAAAAGTTTAATTTAAATTTTCACATAAGCAGTGAAGTTCTAATACAGGTGATTTGCCACCTATAGAGAAATTTTCAACTGAACGTCGAAATGACCTGGGATTGCTTTAGTTTAATTTAACCTTGTTCTGTGATTAGTTCTGAAAACTCGCGCCATCCTCTCAAAAAAATCATATGCAAATTCAAAACAGTCGCGTTTTCCCGCGCTTCGAGCCGTTTGCTTGTTTTCAAGTGAGTTCTTATTGGCTAGTGACAATGTAAACATATATTCTGATTGGCCGCTGGGATTACTTTGGTTTGGGTTTTTTAACCCTCAAATAAAAACTGCTTTCAACAAAGCTACCGTCATATTACCAAGATGCTATGGTTGCTGTCCTGTCATTCCCGCTTGTATTGTTCAACACGTGATCAGATAGAGCAGCATGGGGCCGGACTTCATTGGCCACTTGGTGCAACTTCGTCACAGTGTTCTGAAATTTTGACAGATACGGTACTTAGTGTAACAGAAGAAGTTTATTTTAAGTAAAATTAGCGTCAATAGAAATCATTTACACTTTCCTGCATACGTTCAATTTGTCTATTCAATACAGCGAAAAAAGAATCGCTTGAAATACAGGTTGTGGCTCTTTCTTTTAAGAAATATTTTCAAAATATTTCTCGATTGAATTAAGCCTAGCACGCTTTCTGTCCGTGCCCCAAATTCGTGAAATAAATTACTGTATTCCTTATTGATATCTTAACTCTTCAACTCCTATGAGTGACCAAAACAGAATTTCTTCTCACAACATCAATTCAGTATCAAGCAGAAAAGTGATGAGAATCGAGAAAATATCAATTCAGGGATTATTGGTTGATCCAATGCTATATTCTCCGAACTAACTTCATAAGAATTGCAAGATTAAAGGGAGTGAAAGAGTTCACTTTGCTTAATTGTTTCGTGGTCAAAAATATAAAATAAAGAAAAGGTATTTTGTTCAACTCATCAGAAAGTACCTCCAACGTTTGAATCATCTCCTTAATGTCAGGATCTTCTGCAGACGAAACTGCCACAGACGAAAGCATTGCTTGTGGCAATGGAGTCCAATTGTGAAGTGGCGTTTTTTCATTGGGACAACATTTCAGCAATATGGACATTTGCTGTAGAACATGGGCCGTGTTAGTGAGAAGATCCATCACTTGAATCTGCGAAAAAAGGAAAAAGGAAAGAGAACTCACTTAAATAACCTTCCACATATGGGATGACAAATGTTAAAGGGTTTGAAATTTCATGTCGTCTCTCCGCGTATTGTGGGCACATAAAAAAAGAGAAAAAGGTGCTGATCCATTTCAAAACACAAAGGGCCGGTTATTTAAACGAGGTCTAACCCAAAACCCGGTTTTACACAAACAATGGGCCTTAGGCATTCCCTAGAAGAGGCTTGATTTAATTAAATAAATGTCCTCCCGCAGTTGGTTTTCGGCTCTCTTAACACTGTTCACAAAAATTATTGTTCACATAAAAGGTTCAGCTAAATTGAAGATAGTTTAGGACGTGGTTTTGTTAAACAACGGCCAAACTTTGTTTAAATAACCGGGCCAAAGTCACTATATTTTATCCTCGGAGAAGTATCCCCAAATAGACGAACAAACATAAATTCAGGCTAGCAAGAACGAAACAAATTTACGATAACCCTCCGAATAGTTTGAAAATGTTAGCTTGATTGCTATGGCCGCGGTCTGTGAAGCCTGTTCTAGACGTTCAGTGAGTATAAAGCGGAGCGAAATAAACGAACAACGCGATAGTGGCGCACAGGGGTGCTGAAAATAAAGGAAACTTAAAGCTCTAAGTAGCTTTAAGCAATCCGACTCAACCTTCCCTCGTGGTGACTGAACGCCAGGAACAGGCTGATATCCGTGTCATCTGTCAAGATGAAGACTGAGACGGGTTACAAGAAGCAATGCACCAAGATTGTTTAAAAATACGAACGGTCAAGTCATGATTGATTTTCGTTTTGCATCTGATTGGTTGATACGATGGCACGAGGTTTCTAGACCAGTCATAGCGAAGTAAGCAAAACCAAAGTATTTCTGGATCATTTTCGTCACAATTAACAATCGGTTTCATTATATCACACTTACAGTGTGCTTCTCAAGGTCCTTCTGAGGTGGAAGACTCGAGATTCCGCTGTTGGCATCTTCATCTGGTGATGTGACAGATTCTCTCAACTGCCTCAAGCCAACACTAAGGTGAGGCCAAAGTGAACACGGCAAAACACAATTAATTCTGATCCTACACTACATACTTAAACTAAGTTACACTTGAAACATCAGAGAAGGAAGGCAAAGTCACAGACAATGTCAAGCAAAACCTGTATTTTGCGGACACTACCCCCAGTCCAAAATTGTTCCTTACTTATTAAAAAAATTTTCCCTCCACGCATCCATGTCTTGAGTATAAAGAATCTGTTTTTAGTAGACACCTCAGTTAAGCGGATTCGAACGACGGAATTAAACGCTTTTGTTACAAGAAAACTGTATTAAGCAGACAGCTTAGACACGGATTCGAGTCTCATTGTTAATTGATCGACATTTATGCGTGATAAAGAAATTGCATTACATCAAATCGCCATCTTAGAGGCCAATCTGGCTATGCGATTGGTTCATTTGTACCACTTTGTACAAATTGGCTGTGTACCATAGTAACCCCGTATACTGCAAGTGTCATTGAATCAGAAACCGCTACTTCAAACTAACACAAACCATAATTTCTCAATACACGCAAGGCCCACGGCATACCTTAACTTGCAAGTCGTTAGGAGAGGCACATAAGGGGGTGTTATTAACAAATATGCAACTGAAACTGTAACAAGGTGAGTGATCAAGACAGGTTACCTTGTACGTCTAATGTTTCTCGATAACTGCGAGATGACCTGTCTTTGTTCATAACAAACATGAAGCAAATGGTTACTACAACCTTTACAACGATCGATGTCACCAACACTGAGCTCCTATAGGAACCAACAAAACATTAACATAATACCGTTAGGTCGCTAGAAATCAACATAGCAGTCATAGAATAAAAATATGCTAGGATAAAAACTGCTTCAAAGAAATCCAACCTAAAAAATAATTGATTGACAAAAGAAAAAAAGTGTTAATTTTAAATGTTAATGAATGCAACAGATTTGACCCTTTAGCTCTGAGAAGCGATTGACGCGTATTCTCTCCCCAAACTTTCCGTTCATGAACAGTACATTGCCCGGTTATTGGGCGACGAGAACATTCATTCTCGTCAGCTATAGGGCATTATCTGCGTATCTCACCGAGTTGTCCTGACGAATTTTCAGGGAAATAAGAAGCAACTTTTTGAAGGATTGTGTGGTAGATCTTAGCAGTTTAAGGGAGGAGTGATGATGATTATAACCTGTAAAATCTCCACACTTGACGGGCACAATGGAATGAAAAATTTTGTTGCAGCCGTTTATAAAAAGACTTTACTTGGTGGCTTCTGGTCTGTCAAAGTTAATTCATTTCTTACGAGTTCAAATTGCATCTTGTCACTTTTTAAATGGCACCTTCTCAGCTACCCAAACAAAAAGCGGGATTTCGAATTTTAACTTACCTTTGACGGCGTTACCATGGCTACAGTTAGGGCAGAAGACCTGGCAAGTGACTTATAGAAATAACGACAACAGCCCTCCAAGAGCTGCTTCACATTATGTAGCAAGTCACTGAAAGAAGTCAAATTCACAAGAGTTGATGGAGTGTAGATCATAAGCAACAATTTTTACTGACTATAGGTATAATTTTTTATTCATTATTCGATGTATCCTCTCTGGGGACCTGATGGGAGACAAAACTCCAACCAGGGATATAACAAGGAACTTTCCTTTAGGCTGAGAGCCATGACCACTCAACAATAAGCTGCAGTGCAGCCATGATAGGTGGTTTTGGTAAAAACCCAGCCAACACCAAGGTGTCACGAACAATATGACTCAATGAAGTACAAGTTTAGCTAGCAATATTGATCATGAAGGATGTGGTGATTGTGTTTATTTTGTCTTTGTGTCAGTACAACATAGAATGCATCGGCTGGAGCGAAGGTTGTTGCCTTTCAAACTGAAAACTTTAAAACATTACTGCGTTAATATAGCCTCGCACGTTTTCTGTCTATACTTAAATTTATAAAATTCCCTAAATATTTCTACTAAAAAACAAATGATGTTTTGACTTAATGGAAAACTTGTAGAATTTTGAAATTTTTCGTACACAGATATTGCAATCCTGCCGCCTTAATTAACCATTGCACTGTTTTAACTCTGAAATCCTTTAAACCCATCTTAAATGTCTTGTTGATGACAAAATTAAATTGGTGAGCCACTGCCATTATAGAGTGAGAGAGAACTCTTATCTTTTTCAAAGTTCTGATTTCTCCAAAAATTTACTTATTATTGCAAACCATCGGAAGTGTTATAACAGTACCATTTGTCGAGCTGTTACTCGTTCTTGCATACTTACGGTGACCTGTCAGAAAGCAGCTCGACTGATCTTGTTACAGCCTCTTCCTCAACTGCAGCAACCAACATGGCTTCTTTTCCCGTGGACTGGCGCTCGAGATTGAGCCCCTTACGATAAGACACGCCTAGAAATGTATATTTAGTAACAATGACTACACAACCTCAAAAGCTACAGTTTGCGACAAAATTAGTTGACACATCATGCTTAAATAATTCTGTTAATGTGTAGAATCTAAATCATTGATAAGATCCCCCCCTGCTCCAATCATTGTTGCCCGTATATAGCTGAAAGTTTGGGGAATCACTATAGAACATTGTTTTGTTTTTTTTTTTTTTTTTTTTTTTTTGGGGGCAAAAGATATAAAATTGAAGTAATATGGGGTTGAAGGTCAATTCGTCAACAATTTTGTCCTCTCCAGGTAAGACCCGAGTAACTTCTTAACTAGTCCGTGTACAAAACAAACAAAAAAACAAAGAAAAGTAACCGTCAAATAAAAAAACAAAAATGAATAACAAAAAACAAAAAAACATAGAAACTTATACACAGATTCAATTCATATAAACCTGGATTTAAAAGGACAATTTGTATCATACCAAGTAATGCCAATATCTTGAACAGGTCTGACAAACTTTTACGTTTCCGTTGCTGAATATGTTTCTTCAACTCTGTTTGTTTCTCTTTTGGCTGAAAAACAGTATATAATGAGTTACATAAAAATATGTCAAATGTGTAACGGATGAAATGATAGACTATGTTTACTTAATTATGTAAATAACAAGTAGTAACAGGACCAAAAATTCAGTAATAATTTCGAAGTTCTTCTTATACCTGACTGGACACATCCAAAGCTTGCAGCTCTTTTGAAGTGGTTATGACTTCAGCTGAAAAAAAAACCAAATAATTGCCTAAACGTCAACAGCTATCTTTATTACAATTTGCAGTAATATCACAATCTGATTGGCCATTTTGCCGTTGTCCATAAGAAAACAGACAACGGTGCTCGCGTCAACGTGTCACGCAATGTTGACGCACTGAAAGAATCGTCGATATCGTGGTAAAAAATAAAATCGACAATGCCAGTCGGCTGCGCCTCGTGGTCCACAACATTTTGACCACTTTGATGATGAATATCGCTGTCGATAACAGTACACACCACACCAAACCACTGTCGTGTTTCATCGGTTTTGACTTTTTCATTTCAGTCCAGATACATAATTTATTCAAACGCGCTCTTATTCCTAAATTGTTCAGCATCGGCATAGGAATACGCTGTTTGCATTAAAACAGAGAGAACTCCCTCGGCTTCAATGAGAAAGCCAATAGAGGAATAAATCTGGTGTTTCATCGGTTTTGACTCATTTCACAGTGTAATTTGTTAAGAAAATTCTCACCATCCTTTGGCTAACAAGATGAAAAAAGAAAACAAATCGTCCCTTAGTGAACCAAATTTTCGCGCCCCAGATTCCATTTGTCCGAATTTCCTTTTTCTTCATTTTGGGATTTTGAACTTTGTTTCGTTTCGCTCATACGATTTGATTTAAATTGAAAACACTGCGTTAACATGTTCTGGCAATGAAATACCGCGGTGATGTAGAAAAAAAAAAGTCGTGTTAAGTAATCAATTAAAAATTCTGTTAGCTCTGGAAGAGTAATCTTGTTTTTCATATACTTTAATATCTGATAAAACTCGTACCTGTAAAGTCATCCAAGCACGTCACTAGTGGCTCATACTCTTGTCGACTAATAATCTGGCGTGACAGCTGTCTCATTTTTTGAAAGAGTTTTGTAAGACGATTCTGATTCGATGGAAGACACAACCTCCATTTCTCGTGCGTTGATATAAATTGAAGACTTCTGTTACAGTGTGCCTGAAGAGGAAACACATTTTTAGAATAAGCAATTTTTCCTTCCGGTAACTGGTGTCACATCTCAGGAGTTAATTGTAGTTTAAAATGGACTTCATGTCATAATAATTTAAACTAATTTAATTTGTTTTTCCCTTTGCTCCAAGTAACTGCCGAAGTCCTTGACCAAAGAATTATGCTATTGTAAAACACACCAGTCTGAACTTAGCTAAAACTAAAACTTTTTAAACCGCACTATGAACATTAACTTTCCTAGCACCATCATTGTTAACAATTATTTGCTTAGTTGGTTGGAGTTCTTTTGGGACGCAAACTGGCCAACTTTGGGCCCTCTGTACCATATTCCAACGGCAGTAACCACAATTCTGTACACAGCGGGATGAAGTGTTGATCAAGGTTTTCAAAGAGCATTTCTGGACCCCTCTCTCCCCCCCCCCCCTTTGCAATTTGAAGAGAAGTGCCTCAAACCCTCTAAAATAAATATTCAGTACGCATTTTCTCCATTCTATTCTCTACACATTCATTGCTGTGCTGACGAGGAGAATTTATTTAACAATCAAAAAACCATGAGCTTCTTTAGTCGGTGATCATTTCTTTTAATCTTGTGACTTTGATGCTTGATTCAGGAGTGATATTTTAAGGAGAAATTAGGTGCTGGTTACTCTCAGGGGTGAAGGATTTTATGTGATACTGTTAGGACAGACGAACAAACAATACCAAAAATACTCATAAAACCAAAAATTAATGTTAGCGATACAAATACTTGTGATCATCTGACCTTCAATGCTTCTGATGATATGAACCACTCCACTTGCACATTTTTTCTTTCATTTGTGTAATTCCCTTTATCTTCAGAAGGAGAAAGAGCTTTCTCCACATTTTTCAAGGTCTTCGATACTGGCTCATTTAGAGAGGCCTTTGAAAACGAAGAAACATTTGTAGTTCACAAGAAGATTGGTAGTTAAAGATATTAGATTAGGGTGATATTTCATCAAATTTCATTTACAGCAAGAGCTTAGAATGTAGAACAAATAAACAAAAAACAAAACAAAACAAAACAAAACAAATTCAATGTTGATCGCAGATGCAGCAGGTTTAGGCCTACAGTCTTGAGTATGTGTTCGTAATCTGAGCTCCTGCATAGGGGCACTTTGTATAATTTATTTGTCACATTTCATATTTCCTCACAAGATTACATAAATAGGTATGTAAGACAGCAAATATTTCACAGAGAGATAAAATATTTGAATACGCAAAGATCGTAGAGACTTTATCCTGCTTTATTACCTCGTATCTGCGCACAAATTTGTGCAATGTGTGATGAGACTTGTCAGCCGCTTGTTTCATAGCCCAGAAGTTGGAGTCATTCCACTTGGCAATTTTCACAAAATCCTACCAGACAAAATTATATTTTAACAACTTGAATTTGTAACTCATCTAAAATTTCTTTACAATAAAACTTCTCACAGAGGGTAGCATTGTTTCAGTGTTATGGAAAGGAATCTTGCCAGGACTGCATTTACTGGGCATTAACAAGTCAACAATAGAATACTCACATGCATCATACAAGGACTCCGAAGTTTAAAAGTTCCGTTTTATCTCATATTTGATTACACATTTGCTTGCTTATTGACAAAACTGAAATAAAGCAGCTCACCTTCAGATCTTTTTCAATAGGTTTCCTCATTTCTTGCAGAGATTGCTCAACAGAAGGAATAAACTGCTTGTAATAACAGAACAAGTTCCATAGCACATCTGATACTTTAACTAAAAACAAAGAGTCGATGTTGTCAGAGAAATTTTCCATGTCTCACGGCAAAAAGATTATTTTATTGGTCTTTAAATTAATGTCTTCACATTTTTTTTAAATTCTGCAATTCTTCAAGTTTTATCGTTTAACGGGGGATGTGCTGAATTGGAAAGACTTCAGGGACTGAACTTCAGCGGCAAAGTATTTGAGTCTGATGCTTGTGCAATTAGACAGTCTCCTCAAAGCTTAAGTCGCTCAAGGATTTGCTGAAAGTTTGAAGCAATACTCCTCAAGAGAGGGGTACAGTTTGACTTTCGCAGTACAGTTTGACTTTCAACAATACCATCAAATGACACCTTTTTCCAAGATTAATTACCTTCTCCAGTGCTCGCCTCTTCGTAGCACATTTGTTTGTAAAATGCAAACAGCATTTGTAACCGGGAAGCAAACTCTCCAAGTGTTGAGCTTTCGATAAATCTTTGTAAAGGTTCGATTACCTCACTGCCATCAGGAAAACCCTCTTTTTATGGAAAGAGAAAGACAGATAAAGTTTTGGATGTGTGTAAATTGACTAATGTAACTATGAAATGCAAGTGCTCATAATGGTCAGCGGAGTATTATATACTGTAGCTTTTAAATTTAGAATAGCCACCGTATGCTAATAGACGTTTCTGAGGAAGAATCTGTTAGAACCGATGTGGAGTTTTGAAAGCTTAGAATGTGTGTGTATCGCACACAACCCTTTTCATGGCATTTGCTTTACTTCAAATAATCACACTAACAACAGCTAAGTGCAACACTCCAAGGGTGTTGCGTCCCAAATATTTTTTTATACCATAACAATAAACCAGCAAAATTTACCTCTAGATTCCTGCGCATACTCAGTCATCCTAAACTGCACCAAAGAACTATAAATGTGAAACCACCATTGACTGGCTTTTGCCGCTGAATTTAAAGTGGTCACATCTAGAAGTGTTGACCAGCACCTGTAGCAGAACGAGAGCATGGATTTTGCAGAATTAACACAACACTTCGCTTTTACCTGATTATGATAAAAGATTGTAAGGAAAAATTTTTTATCCAAAGTGTGGGGATTTTAACTGTACTGGAACGTTTAACACGAGTTAATGGATCGGTGAAATGAGAAAAAATTAATTGGTCATGTTTCTCGTTGTCCCAGCATATGATGACAAATGAGATGCTATTTGCAAAATCAGAGCGGCCACACCAACGGGACCCCTGCCAGGATTAATAACTCGACGTTGCTGACCGTCTCTTTTGAACAGGCGAAAAGGAGCGCGTGATCGAAAGCTGGTTTCGAAGCATTGATTCGACGACGATCCCATAATGCCACTCTGGAACAATAAGATTGCAAAATTGAAGGAACATACTGGAATTGGAACTGGAAACTGAGTTTGGTAAAAGGACCCTCACGTCAATCTTTTGAAATACCCATACAAGTTGTGCGCACGGCTTATCTTAAAGTTATGAACAAATATAACCGCATACTTGAGTTCCATTTTTCTCCACTGAATGATCAGATGCGTGACATTATCCAAATGGTCTCTTAGGCTGACATGTTTTGCAGCATTTGATTCCCAGTCCTAAAAATATGAACACAATGTCACGCAGGGAAATTTTTAGAATATGAAAAAAACTATTAATTAGGAGATTATTGACTGATTCAATACAAAATTCTGTAAGAATTGTCCAGCAGATAGTAAGAAGAATTACAAATGAAATATTGGGAGTGATGGTGTTAAATCACTTTCATACTGAGCCTCTCAGTCCCAATACCATGGAAAGGGACTGGGTACCTTTCAAAAGAAAACGCGCTGGGGCAATGACAAGGATCTAACAATAATTAGCATTTTTCTGACTGCCTAATACTTTGGTTAATTTTTTCCCTTCATGCGAGAAAACATTATTGTAGTCAATTGCCCTTTTCTCTTCAAACCCACTGTGGTGCTACGTCGGTGGGAGAGTATCACAGGGTAATTAAGTATCATCAACCGAGTTGATAACGTAAATTGGCTACCGTAAAGAGTTTAAAAGCTGACGAAGGGCTAACGCTCGAAACGTCAGCTTTTTAACTCTCAGTTGACAATCACTAAATTACCCCCAACATCTAAGGAGTTCACTTACTTCCAACCGTAACTTCACGAGACTGGACCATGGGAGTCTTTGATTACAAGTGCACTGCTACTCAACTTCTTACCTGGGCTTTTCTTAGTAAAACCTCAAGGCCAGTCAAAATCTTCATCACTGGACTGGTCACGGGAAAAGACAATATCCTTTCTATCACAACCAAAAGCTGAAAGAGAGCAAACGTTTTAAAAATTACATTGTTTCTGTTCAAACGAGAGGCATTTTTTCATTTCGTGCGTTGACGGAAAGTCGACTTAAAAATCTGTCCTCTTTTTGTACATCATCTGAAATTTAACAAATAAATTAAACGTTGCTGTACGAAACAAATATGGCAAGAAGACTTGACATTTTGCAAAGTTACCCTTTCAAAGATGTTCCTCTGGATAATATATCAGTCAAATATTAAAATTTGGTTTCTCTGAAGGATGTTTCACACGTTTGAGAACATGTTTCATTCAAGTTTCAAAAAGGATGTTTCCTTAATGAATAAAAATTGATGGGACATGTTTTAGATATTTTCAACACAAACAAATAAAGTGGTCTCACCTGCATTAGAGCAGGATGCCGAGGCCATTCTGCCAACAGCTCGTGGACACGAGCAGCAAAATCCGCAAGAATTGGTTTCACTCTTACAACCTCTTGAATGTTAGAGTCATGGTAGATATCAAAAGGTTTTTTGTCACTCGAACCTTTCTGGTATAGCTTTTCTTGCTGTGTAATAAGAATATGTTCACTTTGAGCATGGGGAAGGTACGCAATATTAATGATGCAGCTTTCTAATCTAGACCACTTCTTAAAACAATTACACTTGGTGTGTCGGTACTTCCCAAAAGTATAACCCAGCTCTAAACCAGAAGCGCACAAAGACTTGTAGAACAGGTCATAAGATTTGCAGCGCAGTGTTTGCGCAGGAACTAAGTGATATCATCCACTACACAGTAGAGACTGAAATAAATTGCTACACAATGAAACTAAATGAAAGTTCATTATGACCTTAAAACCTCCTAAGGCTCAAACATCTTCGGTTGTTTTAACTTCTCTTTTCATTCCTGGAGGTTAATTTACTTCAACAAAATCAAGACCTACATCAGCCTCACTTCAAGGATGTTTTTGCTACATTATTTTTATGAAACTTTTTTTCATTAAAACCAACACCAGTGAGGTTACCATCGTTATTTAAAACCGCCTGGAGTACGTGAGAAAACCGCGAAAGACAACCGCGAGTGACGAAGTCGCGATTGCTTGGCACGAGTTTTATAAACTAATGACAGCAAGAAATAAAGCAAAACCAAAGCAATCACAGATTACTTTCGACACTCAATCGGAAATTGCCCGATTGTTGTAACATTGTACCTTCACTGTCCTGTCTGACTGGAACTGACCCTTCAAAAAGGAACTTTGCAAGAGATGTGATCGAGATGTTTTCATGTCCGCATGCGACCCTGCAGCAAGATAACACATTCCTTGTTAATTGATCTGCTCAGTCACAAATTTAACAGTACATAAGTTGACGTAAAACAAACAACAAATAGGATGTTTTGAAGTATGAGTAATACCTGACTATGAACTAAACATTTAAAAAGCCAAAGGCAAATCTTATAACCTACAATTAAAAAAGTCTTAGGGGAAATTGAGTACAAATTCAATGTAATAAAAAAAAAATCTCTCAAGTTCTCTATTTCCATGGGTTCCTTACATGGTATAAGAGCATCCATCACTGACGCTGTTTCGTAACCCCACTTGAAGGCTTCCAAATACAACGAGTCCATGGAGTCATTTGGTCGGTAACAGTCTGCTTCATGTAAAGCGAAATCTTGACTGGGTCGAAGCCGACAAAAAGTTTCTTCATGCAGCCTCCTCAATTCTGAAAAATCAGGAACGTTCTCCATAAATAGTTCGGCATCCGACTTAACTACACATGAAGATGAAGCATTTTCATCCTGAGGGACAAAAGTTTTCTCGTTCAAATCCTGGGGAGCCATAACATCCTTGAAGTCGTCATCAAAACGTGGGAACGCCTTGCTTATGGCTCTTTTATTCTCCTCATCGTCACCAAGACTCACGCCGTGTGTTTTGTTCTTGAATTTAAACAAACTTCCTTCTTCTTCCTCTCGCTGCCGTTCTTCCTCTTTGAAGATTTTCCACTTGTTCAGGAAAATCTCCAGAATTGTAACCACTGCTCGGTAAAGTTTTTTATCGAGGAAGCCATGTTGGATGGAGTGGTTACGCAGATGGAGAACTGACAGCCGTAATGCCCTGTGACAGGTAAATTCAGACGATATGACTCAGTTTATTCTTGATTTAGTTTCATCTATGGTGAGTTTTGTATGTAAAATGATAATATATAGATTTAGGCAAGCCTAAAAGCGGAGCACGCATTTTTTCCCCGCAAGTCTCTTCAACAAAATTAAGGCCCCTACTATGGATAAAGTGCGTGGTAATATTAATGGATTTTCATTCGCAACTTCTCCGTGTCCGTGTAGAGGACTGATTATAAGATAGTGCCCGTGGTACAGTTGGCCGCGCATGCTAAAAGTAACACTTTTTACAAGGGTCAACTGATAGTACCTGAAGGAAAGAAATGCAGATGTTCGAGCCGCTGTTTCACGAACTTGAAGATATTTAACCAAGCCTGCGACCAAAAGAAAACATTTTATTTACTATACAAACAACAAAAACTTAAAACAAAAGCCTTCCTTAGTCGTACAATTGCCACAAGCTGACAATCCAAACACTCAGAGCTTGATAAAAGAATAAAGTAACACCAACGATTCATTACCTTGTATGCAAGCATCGACAGAAGGGGACATTAGAGAAACTGCAGCATCCAAACAGGACAAGGAACTTGACACAGGAAACTCACAAAATGACAATATCACATCCGGTCCACTACACTATTACGATTGAATGATAATATGGAAAAATACTGCAGTTTTAACTATTTTTATCATCGTTCAGTTCTTTTTATTTGAATCAAATATTAAATTTGAACGTTAAATGGGTATGGGAGAAGTCTTCTATTGGCAAATCTTAACCACATAATGGCTTGGGATGGTGTCTAACTTTTTATTTCATGCATACTGTGATTACTGACCCCCCTTCACAATCAGTGTGTGGCAGGTCACTGACCCCACAATTTGTGACTACGACGGACCTTACGATAATCTCTGGGTATCAACCTATCATAATCCGATGTCAAACTTTTTGTGTAGTGAGGGCGGGAAGGGGCTACGTAGTGCTTTTTTAGGCCTCTTTATGAAATCTGCTCAAATATTTATTCATAGAAACTAAAGCAACGCGATATAGTGGGTCAATTTTTTTCCAGTTTTACCAAGTAACACCTATTTGCAGACAGTTTTAATCTTGTCCAATCTGTGCACATTTAAAAAGCATGCTAGTAACAAGCCATTTACATAAAAGGGAGAGAAGTTTAATAACAAAAGAAGTATCAGAGAGAGCTACGGGAATATTTCTTAACTGTTTGATGAAAAATTAATACTGGTGGCTTGGGTTAGCCAAAACCCTTTTTTGGTGAGTTAACATGAAGACTGATAAACAGAACTTACCTGCATATTTGTACCCATTGTAAGTTGAGCCCGAAATAAGTAGTATTGAAACAATGTTGATAAGTTTGATGACATAAGGGACACACCATACATGACCTAGATTGATCGTAACACAAAAATTAAGAGGAGTGAGATTAAAGGTTTTTCAAATCTTCTTTTTAAGCTCAGAAAAGTGAAACTCAGTATATGAGTCAAGTGCAGCCTGAACTAGCACGGCTTGTAATGTCACTGAATGGAACGCTGACTCAATCCAGTTTACTCCCCCAAAATTTCATCTGGAGATCACAATTGCCGAATCCACTCCTAGTTGGTGAAAGGTTGGGTAGGGTAGGTCAAACAGGGTAAGGTGAGGGTAGTGTGGGGTAGGCTAGGGTAGGGTAGGGTAGGTGTGGTAAAGTAGAGTAGGGTAGGGTAAGGAAGGGTAAAACAGAGTAGGGTAGGGTAGGTCAGGTAGGGTAAGTTAGGGTAAAGTAGAGTAGGGTAGGGTAGGCAGGGTAAGGCAAGGTAGGTTGGGTAATGTAGGGTAGAGTATGGTAAGGTTGTTGGTTATGATGGTCTCCCCATCAAAGAGCACAACAGAGTGACCCAGGGTAAGGCGTACTCTCCCAACTATGAAAAGACCCTAATGTGAGTCACAAACAAAAATTATCATTTTCCTTTACCTGAGATACACCAGCAATAAAGGGTCCTAAAATATCACAGTACAGTGGATAGTCCTTCCTCAGCTTTTGGATAACCCTTTCCACAGAAGTATACCAAGCTTTTGCCTTATGAACAGCTGAGGTGACAGAATTGGCCAAAACGTTTCCATTAACACCTTTCTTCAGTGAGTCATAAAGCTGTGATGCTAGCTCTCTCATAGATGTTGTTAGGTCTGTAACAGTGTTAATCTCACCAACAGTGTGCAGGAAGTGTTTCACTTCATCAAGAATAGCATCAAACTGCATTATAAAATTAATTGAAACAGAAATGTGTGAACTCAAGCTACCGTTAAGACTAAAGCCTAAGTTTATGGCCTTTTAGTGGAAGATTTTAGCAGTCGAGCCCCCAAAAGAAGTGGCGAGCCCGAAAGAGGAGTGGAGACGAGAATTTTTCGCGACCTATCGACTTTATTTTCATCTAGTGCCAATGACATTGTCAGCTATGAAAGTTATTAAGAACACAAATTTCTTAATTACAACTGATTGAAAACAAAAAACATTGCAAAGCGTAAATGATTAACAAAGGTTCTTGAAGCATTGTAACAAAAATTGGCAGGAAGCAGAGGCACCCGGTTGTTATGCAACAAAACGACAGATGCTCAAACATCGAAGACAGCTAAGAATAAAGGGGCACTTCTTGTAAGTCTACACAAAACAACATGAACGATAAGTTATCAACAACAAAAATTTAATCACAAGTACTTTGCTATCTTTTTCTACAAACTTCGTCAATCTGCCCAAAAAACTGACTGCAGGCTGCTGTCCTCACCACACATACCAGGTTGATTTCTTTTCAAGTAAGTGTTAATGCATTCATGTAAGTTTTGTTGTAGTTGGCAAGTATACAAGAGTAGCATTCTGCTATCAAAAGCTAATATCCCGTCCATTCTTTGAACACCTTTTTTTTCATACCTGCGAGATGTCTGGTCTGATGGCGGCATTCTTACTCAGGTTCTCCGCTTTCACTCTGAGATTTTTAAGTTTAGTTAACAATCGCCCCACCCGTACTGGATTAGATGTTAATTGTGATTCACTCCTGTGTTCATCACAAACAAGAGCTTCCAAATCATCAACAGAAGTCTTCACTCCTCTCCATATTTCCTCTGCATAATATCTCACTTTTAACTCCTCTTCGATTCTTTGAATCTGTTAAAAAGAATGCGGAATGTGTACACCCGAGTGCTCTTGTGTCAACTAGAACCTGCTCAAAATTGAAAGATCTGCATATGAAGGCATTTGGGATATAGGAATTTCAAAGATTTGCAAGAATTAGCTTGCCAAAGAAGAAGAGCGAAATAGTAACATTGAAGAAACGACTACGTGATACAATACAAACAAGGAAATAAAAATTATTTTCTGAAAAAAATACGACTGCGCATAAAACGTACACTTACCTCGCTATTAACGTACTCAAGTTCAATCCTAGTTTTCTCAACAGGATCCACGGGTCCGACAGGAGACAGAATCAATGACTGAACTAAGCCAAGTTCAGTCCACATGTCACCAAGGCAAATGGAGTCCCAAAACACGTCTGTGTCATCTGCTACAAAAGAAAATTTGTCTTTTGAGAACATGAAAATTGGAAATAAACTGCTGGCTCCAGTTTTTCAAAGGGTGAATAGCTCTGCACTATCCATCTATCACTCTGCAGTACGTTGTTAAACCTTTCATTCCCACGATCTCACTAGTACTTCTCCTAACTAATATTTTTCTTTGTTCTCGTCACTTGTTTTCTTGATATTGTATTGACATTGTAAAGAAAAGTTCTACCATGGTCCTTCGTGGGTGCTAAAGAGTTAACAGTTATCCGTTGAATAGAGCTATCCACCCTTTGAATAACTGGGCCCTGCAGGTCGCTGAGATCAGATGTGCAGCCTATCTTTCTGGACGATCTCCAAATGAGTCAATGAAATAAAATCTTGGCTCTTTAATGCAATTTTGATTTCAACATTTCCCTCCTTAACCAGCTCTTCAGCTGATCACTGTAATGTTCACAATGTTATTGACTTCAATAAACTCTACAGCCGAAGGATTGAAAATTTGACGCAAGACTCCATTCAAAAATTCAATTCTAAAACCAATTTGACCTTTTTAAGGCTGATCAGTTGAAAGTTTGATTCTACACCTAAAGAGCAGATTGTTCTAACTAATGATACCATCCGGTTACGAACTGCGGACAAATGAATGAACAGTGATTGTAAAAACTTACTGCTACATGACACAATTACTTACCCCGAGCTTCTTCTGGAAGCCGAGAAACTCCTTCGAGACACGCAGTCAGAAGATTACACATCGAATCTGCTTGTTTAACGTTGCCAGTGCAGTGGTTGTAAGCATTGGAAACAATTTGCACAACTTCCTTCAAAACATCTACCACAGAGTTAATGCCATGCAAAAGACTATCTTCTTCATAGACACTTGGTAATATTCTGTTAATGACACTAGCGATCCCCATATCTCTACTTTGAAAGAGGGATTCTTTGACTGACAAAAGAACTTGAAACCATTTGGCGATGAACAACTTTATACTTGAATTCCTACAGAAAAAAAGAGAAATTGATGAAAGTAACAACTACACCAACCCTTCTTTCAGACGTTTCTAAGTCTCCACCCAAGGTAAAACAAAACTCTTATTAGGTTCAACTGAAGTACTTTAATGGTTTTGTGCTTCATTCATTTCAATATCTAATAAAGTCCACAACTGGGGAAGTATAAAAATGTAAGCAGGGCAACCAGGAGATCTTATGTTGAAAATAAAATAGCAAATCAAAATCAGAGAAGAATCATCAGAGAATGCAAATGAACATGAACGCAGTCCGCATTACAATTTTATAGGGTACCACTGTAGCGTAATGTGAAGAAATAATAGTTGGATTGCCAAAGCCAAAGTAGGAGACAAAATTTACAATCTTCTCTTGACCTCCAAACAATTCTTAAACACAAACGCTTCCACTACCAGCAGAGACCATTAAATGTAAACGAGGTACATTTTTAAGTATAAAATGGAAACAAGATTGTACACAAGAGAGACCCCACCCTTGTGGTACTTACCGATCCACTTCATTGTGGGAATCAAGCAAGTCACCATTGACCCAAAAGTGTGATGATAATATTTCCAAGTGTTTGAGGTTTTCGTGGTAGTTGTGAATTGTCAAAGAAGTGAGAGAGCTGCCATGTCCCTCTTCAACCAACTTCCGTGATGAAACGCTATCCAAAAGATTTCGCGCTCCGCCCAAAACAGAGAAAACATTTGATTCTTTGCCTTCGTTACTATGCACCCAAAGCTTACGGCTCTCCAACATGAAGCACTCTGTGAGTATTTCAGACTCCACCAGGCGGAAGATGGACGAGAAATGTGAGTTTAAGTTGTTGCCCTGCAATGCCAGTGAAAAAGCAGTATTAGGACTGGTCATTATATATAGACAGAAGGGGGGGGGAGGAAATTTCACGATAAAATTTACCTGATCTTCCCTAAACCTCTTAAGTATTCTAACGATCCTCCAAAATTGACAGTTAATTTCCTTTAGTCCGCCCTTAATACTCTGTCAGCGACGACTGATCCCCCTCCGCTGCCTCTGAAAACCATGCAACCCCTCCAAAAACCCTTTGACCTCCCCCCCCCGACGATTTTTAACGCCTTATCCCTTGTATTTTAAAAGTTGTTATTATATTTTGAGAAATAAAAAACACAGTTCATGTTTGCGACTTGTGTTAAAACAAAAAGCTCAACTCTAACAATGAAAAATCATGATGGGTGGAATAGAATCTAAGCAATCGTTCATACCTTGCTCAGAGTACCTCCCAAGTGACAGAATATCGCCTGTATTACTGGATCTCTAATTCTCTTTTTCAAATGATATGTTTTGAGTGCCTCTATCTCATCTCTTACGGCTCCATTGTCCAAGGAAGTTGCCCTGTAAGGAAACTATTTCAGTTGCATAGCCACGCAATAAGTATTGTGACAAGTATGCTACCAGTGCATAAAGAATAGTTGCCTTGGTTTTACCTTTTCTTGAAGAGTATTTCTCATTAGTAACGTTAGGAATGGGTGTGAAGCCTTGACAAAAGTTCATTCATTATCGATATTTCCAAGACATATTCTTTGGATTAAAACCGACAGTAGGAGGGAAGAATCGAAGGAGGTTGAAACCAGAAAGAAATGAAAGAGACTTGCAGAATGAAGTTGAAACAAATCAATCTCTCCTAAAAGACAAAGATCAATGTCAGTATCGGAGCAACTGCGCACCTAGCCACCACCCTCCTCCCACCCCCGCCAGACCCAACTCTAACCCTAACTTTTTATAAGTTGGCTGTTGTTCGTTTAAGGGGGAGGGGTAGTTGCCAAGTTGTTCAGATTCTACCTTTGATCCGAAGACAATAACAACGCTCAGGAAAAAAAAATGTGAACGTGCTACCAATGAGATGAGACAAGAAAATATTGTTGCAAAAAAACTAACCCTCTAGCCATTTGATTTGCCAGCGCCAGAATCAAAGACCCTAGGACACGACCTTCTTGCAAAGAACAAACATCGCCAAACATGAGCGACATAATTTTTTTTAGTGTCACATCATTCATTCTTGTATCGACGCTCATTGCCTGGTCTAGCTCAGAGGAGTTGTCATCTGACGTCATTATCTCTTGTGTAGATTCCAGGTTTCTGCTAGTTGTCTCTTCCACACTGGAAAGGATTGAGTCTAAAACACAAGTGAAATGTAGACGTCAACTAATTCAGTAGAATTATAGAAAATAAAATCCACTTATCAGTTGACTTGGATGGAAAAATCATGGTCAAACTCATTGCTCAATTCTATAATTCATACGAACCCATGACAAGTGAAAAGTAATCCTAAAACAAACAGTAATATTCAATTCCCAGAAGTGATTAACATGCACCTTCTCCCCATAATATTCATACATTATCCTGCACACAGATCACGTGAATACTCAAACTTATCAGGTAGAAGTTGTTATCTTGATCTAACCTCAAATTTTCATGACCAATTTACAAAGAAATATCTGGCAGCTAGAGGGGAGAATTAAGAATCGGATCTTGGGAGTTTAGATTTAGTTGAGCGTTGCGTGAAGACCAGTTTTCATTTCTTTGCATGTCTGATCGATGAAATTAAGTCCTGCTAGACAGGATGCGTTCTTAGATGCATGTATTTTAAACTCTAAATTTTCTGAAGTTTTCTTTGATCTATCAAATACGTTTATATCTGCCTTGTCAACGAAGGACAAGTGGTTTACACAATACAAAACAGAGTAAATACTCACCACATTGTGAATATTCTTCTTCACTCAAATTCATCGTGTTGTCCAGCATTATTTTCAAAACCTCTGCCAGCTTGCCTTTCAGTTCTGCATTTTTGCAGCTTTGCTGCTCCTCTTCAAACCGACGATTCCATGATCTGTTGCAGTAATTGTCAAACCGTTCACAAAGACTTTGCGTTTTTTCCTAGATAGAACAATAGCTTGTTCAGTTTTAATACTGAAAACATGAAACAGGTAACATATTGAGACAACAGCATATATAAAATTTTGCCTTAACATGACAGTGTTCCACATGCTAACTTGCATAGATGTCACAGCTTATCCCCGTTTATTTACTTTAAAGTGACTGCAAGTATGGATACTTCGCCTGGATAGGACGCAAATCCCCTACAGATTACAATTTCTCCAGCTTTTCTTGGAAGTTTGCAAAACCTGAGAGGCCATGAGCACCTCGACCAGATACCAAAGGATGCAGACCTTTTACTAACCGGGTTCAAGGTCAGTGCACTAAGTTACGGAGCGCGACGCGCACAGGCCATATAAATCCGAGCGGAAGAACAAGATTCCATAACTTACGGTACAATCCGAGAAAACCAGATTAGTAAGATATTTATTGCAAGCTTGGGTTCAAATAGGGCGGCATGATTTCAGTTCAAATAATTTTGCAGGTTGTACAGTGTAATGCGGCCGCCAAATTGACCAGTCATAGCGCACGTACTAGCTTAGAGATCTAACACTCGGCAAAACTCAATGGAGGCTAAGACCTGAGCCTTTCGATAGATGTCAAGTCCGACGCACTCGCTATTGGGCAGACGTAGCTCTTTGTAATTAGTAGAAATCTCCCAGCATTCCATCAAAACGGTTCAATTTGGTTGGCGCCTCGCTCACCATATTTGAATCGCCTGAGTTATCTAATTGTTAATTAGCAAATGTTTAAACCGAATCAAAATAGCTTACCCAGACCATAAAGGCACTTCTTGATTTAAATGGTGCAGGATGCCCAAAGGCAACCAGGATTCGCAAGTAGGCTTCAGTCACTCTCCTGTCTGTGGCTAGAACCGTTTGCAGGTGATTTACAACTGTAACAAGCTCTTCTGGTAATTCTCTGCAGGTATATCACAAAAAGAATTGCATGCATAACGGGCCATTCAATTTTTCTGTCTTTAAAAGTTCACATTACAGCCACAAGCTTTAGTAAACTAAGTCCAGAACAAAAATCTGTACCTCTTGCCAAATCAAATATATTCAACGATTATTCAGAGAGCAATCAAATCACCAACCTTATAGTAAATAAATAAACAACCAAGGGGAAGAATCAATCTATGATGATAATCTTTGTGCTTGTCTTCGGTTTACAACACATCACTTAGTTTTGTTTGCTTTTGAAAAAAGAGAACTAAAACGAACTAGTAAATCATGAATGCAACAGTGATTGGAAATAATTGTGCTACTCTCCAACCGCCCTTTAAAACCCTAACTTTGAAAGTTAGGTGATAGCCGTTACCTGTCAGTAAAGTTGCCAAATGCTGTTTGAACAGAATGTAATGTGTACTGTTCAACCCAGGCCCAATGAAGGGAGAGAAACGAGAGTGAGAAATTCTGTCTGGTTTGTTTCTCGCACATGGTCCACAGCCTGTCCAACCAAGTAAGTCCTTCCACCACCTGTAGTAAAATAGGAATTAAATTTTTCTGTAAATCAGAGGTTAAAGAACCAGAAAACAGAACTTAATAAACACCACCATAACATCCTAACAGAGAGATATCGTTGTAGACATCTAATGTATGACACTGTGTCAAGTAGTGTCAATCCAGTTTTGATAGCAACAGTTGTTACAGTCAAGGTGATCATGGAGCCTATGTTAAATGATTACTGCATGTTATGGTTATCTTTAGAATCAAAAGGACTGCTCTGTTGAGTTTAATTAACAAAAGATTTTACCATCCAGTAGTTGCTGTCACTGAAAGTTTCTCCTTGATGGATACAACTGTCCATAACAGAGCCCAGCAATTTAAAGAAGGGTAACAGATGTACCACAACTGGGTGAGGAAGCGATTCTAACGGCAACTGACCTACAAAGACACGAACAGTGAGTAGAGCTTTGGGAATAGGTGAAAGATATCTGGCAACGTATAATAACACTGTAATTGAAATGAAAGACTAAACCAAAGGTTGTTAGAGAATCTTACGATAGAGACCACGGTAATGTTATCTCTCATTATCAATACTCCTACCAGCATGAAAAGCGTTACAAAGCTGAATCAAATTCCCGCTTTGTAAAGTTCCAGATGAATGAATCTTTCCTTCAAAAGAATAACACTGTCTGGCTTTAGCTTCTAACAGAGACAACCTACAAAAAGATCGTCACAACAAGAAGTTATACAAATAAATCATCACAAGTTTACATGCACTACATGTTTTCTTATTGTAACTTAAAATATACCAATTTTCTCTCAATACAGAGCAGTCGCATAAATGAACTAGTAGCAGCAGTGATGAACAAATACGTTAAAAAATTACAACTTCCCAGCTCTCTGCAATATGTACGGAAGCCCATAATCCTACTTCTACTGAAAAGTTGGTTTGTGAGGTTGCCACAGATAATCAATAATTATTCAGGTGTTTTTTTTTGGTCAGATACTGGGGCCGAACATACTAAAGACTTTTGATTGACAGACTTGTCCATGTGAGTGCAATCAAGCATATCGTTTTCATCGTGAGCCGGTTTGTACAAAAGTGTGAAAAAAAAAAGACCTTTTGAATAGTGACTTGTTTGGGAAAATTAAACTGTTATTGGTAGTGGCGGCAATCCCGACAACTTTAAGTTAATGGCCCAGCTGATGTGGTCATAATTGGGGATGTCACTGTTTAAGTGGCCATCCACCAGACCCCAGAGGGAAAGAGAAAGACAGGCCGACCGGACAAAAAACTAGGCGGCGGACAGTCAAGGAGGAGGTGAAAGCCATACACTAGAAGTTGGAAAGGATCCAGAAGCGGGTCCAGGATAAAGAAGAGCCAAGAGGTGCGACGGGCTGTTAGTAAGTAAGTTACTGTTAAAGTTAATTTCAAGCGAATAGAGGTACCTGTTTGCCAAGCCTGAAGCCCTTTCCAATGGTGCAGTATTAACTGGAAACTGTCTCAGATGATTGAAAAGATCTGTGTTCTGTCTTAGGTCATAAGGGAGATGTTCAAGCATGCGGAAATCTGTAAAGTACCCAATCATAACTGTTTAACTCGTGTTCAAATCAAATCATGAAGTATAATACGTACAAAAATACATAAAAGGAAACGTCAAAGGAACTTTTTACAGCTTAGGTCAGCAAGGAAAACACCATAAACTATACTCTTAATGACCAGAGATAATTGGGGGATATCCATTGAGTTCCAATTGGCCATTTCCGAATTACCTTTCGCCTCTTTTTCAAAACGAGGCCTGGTGCTCGACCATTCGCATGAAAACGAGTTTAATTTACATGTGAATGAAAAGTTATAATCATACCAAAGGATGAGCACCAGGACTTGCTCTGAAAATGAGGCCGAGGGTAAATTGGAAATGGCCAATTGATTGCAATGGAGACTGGGACCTGTGTGCATGTCATTCTCAATGGCTCTCACGGTCATTCCACAGAAACTGGGATACCCCCGTGACAGCACTATCCTCTGGAACTGATGCTTTTTGCCTTGATTCTCCCTGATAAATGTATACTTCATTTTGCTACCTACCAAATCGTGTGGACTGGATATCTTTGAACCCAATTCTGAGTTTATCCATAAGTTGACTGCTATAAATTACACCAAAACTCTTCAGGTAGGATTTCAAGAGTGAGGCAACATCTCCTAGATGACATGAACATAACTTCTTAGCACAAAGCACATCCACCACTGACTGCAAATAACCCAGCCTAGACGTCCAGTCATGATGTGATGCTCTTTCCAAAAACAACAGCACAGCAGACTCCAGCTGATGCACAGATGTGCCATTCTGGAGAATGTGCAACAATGGAAAGGACTGTTGTTTGATTGTTGACACAACAGAGTTTGCATGATATTCTTGGGCCGATGGAAAGTTCAGTATAGTAGATTCAAAATGGACGGCACTTCCCAAATTTTTAGTGTGCTTGCTAATAAGGTCTTTGACATCCTGAAAACAACAAATCATTGTCTCAGATGAAAGACACAATATTCATTACTTTATCTAAAGAACTAAACATCCAAGCAACCGAGATTGTTTAATAAGTTGCCTCATCAGCATCAGCAAGCTTCTAAGCGAAGGCCTGTATCTTTTTACCCATTAGCACTCACTGTAAACTATAAATTTCTTTCCGAGACCATCTAAGGCGCCTGGAAATATAATAACACTTGTCTACCAATTCAAGACTTCCTGGCCATTAACAATTTTCTTTACCCACTTGGAACTGCCAATAGTTTGATAGCTTTGGAATTTTTGATTACAAGATTAATTACACCCATTTTTCGGCTTGATGGGTTACTACTATTTTGTATAATTATGGGCTACGCTCTGCGAGCTCCGCTATAATCCAAAGTGATGATAAAATAATGACCCAGACATTGATCAAAATTGAGAGTCATATTTATGAAAAGCCACTGAAAAATTCATGTACCACACAAAAAATTGTTATTTGCCTTATCAAATACTACATAGTTAGCTCTTATTCATCTTAAAGATTAATACCTGTTTGTTTTGCACAGAAGTTTGATTTCTGGCGTAAACTTGATTCAGAGAAGTTGCAACAGCAGATAATTCTTCCCTTCCTCCCTGAAGGAGTTGCTTTGTTAGTGAGGCTGCATGAAGCATATCCAAGAAAGAACCTTAAAGAAGTAACACAGCCAATAAGTTCTTTGACAGTTCTTTTTAATCCTTGAACTCCTAGAAGTGATTAACATGTAAATTCTCCCTATAATATCCATACATTATTAAGCAAACAGGTGATGAGAATACCCAAACTTATCAGGTAGAAGTTGTTATCTTGATCTACCATCAAATCCTCAAAAATAACCTACAAAGAAATGTGTTGCAGCCAGAGGGGAGAATTAACAATTGGATCCTTGGAGTTAAAGGGTTAATGAAATCTCCCTGCGTTTTTAAATACTGATGTATCTCCCTGCGTTTTTAAATACTGATGTCCCAAACGAGGAACAGAGGGAAGCTTCTGAGTGCCTATGAGGTACCATATCTCAGACCTTCCAACTTCACTTATGTGAATCACCAACACATAATTCTCTTAACATTTAAGGTAGAGCTAAACTATACATTGGTGGAGGCATGGTGGCCTCATGGTTAGTGCGCTCAACCCCGGATCAAGTGGTCCGGGTTTGAGCCCTGGCCAGGGTCATTGTGTTGTGTTCTTAGGCAAGACACTTTACTCTCACAGTGCTTCTCTTCACCCAGGTGTACAAATGGGTACCAGCAAACATCCTGGGGGTAACCCTGCGATGGACTAGCATCCCATCCAGGGGGGAGTAGCAATACTCCTAGCCGCTTCATGCTAAGGAAACTGGAGTTAAGCACTGGCCCCATAGGCCACTTGGGCCTGTATAAAGGCTTTACTTTTTTTAAACTATACATTATATGTGATGAAGCCTACCTCCTTTGTCTCTGTGAAAAGCTACAAGACAATCACATATTCTTTTGTCTTCAATACCAAGGCCATTAAGCATCATTTGGTAATCAAAGTCATCATATTTCCCATCATCCTCCTTACAAAAAGTAAGAATGTACTTCAGAAAACTTCAAGAAAACAGTAGTGGTGCTGCTGTGAAAACTTTATCCATGCTTTCAAGAAGAAAAGTTTTACAGCCATTCATTTTTTAAAAGAGTCCTGCTGATTATTGTTGTGTCCAGCCTCATATTTAGTCTGAGACTAGATAGTTGGTCTTACTACAGGAACTGTTTGCATTAAGCCATTCAAGACATTGCTACCCCACTTCTTGGATGAGTTGTTAATCTAACACTAACAACTCCTGAAATTTTGTAAGACTGCCCAGTCAATACATACTCCAAGGTAGCAAGTAATGTGTGGGAGAAAAGAATTCTACCCCAAAACAAGGCCAAAAAGTGGACCTCTCTATTTGAAATGTCTTGCATGGCACACCCATGGGCTACCACACCTCCAACTGGTCATCATGTTTAATCTCAATTTTAACATACCTCTCCCAACATGAAAATTTCCACTCCTCTATTGCGCATTGCTCTTGAGATCTCACCATATCTTGGATCCATGGCAAGAATCAACCTGAAAAGAGACAAAAACCCACATGACAAATCACAAGAAATGCAACAGCTTTCTGGTAAATACAAAGCATGTGTACCATAAATACAATCTAACCTAAAATTGGGATGTGGCTTGATGGAGGGGATTTGGCCATCAATAACCCCTCTTTCATCGATGGTTAAGACACCTCCAGGTTCCAACAAAGCATTCAGTCTGTCCAGGACGGATGGACTGGAACAAGAAAACAAGTGAAAGTTAACAAAAGTAAAAACCTCTTGAATTTAACATGACAATTAAATTGTTCAACTCCTGGTTTTCCTTTCATTCACCAACCATCAACATTAGATAGGATATTTAGTGGTTGCTTGACAGTATATACACCCACAGATGCTATGTTTCAATTTGCCTAGGGATTAGCAGGTGAAGAACAGCCAAATTCTTATTTCCTTACAATTATTTCTGTTACCTGCAGAAGTTAACATTGTCTATCAGAAGCCAGTAGCCAGACTTGAGGGCCTCCACAAGTTGTCCATCAACCCATTCAAACTGTCCACCACAGTGGGAACTGTCCTTGTTGGCTCTGAGTTTCTTTTGTAAGGACTGAACCATCTCCATGATGTTAACTACAGAAAAAAGAAAATATCAACCAACTATTAAGACCTTGCATAACCACTGGCCTAGAGATAAGCCCACTGTGCATTTCACCCCTGACTATTATGTTGTGTTTTTGACAAGATACTTCCCTCATGCAGAGTCTCTCCACACCCAGGACTATAAAAGAGTATTAGCTTCTGTCAAGGAATGTGACAAAATACTGGGAGGAGACCTGCCATGGACTAACAATACCCCTAGTTCCTTTAAGGTGAAGAGGTTAGCACAGGCTGTGTAGCCTATTGGTTCAAGAGAAGACTTTGCCTTTGTAAGTTTAAGGTCCAGCACAAAAGCTTTGAGAAACTTGACAACCAAGGGTGACATTATTTGGTACAGTTTGCTCAGAATATAAGTTTGTTCATCTTTAGTAATTTGGTGTCAAGATGTTCATTGTGTGCAGACAGCATCCATGATTTAACTAGATTTCATTTGCAAACTCTGAGTGGATTAAAAACCTAGCCTGTCATCTTGTCATGGCCAGACAAGGTTCCAAGAAAATTGTCTCAACAAGCAATGCAGTCAAAACATCATCAGCATCATTATGTGTTAGTCTACATGCAGCATGATCAAAAGGTTCCAACAGGGAGCTTTTAAACTAAGCCCTGGAGCAACCAGCAAATGAGTACATGATGAGACCCCATAAACAAGAGCTATCAAAAGAAACTACTATGGGATAGAACAAACCTGCATCTGAAGAATCAAATTCATAGCTGCTACAGATCTCCTGAACTTTTGTAAGGAGATGTTTCAAGTCATCCAGTCTCTTGTGAGATAGCATTGTAGCGTTTTCATCTTCAGAAACTGTGCAAAAGATAAAAAATACCATTAGCCTCAGCGAAGGTAATTACAATATAGAAAGAAAGTCCATAGGAAAACTTTTATTTAAACAGGTGGTAAGCCAAGTATAGTTGTTATATCTCTGCACAATCCCAGTAGACATCCCTCTCTATTACCATCTCCATCCTTGATCCCCTGGACAACACCATATGAAGTAAATTACTTTTCACAGAATGCTGAGCTGAATTAATATGCTTCACATAAGGTAATAATACTTTAAGGGGTAATATTATGTTAGTTTAATGTTGAACAAGTTTACTTCTTGATACCTTTGTGGGACAAAGGGAGCAGAAATGATGATGCAAAATCATGCCTGATTCTACTTCATTTGGGAAAAGACAAAAAAAAATACAATTCAAGCCACAGTAATTTAACATTGCCAACAAACTACATTTGGAAATGTGCAGCAGCCTTTCACACCTGTAAATGACAGCCATTCCAAAATGTTTTATTTCCCTGGTAGTCACATAATTTCTGAATGTATACCTTCAGAGTCATTACTTGAGAAGGATGACGACAGCTTATACAGAGACGATATTTCTTGCAAACATGTCCCCATCTGATCATTGCAGATCAAAATCTCTTTTATTATGGTAGGGATAAGCTGCCTGGTTCTATCTATGATATCTCTCAAATGTCTGTCCAGATCAGCCTGTAAGCAAAAAAATTAAGCCTGAGCAAAAAATTAAGCCTTAGCAAAAATTATGAAAATTACTATCACTCCCTCTTATGTCTCTTCATAAATGGAGAAAACCACACACACTAATAGTTGTTACATCCTCACCCAGCCAACCTTTCATTAGTTTTATCTAGGACCAATTTAACTTAATGGAACAAAAGGATGATGTTTGAAAAAACATATGGTTGTCAAAGGTAAGTATATCTTCCTGCTGGACATGCAGCTTTCATGCTACCTTGCCTACTGGGCAAATAGCATGTTGAATTTCAGATTTTTTTAAACACTATGTTGTACCTGTTCAAATCCCCCCAGAAGTTCAGTGGTGTCCATGGCACTATTCATGGCCATCACTTCAAGTCTATTTCCTGTCAGTTGGGCAACTAGATGGACTAAGGATGTCTTTCCACAAGATCTTGGACCAACCTAGTTAACAAAAAGACAAATTTTGGGCACAACTTGTTATGTTTAAAAACATGTTTCACACATCACATACAACAAACATCTTTTGTCACTGGGGAATGGAAAACTTCCACCACAAGAATGTCCTGCAACAAACAAATGTAGAATTGTATGTGTTACTTTTTTCCCCTGACTTTTTTCAGTTTCAAAATTTCAGTAATATAACATTATTGTACTAAAAGGCAACTGAAATTAAACAGAAACAAGAGAACCTGCCTCAAAATTGTGGGACACAAATGAAATGGAATGTCAAATTAAAAGTCTTGTCCCAAAATATAGCACTTTCCTGAACACTATTCTAAGGACTATCCATGTGGTGCATTGATACTCACCAGTACAGCCATCCAGTTCATGTCTAGACAGGTCATGAGTGACTCCATGGCTGGCAGACAATGATGAAGCAATTGTAAGGGCCTTCCACCATTTGGTGACTGGTTCATTAAGGAACACCTTGGAAGCCATGAATGGCCAACCTTTCAAGAGAGCAGTAATAGTCATTAGTATAATATCATTGCTCCAACCATTGATTATAGAGATGCTCACACATGCTCTGATTGGTCAAGGAATGCACTATACCTCACTATAATCACCTCGCATGAGGTGATTAGATCAGGAGTGCTAAATTTCAAAATTGTGTTTCATCAGTGTTACCAAGGAACTGATGAATGTGAAAAAAAATTCAATTCCCTAGAGCCCAAAAGATGCTACTAAGTTTGGAGTAACACTTTTCAAAAGAAAGATATAAAGTTTTTGCTGATTAAATTAAATGAACCTGTTAAATTATTGTGGAAACTGGCTCTTTTCTTATACAAGTAATCGGAACAATTGAAACAGAATAGTTTTAGCATCAAAATATATATTTACAACAGAATTCAAAAGCAATAATGCAATTATACTGAAACAATTCTTCCCCTCGGGCTCAGTGAATATTGTTGAGTAATCCCCTCAACCTAACATGGACATTATTCAACAACATTTACTTCACCTTGAGCAAAGGATTGTTAATAAGATGTAAAGACAAATCTGGGATCATTTTTGTTGGAGAACTTTGAGTTAATCCTCATGCTGCACCAAAGTTGATAGTTTGCCTTACAGACTTACCTGAACATAGCCTGGTGTGATGTAAAATGATTTTTGCACAGGACCAATCTTATCAATCTGTCTTGAACTCTCAAATATGGACTTAAACAACTTGAGTACCTAATCCATCCATTAGCAAATAAGAAAACAGATGAAAAGATGGTAGGTTTTCTTAAGATCATTCTGTGGTATGCAACCCTCTTTCTCACAACTTCACAATTTCACTACTTTTTTTGTGCAATTTGCACCTGTACATAAACACCCATCCAATAAATGTGGGTTGTTTCTCTATAGCTGGAGCTTGCCACTGAAGTGAATCATCATCCCCTGTGAGACAAGTGGGGTGACCCATCATTTTTCTCTCTTTTTTCTTCTTTGATAGGAAAGCATTTAAAACTGTCCGTAAAACTGAACACAAGTAGAGCAATTCTAACTCCATAAAACAATTCTAAAAATATAATTCTGGTATGTGCTTGTAAATATTATCATAAACACTTAATAAGGAGTTACTACACATGTACACATCCTGCTGCTCCTGAATTAATGTACTAAGGAAATTTTCTTTAAAGGCCTACTTTAGCTTACTAAGGTAAACTTACTCTTGTCAGAAGCAAACAGAAACCAGTCTTACCATCTGTTTATCTTGTAGTGTCCTCATTCTGTCACAGTAAATAAGATGCACAAACTGACCAGGGTTCCAAGTGCCACAATTCTAGGAAGCAAATCGTTTATAAGTAGGCCTTAATGTTGCCAACAACATAACCTATTTTGTGCCAATAATTAGGTCACAGAAAGAAAACTCATGAAAACATACCTGGTATTTTATGAGCAAATCACACCACCTAAACACATCTCTTAAGTTAAGTTCCCATGGACCACCTTTCCTTCCCCAGTGTCCTTCCACAACAGTCTCCTCATGAATCTAGCCCAGCAAGAAAATAATAAAACCTTCCTTAAACAAAGGAAGCAACAACAAAAACTAAAAACTGAAAGGTAAGGTTTACCTAATAATCAAGCTCTGTATATATTTTCATATGATTGGTAAATAGGACCATCCCTTCAGCCAATTAGCCTTTTACAAGAAGAACTGACACCACTTCTTTACTTAACACACAATATTGTGATACACTGTACATCTACCTGCTGATTGAATGTCACCATCTTTTCCAAGATGTGCTGATCTACTTGTGGATAAAGAGCTTGTGTGATGAACAGTAAGTCTGCTTTGGAGAGTGGCTCAACATAAACCTAGGAGAAAACCATAATTAAGTTATTTAATATGTACCAGCATTTACACGTTATAGCAACCAATGGCATTTAACACAGGGCTGTGAAGGAAATGAGAAACATGTGTGGTTATGAGAAACAACCACAGCCCTTCCACTCTCAAGATCTAAATGTCTCTTCAATTGTCTTTATATCTCCTATCTCTGCATACATTTTGATAAAATTTAGTCCTCAGAATTTGGTGTCAAATCAAACCATACCGCTTGAAATATTTTGAGAAATAACTGTAAAGAAAAATTCATTTTTGATCATTTGAATTAAAAATGTTGCAGATGACAAAGAATCCTTAGTCAAAGAAAGAGATTGAAATCATTTTGACAGAATAATATTAGTTTACCTGAGTGAACCTGTTAAGGAAAGACTTTGGCAATCCTTTTCTTCCTCCTCCCTGGTTTAAGGGATTTTGACAGGCAAACAGTCTTGTCTGGTCAGGTTGGACTTTGAAAGTCATTCCCAGCTCAGGGATATAAACCTGCAACAAATTAAACAAAATGTTATTGACATTTTTTCCTGAGATTAACTTACAAAATCACTGACTGAGTTGAGAACAGAATAACACAAAACAGAATCACCTCTGCTCTGTGGTCCAGACATGCATTGAGTCCTTCAAGAACAGACTGTGATGCTAAATTGAGCTGAAACACAAAACCAAAGACATCATTAAAAGTTCCTGAGAGAAGTTCTACCATTACCCTACCATACATGTAGCTTGAATTAAATCATGTAATGGAAACCTTTCAGAATTTTGGCTTACATAAAAGTTATATCAGTAAAACTACAGAGCTAATGTCAGTGAAGATTGGCCACCTGTTTGTCAGGGTACTTAAAACTAGCTTGAAGACATCTTGTTTGCTATATTTATATGCACTTCCTGTCATTTAAATAGAATTAAATAAAAGATTTGCAAACAGGATCATGCCCTGATACCTCTGTAGCTGGCTCATTCTTACAAGTCAATCCTTGCATCACCTCCCTATTCCCACTTGCAGACTTGCTTTGCAGACCTAATTCCTGAAAATCTAGGTCTCTGAAGGAAGTCATCATGAGGTAAAAGAAAAAAAATACAAAACAGAATACCTCATCCAGGACAATCCAGGAACCTGCTTTCAGTGCCTTCAAGAGTGGACCATCCCTCCATACAAACTGTCCTGCTTCCCCACCCTCAACAGGCAAGTCAGATCCAAATAAGTCTGTCACATCCTTTAACAACAATGAAAGAGCATGAAGTTGAATACAGAAAACAAATCTACACATAAATTGCTACTACTTTCCTACCTGAAGCTGATACTGATTGAACAAACAAAGTTAGGAACGTATCCTACATTTTTCTTATCAACCCTTTAACCACTATATGAATGAATAGCATCATACTTCTACAAACAGCATCACGGCAGAAATCAAACATTAAGGTCTCAAAAATAACTTAGTAAAAGACAGCAATGATAAATCAATTTACTTACAGTTTGCTCAGAAAGGTTAATTCTAATCAATTCATGGCCAGATGCCTTAGCAATGGCATGGACAAGACTGGTTTTGCCAACTCCAGGAGACCCTTCCAACAAAATAGGGCGAGGTAACTGAAGGGCACGCAAGATACGCTGTGCATTTTGTAAAGTTGTTGGTGAGCTGAGGGTGTAGGTGCTACCAAAATCTTCTGGTAGAGGTTGTGGTCCTAAGAAGGATTTCATTTACAATATTCAGTATCAAATAATATAGATAATTCAGACTGAAGATAAAATCAGGGGGCCATTACAAGTCCTTCCTTGGAAAAGAAGACATTATTGATCCAAATTCTTTTCAAATGCAGGTTGCTTGTACTGAGCAGTGTCCCTGTGTCTTTAGCTCTTCATAACCAAGAAGTATTACTTCTACTCCTGGATGCCACTTACATGCACATCCACATAAAAGGCTGACTAAAAATCATTTCCATATGTACCTCTTTGTATATAAAATGGCCATATACCAAAAAAATCTGGTCTTTCATTGATATTTTTCATTTGTGCATTGTTAGGATATCCACAACATTGCATTTCCTCTTCATCTTGTTCCACCTGTCTCTTCAGAAATTCAAGGCAAGCTTGGTACACGTCTTTTACACCACTTGATGTTGCAGATGTAATTGTGGCTGATGTTGATAATGATGATGAAACCAAGATATTGGACCCTGCACCCAAGGCATCCAGAAAAACCAGGCAGGCACCATGAACATAAGCTAAGGCTGATGAGAGTAAGACTTTGTCACCTGTATTTTCATCTGCACCATTCAGAGTTGTTGAGAAACTGCATGTATTTATAAAATTCACCCAAGACAACAGATCTCTGATGCTCACTACAAATCTAGAGAAAAATTTTACCATTGTTATTATTAATAACAAAAAATTTCGATATTGCAAGCTGATGATATCATCTCTGATATTTGGTTGTTGATAATATTATGCAGCATATCCTTGAGAGCTCATTTGAAATGGAATAATTCCTATTGTAATTGCTGTTTTCAAAATGTAATATGATATTCTCAACTATTTCACATCCATCAAACAAGGCCATAAAACAGGTCTATCAGCTCTTGAAACACACAAGGCAATTGTTATTTAACATTTCCCTGTGATCCATTCATTCTTTCTGAAATACCAGCAATGAACATGTGGGATCACAATTAAAAACTGAACTTACCTCTTTCCAAAGTCTGAGCTATGAAACCATTCTATGAAGTCCACCATAGCTTCTCCAATTCCTGATGTACCTATAACAGAAGAATACTTGTCCTTAAAGATGGCAACTTGCAAGCTAGGAAAACATTTTGTGTTCGTTTTTCTAGCACCTCTTAAGGAAGGCCTTCATGGCACCATGCCACCACATATGACACAAATGAAGGCATCCAGTATGATCTTCTTACCTTGACAGGCTGATTTTAGAACAACTCCAGGCTTGATGTTGTGTTCTATAATCTGTACCAGGTCTGCCCTGGCATCTGAAGGTGGGCACCAAATCTCAGTGAACCTGTTCCTAAGGGCTGGAGATAGCTGCAAGAGAAAAAAAAAAAGAAACATACTTTGACTTTCCAAGCATGTAAAAGCTGCCTTATATATACACAACTTCACTAGCTGTTTTGTTTTGCTAATTTTATCATTAGTGCTGTTTTTCCCTGATGCTGATTCCTAGAAACAGCCAGTTGAGGATAATTTTTAAGTAAGATTACCCATTGTACTATTGATGGCATTTGCTGTGGTGATATGACAAGCAGTTGTCAGATCCCTTTTATGTTGTAAGTTTTCACTTTATTAGGAGGTCATCAATGAATATACATGTACATGGAATAGTTCACATGTACTGCCATGTTCCTGCCTCCATGACATACAATACTGTTTTGAATTGTTATCACCAACATCAATTTTAGTGACAGTGTTTCTAAGAATTATTCTTCCCACATCTTACACTCAAAGATGCATTATTAAATGTCTTAATAAACACATAGCACAAACAAGGAACGTTGTCAATATTTAATGCCAAATTGCAGAAAAAACATCAGATCAATGTCAGTATCTGAGCAACGGCACACCTACCCCTCCCCTAACCCAACAGAAACCCTAACTTATTATCAGTTAACTGTTGCTGGGTTACAGGAGGGGTATTTGCTCAGATACTCAGGTAAGGACCCAACACACCTTACCTCTTTCTTGCCAAAATCTCCACCAGGGTTCATGGTTCCTATTATTTTGAAATCTTTGTGTGCAACCAACATGGCAACATCTTCTCCAACAGGATCTCCACCATCACTGCCTTTTTCAGCAAGAACTAAAGTCCTCTCAGGTTCTAGCACACTGTTGAGTCTCTCCAACACTGAGTCATCAGCTAAAGAAATCTCATCTACCAAGAACATTGCTCCATGTTTCATTGCTTGTACAAGTGGTCCATCACACCACTCAAACAGCTTGGTAACTTGCTCATCCTTTGAAATGATGTAACATAACTTGTCTTATTCATGAAAAAAATCCATCTATGCAAAGCATATACTTTTATGCAGCTTAAATGAACTTGTACCCACTGAAAGACACTTAAGACTATGAAAAACAAAGAGTAAAGACCAACAAAATAAATCATCCAGTTCTCCACTTATAAAATTAAAGCAATTCTTTTGATGGGCTTTGGCTATATGGAAAGAGCAGTAGATTCTTCCATTACTACTGGGGCTAGCAGGGCCTCTAACCTGTTCCTCCTGGCCTCTGTGTCTCACAGGTCTCAGACCTCCAAGGAAATCAGCAGACTCAGAATGCATGTGACAGTTAACAGCAAATAACTGCTGTTTCCACAGAGCAGCAAACAGTTGGCAAATGGTGGTCTTACCACAGCTGAAAGGCAAACACAGTGATACTATAAAAAGGATTCCATGAGTTTGATATGTTGACACAAAGCGATGAGTGCAACTGAACATGGATTTGTTCCTCAAGATGCAGCAGGCAGGACTACTCATCAAAAGGTGCATTTAGAAGCTCAACCAGGATAACTGTAACATTTTCTTAGGCATGTCACTTCACTCTCACAGTAAATCTCTCCACTGTAGAGCATGAATGGGGTTCTGAAAGTTATCAGGGAAATTTGAAAACATTTTTAAGAGCCCATGATGGAATGGTAACATCCAGGAGTAGTAATGCCTCTAGCCATACACAAGAGATGGGATGTACTCAAAAAGATATGGAAACATGTCTCATATGTTACCTTGGCCTCCTTAATTAACCACTGCTTATGTCTAATGGTTTGTATGTATACAACTTAGGTACTAAGATCATAATTTGACACATGTCACTGATTATATGGAAATCAATTGTTTTCATGTTACTGCATCAATGATAACACATTTTAGTTTTAATTGCATCCACAACTCCTCTAACAATTTCACTTAAAGCCAACCCCTACTACATCACAATACCCTGTTTCTCCAACAAGCAAAACTGGTTCTCCAAACTTAAGGGCTCTTCCAGCCAAGACAGCAAGCCTACGCATACTGTAAGTCCAGACAATGTGTTTGAATCCCTCCAATGGCGCTGTTGTGACTTCATCCATGAGACTAGAGACCCTGTGAGAATGCTTTTGCAAAGAAGGATACCCAAACAAAGAATCTGGATCAAAACTTCGCTTCATTTGCTTTTCAATAACTTCCTGGATGACTTTGCACTCTGAGGGATTTCTGCATCGACCAGCGAGTAGCATGTAACCTGTAAACAATACACATCTGTCTTATTACGAAAAAAGAAAACTTGCTGAAATAATTTAAAGAAAGTTGCCAGAGCACAGATGAGGCTTTATGCATCTCATGAATTGCATGTTTTGATGTTATGAATATTTACCATCCTCTGCAATGTGCTGATCCCAGTCATAAAAGCCACTTCCTTCTACATCAGGAGTCTTGCTGTACCTCTCTGCCCAGCGAAACAAATCTCGTAGGGTGATAAAGCCTTGTTTACCAGCAAATACATTTGTACTCCTACGCCGTGCCTGTAAAAGCACAAAATAGAAGTTAATACTCCTGAAGTCAATAGAATCTTGTTGTTAATTATGTAAATTGAGGCAATGATGAAGAAGTGATAACAGCAGAATTGCAATCTAGAGGTCCCAAGTGCAAGTCTTGCTCTGACCACCAGATGAATTTCTTTCTTAGTGGTCCTGGATTCGACTCCTCTGTGACACTTGTCATATCCAACTGGTTTGCTTCCTACTAGTTAGGGTATTAAGTGATGTTACTGTTTGATCTAGTTTATTTCTTAAAGTTTATTTAATAAGGGCCCCTGGTTTAATAGTGTTTCTCTGACTGTCAATGGTTGTCCTTTGTAAATAAATCCTTTTTTAATTACAATATTAAAGTGGCTCACATACTTGTAAGGCAAGCATTATTGCCACCAGTTTCTTAGCATAAGACAGTGGTAATCTACAGCGCTGGTGAAGAATAACCTCAAGTTCCTGGCTGGGAAGCTCATCAAAATGAAGTTCTACGAAGCGATTTCGAAAAGCTCTTGATAACACCTGTAAAATGAAATAAATTAACTCTCAATGGTGAAAGAAATATACACAACAGAGAGAACAATGCAGAATCTTCACTCCAAAATGTAAGAATTTGGTGCTAGATTTGGGTTTAAATAACAGATTAAACAATTCTAGGGTAAACCTTTCTTCCACCATAATGTCCTGGAGGATTTTGTGTAGCAAACAGCATAAACATTGGATGAGCTACAACTGTTTCTTGTGTTTCTGGAATAAACAGCTCTCTGTTATCATCTAACAGCTGCAGAATAACAAAAAGGGAAAAAAATGAAAAATAAGTACTCTTGCAAAGACTGAGCAATACCATGATTAATATTAGTACTTCTTATGCGTGTAAGATTATTATCATTATCAATGTTGTTATTATAATCAAGCGTGACATTAAAGAACAACTGGCAAGTCAATTCATTCTTCTACAAGTTGGTAGTTTCACACCAAAATCTCTTGAGAAACATTATTTGAAGGCTATTACTTTAAAATGTATTTCATTCACTGTATCTATGATCCCCAGTTCAACAATCACAGAAAGTATATCACTGGAATAAAACAGGAACATGTTCATATAATTGTTTCAGTTTTAAAGTAATTTGTTTGGTATCTTGACCAAACACTAAAACATTGATTACTTACCCTATTAAGGGCCTCTAAGACATCTGAAGGGGCCAGATTGAGCTCATCCAAAATGATCCAGTGGCCCTTTCTCATGGCATCAACTAAAACACCTACAGAAATTATATGGCCTATTAGCACTGTCAGTGATGTTCACTCTTGTACTCATTAATGTCTACTTAATCTGCTGGCCTATATTTCAGTTAAATCAATTTTTGTTCTACGCATTTATAACAAGTGGGGAACCATGAAAAATATGGTTTCCTAATAAGAATTAAAATCAAGTCTTACCTTCTTTAAAAACCAGTTTGCCATTCTCATCTGACGTGTAACAACCAAGATATTCTTGGATATCAGTGTGTTCATGATTATTTATTCTAACACAATGGTTCCCAGATGCCTTAGCCAGCCACTGAATCAAACTGGTTTTACCCACTGAGGTTTCTCCCTGAATTAAAACTGGAAGCTTCCTGGAAACAAAATTGTATCAAATATCAAAATGCTGATCCTGATCCTGACCCCAATTCCTACTGTCATCATTATCATTTCCATCAACCTACTGACATGTGAACCCATTTAACTTCCAGTACATTTTCACCACAAAATGTGACAGCTGGTGAACAGAATAAAAATAGCCTTGGCCACACCCTGAACTCAACATCAACAACACAGCTACATGATTAATAAAGGGGTAAGTTCCTAAAGAAACTGTGGTGCTACCTCAGTAGGAAAGTATAGCAGGGTAATTTTATTAGTATCATTAACTGGGTTGATTACATAAACTGGCCGCCATTAAGGGTTTAAACACTGATGTTTCAAGCATTAACCCTTCATCTATCACTCTGACAAAGGGTAATGCTCGAAATGTCAGCCATTAACACTTTATGGTGGCCAATTTATGTTATCAACTCAGTTGATAATGCTAGATTACCCTGTAGCACTGCTACATAGTTATGTAATAGTTGATTCTCTCAACCTTTTTTGGCATTTTATCCCCCAACAGTACATTGCATAGAATTTCTCCTGACAGTTTCACTATTGAATTAAACATTAATGTCACAAGTTAGAGTGATTACTGGCTGAAGGAGCCCTAAATTGATGCACAAATTCTCCTGTTAATACAGTAAAATTCACACCCTTCCTCCATTGAGTTTTTTTATTGGAAATGGTGGCTACAACAAAAAATAACAGTATCATGTAACTGAAAGTTATTTAGTTTCCCTCTTGTCCCTCTGCTATTAATAACAAATTATTTTGCAGACACTTTTAGTACCTTTAATTAGAACAATCCAGATAAAGAATGGGCCAAATACCTGGCAGATACAACCCTGGCAAGATCCTTCAAGTTAGCCTTCACTGAAGCTGTTAAGACATACTCATTTGACATCACAGGTTCTTTACTTCCCAAAGCAATCCAAAATCCTTCAAAATTACAGTAGTGTCCAGAATCTTGTGGCTTAGGCAAGGGCTGCTTTAACATACTGGCAGCATTAACATGGCCCAGGATGTGATGCTTAATGAGAGACTGGACAGAGGGGTGTGATGAACGATCCAGCTGTGTCAAAAAACTCAAACAAAATCCCTGCACAAGAGGAAAAAATTATGTGAAAAGTCAAGCAGACAAGTGATGAAAAAAAGGAAATATCAATTAGGGCATTATTAGCTGATCCAATACCAAACTCTTGGAGATAGCATCTTAAGAATTGTATGGCAGACAGTAAGGAGAATTACTAGTGAGATCTTGGAGAGAAAGGGATAAGATAAAAAGCTCAGGTTTGAGTTGCTGTGTATGAGTACCAAAAGTGCTCATGAATAGACCACCTCTTCCTAATCAAAATTTTGTATTACAAATCACCTCCTTTAATCTATATAGAAAGCCCATGACAGTAAACATCAAGTCAAAGTACAATAGCCCTTTAACTGCCAAGACCTGATGTTATTCTTCCCTTCAGCTGTGACACATTTCTCTGTAAATCAGTTGGGAGAATTTGGTGATGGTTTGGTGACAAGTTTGAGTATTCTCATCATCTGTTTGCTGAATAGTGTATGGTTATAAGAGGTTACAAGAAGTTCATGTTTATCTAATGTGAGAGTAAAAGGCTTCATAACAGTCTTGCAGTCACCAAAAATTTGTTTCAGTGTAAGATAAAAGTGACTTACCTCATAGATAGACCTCAGAACATTCTGATGGGGATTTATAGCTGCATATCTCAAAGCACGGCACAGAGTCCGCAAACTAAAAGAAAATGGAAAAAATAATGTCCAATATAAGAGTGACATTATTATTGGGAAAGGACTTCACTACAACAAGGCAATGATTATTGATATAACGTTACTGAACATGCAGCAATTCTGACTTGTTGGTCAATTGTTCTTAGAACAGTAATCACCTGAACAGTTAATACATTGATAAATTAGACACTTTTAAAAGGTTGAGAGATCAAAAGATTCCATGTGAAACACACATAGCAAAAGCTTAACTTTGAGATTATTGATCAAAAACTGGATTGATACTGACCTGTAATGAGGCTTGTGTCCTGTGCCATCAGTCAGCTTGTCTTCTGCTTCATGCTTGACTGTGAGGTAAAATCTGGCAATAGTGATCGATATCTTTACTCCTCTGTAAAATACTTCACTACAGTAACAGTGCTACCCAAAATCTAACATACTAACCTAACAATTCCATCCACAATGGCTGAATTGGGTGACAATCCTTGCAAATAGTCCACAACCAGGGTTTTCAGGTCTGCTGTACTCTCTAATTCTCCGACAAAGATTTCTGTGAACCTTGAAAAGGAAAAAAGCAAACATAATTATATACTTGAGTTCACCTTGGCAAGACTAAAAGAAATGTTGATTTTATCAGTGATTTGACCACCAGAAACAATCTACACAGTCAATTGAAATGACATCAAATGCATAAAAATGCATGTAGGGTACATGAAATCACAAAACAAGGAAAGGGAGCAGTCCACAACAACAACTTTTAAACTATCACAATTTCCATATTTGTATGTGTTTGAAACTGTTAATTGTGAGATATCTCCAATATAAAAGTTAAACAATCTGACAGAATCTGCCAGGATAACAGACACATCCAAACATGGGTCATTCTATGAAAGATGTAAAGGATTTATCAATCATTGTATTGAATTAAAAATTTCAAACTATGAAAGATGTTATCTTGACTAAAAAAATAAGTATCCATCTTAAACATGAACAGCTCATTAAATAAAATCAAGCATTTTTATTTCTCTCTATTCAATAACCTGTTCCTAATTCCTGGAGGCAGATCTTTCTTCCCCACATCAGTAGCTGGATTCATGCAGGCAAACAGGCGAAAGTCTTCATGTCTCACAGTAGGAGTAACATCCCTAAAATCAGCAAACCATATTCAAGATCACAGTTATTTTAATGATAACTACTTCTCATAAGTGATGAATTGGATCAGAAACAAAAGGGATATGAACCTCTCAATGCTAAAATTAAAACTTCCACTGAAGATAAAAACTTTCAGTTGTTATTATCATGTATCCTTTAAACCTATAGGAAAATAAATATAGAAAGAGAGACAGCTTAGTGCTGATAATTGATTAAAAAGGGCCTGGCAAAGCAAAGCATCTAAGATACATAATTATAGTTATGAAAGTTTGACAAAGCTCAATAGCCCTTGTTTATCCAATGTTTTGAGAAGTGTTGTTAATTTTGATTTTTGATGTGTGTGAAATTATGCAGGATCCCCCTTTCACCCTACTCATATACTGAATGCATTAACCATCTTAGGTTAGATCAATTCTATTTCTGAACGCAAATTAAAGTTCTCACCCTCTTTCCATTAGTACCACTGATCCAGATGAACTCTCCAACAAACCACAAAGACATTCCAGTGTCTCGGGTGTGGCCAAATTGATCTCATCCAGTAAAACCCAGTCACCATTTTGTAAAGCCTGCACAAGTGTTCCTTCCACAAATCTAAACGCCAATGCACTCTCTGCATTTTTCTGCTGTTTTTGTAACTGCTGGATGTCCTGAATCAGACCTTGCCACTCAACCAAAAGCTTCACCATTTGTTTATCTACATATACACAGTTGCAATTTACAAAGAAAAAAGTTTGAAAAAAGGTTAAATGTTATGAGCCTAGTAAATAGGATCCTAGCTCACAACAAGCCACCCTCAACATAAATTTATAGTGAGTTTTTAATCTACTTAATCTGTCCATTTTTGTTTCCCTTTCCAGATTAGGTCACTGTATTTATATAAAATACTTAGATGTTTGATTATTTTAAGAACACATTTCAATCAAAGCTCACCTTTCTTTACTCTTTCTGTGGCATTTTTTTGACTATGAATCATTAACTTAAACAGGATCTCCCACTGTTGTTGAGCAAAGCATCTCTGTACATGACTCAAGAACTTCACATTTTGTTTCCTTGAGAATGTCTTGCAAAACAACATTTCAAACTTTTCCCTCACAGGAGCCACAATCTGTTTCATCTCCACAGGTTTGTAACCACCAAGTAGATCTGAGCTGTCACTTTGCTGGCTCATATTTACAACTTTTAAACTGACTGCACACTGTGTTGCCAAGTGCTGTACTGTTGATGTTTTCCCAGTTCCTGTCTCCCCAACCAGTAAAACAGGTTCACTGTTTCTGATACAAGCTGCAACTTTCTCGAGCAACACTAAAGAATGTCTTGTATGAGCAAATTTAGAAAGGTTATTTTGACCAAAAGAAATTGCCAGGCTTTCATGAACTTTCTTTTTTAGTGTGACCCTACCAACTGTCATTGACAGTGGAGAGGTATGAACATTTGGTTTGTAATTCATGAAGAAAAATTCAATCTTTTCTTTGGTCAAGCCTAACTTGGCACCAACTGCTAAATCAATCAAATTTTGATCATAAGTTTTTGGTAAAGGAGCACTGAAACAGTCATGAGCTTCAAGGAAAACCTCTTTCGAATCAAGCAACATAGGTGCACCACAAGCTGTTACAGCTATTCTACTACACCACTTCATTAAATCTCTACTAGAGCTTTGCCGCTTATCGTAAGGAAGAGAGCACTTTGCTGTGTCTTCACTGGAAACAAGGTGTGGATCTGCAGATAACATGCAGTAGATATCCACCAGCTTTGTTGCAATATTTTCAAGGTCTGGGTACTTCTGGACAACCACCTAAAATTATTTAAAGTTAATGATTAATAAGAATTTCCTTACACTCAATTTGAACAATGCAAACTTGTTAGTGATTTACTTTTAAACCCTTTACACCCTAACATCAGTATGCACATTCTCCATACTGTTCTCTATACATTTCACAGGGTACTGGCAAGGAGAATTTGTATAACAATTAATAGCTTCTTTAGCTGAGGATCATTTCCTTCATTCTTATAACCTTAATGCTTATTTCAGGGTTGATATTGTAAGGAGAAATTAGATGCTAGTCACTTGTAGGGGTAAAAGGGTTGATTTTTAATGTTTTTCTCTAATTAAGCATAAATTTGAAAAGAAATTGAAATTTAAGAAGTTGTTTGTTAATTCTTCAACTCCCATAGGTGACCAAGACAGAATTTCTCCTTACAATATCAATACAATATCAACCACATAAGTAATGAGAATAAAGAAAAATAACAATTTGGGAATAATTAGTTGATCCAATACTAAATTCTCTGAACTTACATTATAAGAAATGTATGGTTGACAGTAAGGAGAATTACAAATTTGATCCGGGAGTTAAAAGGTAAATCACTTTTAGAAGAAATATATTAAGGGTTCAAAAGGTTTATCTCTGCAAGGTTCCTTGAGAAGTGCTCATGCCTATAAATGACATTGAAAATTCTACAACTAAATTAAATTATGTTTGTTAGATACATTTTATCATTCAAGATACCTCTGTAAGTTCTTCCTTGGAAAAGGGTTCAATCTGTACTCTTGACCATAGCTTTTCCAAGATAGCAGAATTAGCACTAGCAACATGATAACTGAATCCACAACGACCACTGTATGACCTAGATAAAAAATTAATACAAAATACAATAAAAATAAAAAATAATCACACTGGTTATAAAAATTTCAAACCAAGATTGACCTACAACAAATACAAAACATATTACCTCTGAGTGGCAAATAGCTGAAACCCTGGTGATGCCTTCACAACATTACCATGTGCTGGCACGGACAGTGTACGAGATTCCAGCAATGGTATTAACACTGAGATCACATCCATAGGAGCCAGGTCAATATCCTCCAAGAGAATCCAATACCCAGCTTGTACAGCCTGTAGCAGTGGCCCAGCCTGCCATACAAATTCTCCTGGTGTGTCTGTGCACACATATGTACCTAGCAAAGACTTGAAAAGAACACCTTTACCATTAGAGTATGCTGAAACACATGCTACTAGAAAAATCAAGTGAGCTTTATAGGGTCAATAGTAACTTAGTCTGTATATGAGCCATGGGATTACACCCCTGTAGCCAAGATATCAATTTCAATTGTCCTTAATGTCTGCTATACATTTCTTACAACATTAGCTCTGAGAATTTGGTGTTGATTTTGAACAAAATCCCTTGATTCATCCTTTAACTTCTTCTTGTCACACATGTTTATCATAATGCAACAATAAGGTAGAGATAAATTCCTTTTTGATCATTACTGGGAGTGAATGGGTTTAAGTATCCTGATTTACAAAGCATGAAGCAACTACACACCGTTAGCAGGAATATCACTACTTTCTTAAGATAAGATGATAGCGTACTGCAGAACTCCCATACAATTTCCTAGTCCACACTATAACCTCATGTGAAGAAAAGTACAATTATAATGGTACATGCTCACCTTGCTGTCTGTCTGATCTCCAAGTTGAATCTTCATAAATTCTGGTGGGCATGTTCTCCCTGTTGCTCTGGCCACAAATTCAACCAGGGCTGTTTTCCCACAGCCTATAGGTCCTTCTAATAATACACCATTTCCTGTGGCTACCGATAGTACTAGTAAATGAAGATTATATACAGTTGATGGTACCATGACAAATGAATGGTCCACAAGATTCAATGTTCCAGGTAGGCATGGCAGCATAACCCCACAAAGGGTTGTATATTGGCCAATCAAATCTTCCTTACTGATAGATGCTCCATTGATGTTATCACCACTGACATCCATAGAATCTGAACTTAATTTCTGATGATCATTTATATCTCTACAATCTCTTACATGACTAAGCAACTTACGTGTAAACTCTTGTGTTAAAAATGAGGTTCTCTCTGAAATTGTAAAAAGTTTATCCAGCAGACCAATCTTAATTTGTTCTGATATACCTGTTAAAATTGAAATAATATGTAAAGCATACCATCTCACTTCAGGATGATTATGTTGCAGAAATTTAAAAATAGGACTCCATTCCCAGATTCTGTGAAATGTTTCAAAATCGTAACTAAGTAGATTGTAGCAAGTCTTCAATACACATAAAATTCTCTCTATTTCTTGCTCGTTAACCTGCTCCTCATCCAAAATTATTGAAAACAAACTGCAGGTTTTAATAAATCTGTAAATGAAGTCTTTCAAATGAGACAGTGTTAACAGCTCACTAAGAGTGTAACAAAATCTTTCTATGTGAGAACCACTCCTATAAGATTCTTGATGAAGGTTCTTAGCACAACGTTCCAGAATTTCCAGCAGTATTGGTTTGCAGTGTTTTACCAGAAAGGGAGTCAAATCCTGGATTAGAAACACCTCAGCCAACTTCTGCAATAATAGCTGCTTGTCATCAGAAGACCAGCTCTGAAATAAAATGATAACAGAAACACAGTAGAAAAAATATTTAGATGGAAAAAAAGCTAAAAGATCCAAACTTGCTAAATTATACTTAACATGGCAAATCATCAATTTAAGAACAATACAGTAAAAACCAAAATCCAGGGAATATGTATAACAGTTACTGACAGCGTAATTTCTTCCAGTTGATAATATATGTACTTTAAGATTTTACACTGAAGAAATGTAAAATGGTTTCCGTATTGACTAACACAGTTTATACACGGAGTGGTTTGTAAGATTTTACATCACCATGTAAAATTTCATGTAACGATTTGAATTAAGTTTTTTCCAGTTGGTAATAATTATTTAAGTAACTAAGCATAATTTTTCCACCAGATTTTAACTAAATTTCTTCCAGTTGGCATAATTTCTTCCAGTCAGTGTGTAATTTTTTTAGTTGGTAATAATTATAAGTAAGATTTTTAACTAATAATTTCTTCCAGTCAGTGGTGTAACTAATGATTTTAATTTAACTTTCAGTCAGTGATGTATGTATGTAAGATTTTATGCCTGTAACTAAAGGCGTTATTTCTTCCAGTCAGTATATTATACACTGTAAGATTTTGCGTTGTCAGTTAACGGCTTAAAATCTCACAGTTTATGGAGTTTGACTAATGGTTGTGGGTTGTGGGTACAAGTTGTGGGTTGTGGGTGTAAGTAAAAGTGTGTCCATTATAGTTAACAATTTATGGTTAATAATTCATATTTACTAATAATAATATTAATAGCACTACTACTAATAACTAATTACTGTTATTATAGAGGGTAACAGTTTTTTTTTCCTGTGAAATGTGATTTGGTTTAATAGCCATGAATAGCCACCTTTTTTTCATGGAAATTGCAAAACAATTGTATTTTTTTTTTTTTTAATGCAAAACGTGACTTGAACCATTATTGTTTTCTCTTCCTTTAAAAATTATCCAGTAAGCGTCTTAAAACCAGACTACACATAGAGGCATGACTGTGGCTAGCTAATCATCATTCTGGACCCCAGGACTCTTTATTCCAACAGGTAATTGAACACCTTTTATCTTCGTTTTGCAAAATGGCTATTTCATATTGCATGAAACATGAATGGCCATTTTATTTTTCGTGAAAAGTGATCTAAACCCCCCCTCCTTTTACCAATGCATATGTCTAAGTTGACATAATTAACATGACATGATGTATAAAAATCAAACAACCCTTCTCCAACTGTCAGGAGCCAGTAATAGACTCCTGCCAACTGTAAAATATTGTTTATTCCAATATCATTGAATCAGCTCAGTGAGACTACTGTTTCATTGACTCACTTACATACAAGTAATACATAATTCATTCAACTCATTTATACCAAAAAAATCTATACTTAACAATAATTAATTAAAAGTAGTAGTACTATTATTATTAAATATAAACTATTAACCATTAATTGTTAACTGTTACCGACACGACTTGTACTCTCACCCAGACCAACCATTGGTCAATCTCCAATGTATACACCGACGCAGACAATGGCGTAAAATCGTACGGTCCATAAACTGTGTTAGTCACCCATTACGCCGTTATCTAACTACCGAACACGAATGATCTATTCAAAATTTACAAACCTCAACTTGCAAAAAGTATGAAAGTTCATTTTTAAAACGAACGTCGCAGTCACATAGGTACTTCAAGGAGCTCAGAAAGTCAAAGCGGAAGTTCTTGCAACCCATCATGCCGTTAAATGAATGTATACGTGGATAAATGTTCCACACGTAACATACTCGCATCAAGTGCAAAGATGCAGATAAATCTCTCACTCTTCAACCACGTGTGTGTTAACGAGCCCGCTTTTTACAGATCACCAGCGCTCTACATCATTAGTTTCAGTCCTTCTCGTCCCTTAGCTTGTGTCGTTTCCAAGACAACCAGTTTCACAGATCGCCATATTTTTCGCAATACTCTACACAACTGTCCAAATGGGTCAAGATTACTACGCTGTTTTAGGCCTAACAAGAAAAGCTACGGATGCAGATATAAAAAAATCGTAAGTTTAGTGACTTATAAATCTAAACATTATATTTTATTCACCAAGGGAACTTACGATTTGTCAAAATTTCCATCGCCAGCTATCGCAAGTTGTCACTGAAATTTCACCCAGACAAGAACCAGGAGCCAGGGGCAGATCTTAGATTTAAACAAGTTGCAGAGGCGTATGATGTGTTAAGGGATCGTAAGTATTAAAATAGTATGCTTCTTTGGATTTACTGCGATGTAAAAAAAAACTGTCAAAAGTTTGGGTCGTTCTTTATTAATTGAACTCAAAGGTAAATATGAAGGCTTGACAAGTGCTCACTGATCACTTTTAAATAGTACTATTGCGTAACTGATTTCGTGTTTGACCCACATATCCGGATTCTTCATTTCTTTCTGAGTACTAAACAGCTCAACATAATGAATGTTTCTTACTTCTGTACTGTTAAGTGGAGCTGACTTGGAATATGATAGTAACGGATTAATAACTGACAGTACTCATAAGTGTTCAGCAAGTCAAGATATAATTGTTATTTCAGCTAAGACGAGGGCAATTTACGACCAGTTTGGAGAAGAAGGTCTTAAAGGCGGAGTTCCTGATAAAGGTAGCTTACGTACACCTAGACTGAGATGAGAGTTCAACAAGCACACATTAGCAGAGGTTATGATGATCTCATGCATGGAAACAAGACATATTAATGATGTGCGAATAACTTGCACATCTAGGTTTATTGGCACACATTAGCAGAGGTTATGATGATCTTATGCGTGGAAATAAGACATATTAATGATGTATGGATAACTTGCACATCTAGGTTTACTTGGAAACTGTAGATGTCTGTGTATTCCTGTGAAATAATGCTGAAGGGAATGGGGCATCTAAACTGCAAGGAAATTTAAGAAGGAAAATAGTGAAGAACTGACATAACGGAGACGATGCAAAAATAACAATGAAACATGTTTACTTTGTACTTATGGTACAATATACATGTCACTGCACCTTTTCATTTGAGTTATGCCGATTTCAAACCCCTAGAAATTAACATGTAACTGCTACTGCAATTCTATGGTACTATTTAGCTGACAGATGCTGAGACCAGACAAAGTTTTGGGTGGGCAAGATGGATGGGATCCATAAAAGTGCAAGGAAAGAACTTAGCCAATTTCATACTTGGTTATGCATATATAATGCAGATTGTAGGGAGGATTGCCATCAGATCCTAGGAATTAAAGAGTGTAACTTTAGAAAATACTTAATTTATTAGTAAATAATGATTTGTCCTAAAGATGTGGTGATATCTTCTTCATTGTAGATGGATGGACTCCAGGGTACACATTCCATGGAGATGCTGGTCGAGTTTTTAAAGAATTTTTTGGGGGAGACAATCCTTTTGCCGGTATGCTTGTTTTTGTTTATGTTCATGAGAAGAAAAACTTGCCATTTTGAATATGACTTTTTTTTAAAAATCTGTTTACTTTTCAAGTTTTGAAGGCAGAGGTCATGATTTATCTTAATCAGTGAATAATAAAATTATGATTGAATTACTGTTTTGTTGAGTTATTGAAAACAACATAGTATTTAAAAAAATATAAAAAGCATGATCTCATTGAACGTGTTCATGCATAAAGTGAAGTGGCCTGGAAAATAACCTCTGGTTTTACTTTCAGAATTATTTGACTCATATGATCCAGAAGTTGGGTTTGGTGGAATTCATGGCCGAGGTCGTCGTAAGCAAGATCCACCCATTGAGAGAGAACTTTACCTCACTCTGGAAGAAGTTTATAAAGGATGTGTCAAAAAAATGAAAATTTCAAGAAGGGTAAGAAATAAGAGTGTTGGCCAGTATTTACTTGTGCAGGAAGGAGCCAAATATCATTTTAAGAAAATACTTTAGTGGTGGGTGTTTCTTTTGTGAAGGGTGTCTCTGGGCATCTACTTCAACCCTGCAAAAAAAATCTGTAAACAATGAGTCCTGTGTATTGTGAAACTACCAATTGTTGATTGTGACATTTCAACTGCTACAGTGTTGATATGAGGATCTAGTATTACAATTCACTATATACGGTATTAAGCACAACAGTTAGCTACTTTTCATGTGTTTGACCCTCTCACTTCCAAGATCTGAGAGAAAATTATCACAACCAGTCGTATAGCTAAGATTTTTCAAACAAGGGGGTCACACATTGTCACACCTAGGTTATCTACTAGACTGTCCTGTTGACATCCACAAAATGCTGCAAAACTATGATTTATCTTTCAGATCAGCACTCTTGATCCCCTCCATATTAATGAATGCTATTCATTCAACTAATTTATTCTTGTGTTATTCACATTACCATGTTCCAACCAATGCTATAGCTCTATTTCTTGGTACCTGTCTACAAACCATACGCAACCCACATTTCCTTTTTTCCCTCTGATAAAGGGGTTAACACTCAAATTGTCAGCCTAAAAACTCTTAGCATTGGCCAATTTCTTTAATTATCCAATAAAACCAAATTATCTATATACAATTAAAAGACAATTTGTGTTAACAGGTGATGAATGAAGATGGGCACACATCGAATATTCGTGACAAAATATTGACCATCAATGTCAAACCAGGTTGGAGAGCAGGGACAAAAATTACATTTCCTAAGGAAGGAGATCAGGGTCCAAACAACATTCCAGGTAAATACTGTGTATCCCTTTCCTGCAGGAAATAAGGTTACTGTACATGAATATTATCAATTTCTCCATGAAATGATCTCAAAGGATGCAAAGTGTAGCTCAGTGATTAGATGACCAAACTGAGTTCAGTGTTTTAGTTCTCTCAGAACTGTCTTCATTGATTACACGAAACAGAATATTTCCACAAAATAAAGCAACTGAATGTGATGTTATAATTCTGTTCAATAATACAACTTTATTCCCTTGGCTTATTGTGTGCTATTTTCTTTTACACCAGCTGACATTGTGTTCATTGTGAAAGACAAGCCTCACCCAGTCTTCAAGCGTGATAATGATAACCTTGTCTATACTGCTACTGTTCCTCTTGGAAAGGTAACTCAACATATTCATCATTCTTTACACCCTAATACCAGTATGTTTATTCCCCATACTGTTCTCTATACATTTCCTAAGATGCTAACATGGGGAATTTACAAAAAGTATCTAGAGCTTTGTTAGTTGGTGATCATTTCCTTTATTCTTCTGACCTTAATGTATGATTCAGGGGTGATATTCTGAAGAGAAATTAGGTGCTGGTCACTCCTAAGGGTTAAAGGGTTAAAAAGAATATACCTTGTCACTCCTTGACCCTCAGTCCAAAGCCCATGATGAGTACTATTTAGGCAGCCTCTGTCAATAACATAGTTGGTGGTAAATATTGATGTATAGGTCAATAGTCAATCATTGTTAGGTTGATAATCTGCAGATTAAGAACTGATCAAGAACTTGCCAACCTGAAGACAATCAAAACTCAGTGATAGTCAGAAAAGGTCTCACTGTTGCTATAGCCGGCAGACATCTTGATAAAGCCAATTCTTAGTTGATTTCAAACCATCTGTCAACCATATTGACATATAGATCAACTATCCATCAACATTTCAACCAAAATCTGGACTGAGGCCCTTGTTAGTGATCATGGTCCCCAAATTTATTTCAAAGGCAAACAAGTTTTCAGAACATCAGGAAGTGTTAATTGTTAAGGGGATGCAGGGTTTCTGTTATTACTTAACCCCTTTAATTCCCAAGATATGATTGTTAATTCTTTCCATTAGCTGCTGCACATTTCCTAGAATATTAGTTAGGATAATTTGGTGTTAGATCAAGAGAACATTATCTACCTCAAAATTTGGGTACACTCTTACATTTTGCTGGATGATTTATGGGTAATATAGAGGGAAGTTCCATGTTAATCACTTCAGGGAGTTTAAGGGTTAATCTACCTTATGCAATGTGCTATCCACCCATATGCAACAAACTAATTAGATTTCTGGTTTAGTATTTGTGTGATGGTGGTATTGGTAACAACCAGTGAAGTACATCTTTTAAAAGCTGATACTATTAGGCAATTATCTCATGGTACCATGGATGAAGCGGAGTACTAGTCTTTAAAATTTCAAGACAAAATGCTTTTGTTCACCATCAGGCATTGACTGGCTGTGTAGTGGATGTTCCAACACTGGATGGTCGACTCATAAGCATTCCAATCAATGACATTGTTAAGTGAGTATTTTACCTTCACTTTTTTCCAATATGATACATTTATAATACTCACATGGATAAGTAAAAATAACACTGTGATCAAGTTAGCTACCAGTTATGAAATAGAAAAACACTTTTTGATGTGCATTAGGTTGATTTTTAAAGAAATATTCATTGATTGAATATAAATTTTATTCATTCACATGAGCACTAGGAGTAGGTAGAAAACCTGGGTTTCCCCGAGGATTCGAACCTCATGACTTGCTGAGTTTTCAGTCTGATACTTTGCCATACAACACCATGCTGGTGACTGGGGCATAACATCCTCTTTATAACAAGTGAGCTTAAAATTTACTGCCTTTTTCAATCTCTTAAATTTCAGAGGTCCAGGTTTAAACCCTGGCTGGGTCATTGTGTCGTGTTCTTTGGAAAGACACTTCCTCCCTCAATTCCCCTTTCCAATCAGGAGTATTGATAATTGGCAGCAAACTGTCAGGGAAATCTGACAAAATGCTTGCAGGTTACATGTTCATCAGTTCTAGGACTTAACCCCATAACAATTGATTTTTAAGAAAATGATAATATGAAACTAATGATGTTGAAACTGATACTTTTGCTTTACTTTGATTTCAGACCTGGCTATCAAAAAGTTGTTCCTACTGAGGGAATGCCAATCTCCAAGGATCCGAACACAAAAGGAGATCTAATAATTCAATTCAACATTGAATTCCCAAACCAACTCAACCCAGAACAAAAGAGAATGCTGAAAGAAGCACTACTGCTTCCTCCATGAGCTGTGCTTCTCCTCTTAATCATAAGAAAATTGTTCGCTGTACAAACACAGTACAGGACATGAACAGTATTTATTCAGAGTTGATAATGTTCCAAACTATTTCATTACTATTCATCAGATAGTCACATTGGCAGGTCTTGTTCTCTATCAATAGCAAACAAGAAGTATCTGGAGGTTGAAACCAAGCATTAGAAATTTTATATTTTGTAAATAATTGAAATTAAAGAATTAAACATTGTCAAAAATTCAAATAGTTGTTGTCAATTGAATCTTGATATAGCTTGGTCTTAACACCTGTACCCCAGAGGAAAAAGGACAAAACTAAAATTTCATAATCAAAGGCTACCAATGCCATCTCTGTTTGCTACCTTTGTTTGTTACATTCTACAATCATCTCCCCATTTGTAGGATTTTCTCAATTTTCCTATTGGAAAGTCAAGAAACCCCTAAGATGAAAATAAACTTAGTTTTTCCCTTCCCACCACATGTGCTTTGAACAATTCTGTGTACAATGAGATTGTTTGTACTCATAAAAACTGAAGTATACAATAACTTTTAAAGACAAGAATTAAAAGCCAAATATGTCTTGGAGCTCTATTTATTGAAACAAAAACATCTATATACTTTTCACATAATACACAAACTTTGTAGTTATATTTCTCAATAGACATTTAAATTAAATAAATGATTGTCATTTCAACTGTACAGTGTATGAGGGAAGCTAAAAGAAAAACTGCTTCCAGTCAGTGCAAAGTGTTTTTTGGGTTCAGATGCCACAGCTGATTCATTGTCTTCCATCTAGCAGCACAATGTTCTGTAGCCAGGTGATGGCTTTGCGTGTGACTGAGGAAAAAAGTTTTAAATACATATAACTATCAGAAAGCTGCAGAAGCCTTTTCTTGACAGGTAGCTAGACCATAGAAGAGTAGGATGGTTATGAAGGATGGAAGATGACAAAAATGAAAATGTTAGCAGTGAAATTTGGGTTAGTTGCTTCCAAAGGATGCACATTATGGTTTTCTATTTTTTTCTAAATATTTTCTTTATTTTTCTCAAATTGTAGTTGAATAAATCCAAAGTATATTCAATTATTAGTATATTAGTTCAACATGATTGTAACACTATTAACATTTTACATGGTCAAGTCCAATAGATCTCTAACAAGGAAATGTGTGATATTCATAACCATTGTCTCTTTTTAAACTTACTATTTCAGGCAACAACAATCCTGGCAACAATTCAAACTTACAGAGAAAGGAGCCATGGGTCCAATGTAATGATTATATCTCCTAATAGCTTCTCTAATGTGTTGAGGTTGAATACAATCATCACTACTGTATGAAAGGCTTGCAGCTGATCCCTGAAATACAAGTGACACCACTACTGCAAACACTTTTTAAAACAAAAAAACAAAGGTAGACCATTCAAAATTAGCTACTCTGACCTTTAGCTAAAGGTCTAAAAATCCACAGATGCGAGAAAAGTTTGAAAGAAATATTTTTCAGTCTGTATCTCCACCTATATATTAAAAAAATTAGTGTAATCTGGGGCACAAACAAAAAGCAGCTATTTATATATTCAGGCTAATGTCTTTCCTGGGAAGCCACTTTGGCAATGATAAACAAACCTTGAAGCTTGCTGTTCAACATTTCTGTCTCCTATTCAAGGGTTTCAACAATTTTTTTCTCAATTATGACATGCAGTTGTGACCAGAAATCCTAGTGAAGCCTTGAAATGGACAGTACACTGAAAATTAGCAATGTTATTGACACCAGCATATTATACACCAAACTTACTTTAATTTTCCTTTTTTTGCTCTTAGGTTTTGCTGGCACAGTTGCACTTTGTGGAGCTGATGAAATTCCACTGGCACTAGATACACTTGGGGTGGGACTCGGAAGGAAAGGGGTCGTGGGCGTGGTGGGGGTTCCAGGTGGAGTGTGGTTGGGAGTAGAGGGGGTAGATGTTGCACTTCCAGGTGTGACAACGGATGATTGGCTCTCTGATAGGATAGATACAGGTGGCATAGCTTGAGTCAACACATCACAGGCCTCCAAATCTTTCTTTACCAGTAATGCCAAGTCAACTATCTACCAACATAAGAAACCTGTCGTTATGGAGTACTAGTGGAACTTTAACATACATATAACTTGGAAAAAGAAAAGGGTTGGCATTCATCATCTGAGTTAAAATAAACCTAGGCAAGGAAAGTCCAAACAACATGAACAAGGCCAACTGGGGGAGCCAGGTTGGTTGTGCAAGTGTCATTAACAGGAAGACGACTAGGTGACTGATTCCAAGAACACCTTTGCATCATAGAAAGAAATGACCAGGATGCATCCAAATTGATAGACACTTTAATCTCCCCTAATCACTTTAGCCAACATATGGCAGTTTGCGACCTTTCCCTACATCTAGGCAGTTCAGAAAGCCACAAAACTCTAGAACAAAAATTTATCTTTCAAATCCGCACTTTCAATCCCCACAGTATCAGAGAGCACTTAATTTGTCCCAAGTGTCACTGTGTAAATACTTCTTCTGTCTGTACTTGTTAAGTTAAGTTAAGTTGTTAATTTGTATACTTTAGAATGTTCTCTGTGATCTAGATTATTTGAATTGTGGTTTAGTCGGATCAGGGAAGGGATCTTTTTTCGGGATATTTCTTTCCAGGATATTTTTTTTTACAGGGCTTATGTCCTATTGTTATGCACCTGTAATTGTACTTGTACGAATTCATTAAATAAATAAATAAATCAGCTTTGTAACTCTTTACAGTGACTAATTTATGCTATCAACTCAGTTGATAAAACTGATTACCCTGTCATTACAGACAGTTTGGTTTTATTAACTGAGTTGAAACTGTAAATTGGTCACCTTAAGGAGTTTCTGAAGCTGACATTTCGAGCGCTGGCCCTCAGTAAGAGCAAATGTCATTAAATGACAGGCTGGTTCTCATGTGATTCCCACAATTTTTATACTTGAGATATACACCAAGACCTCCTATGGTTGTGTCATACCACTGCAAATGTTATCTGGTGAAACTGTCAAAGACAGTATACATGCAAAGGAAATCGAGACTGGACTCTTCTTGAACCCACCTGCCCCACTGTCTCATAAGCAAGGAAGCTGAATACTTCCATCACTGGTGTATTGGGTTTCATATCAATCAGTGATGCACAGTCCAGCCACTCTTTGAATTTTCCTGCTTTCTTATCTTTAAGAAAAATCACATTAGCTATAAACTTCTGCACACAAAAAGAGAAAAAAATGGTCAAGTAAAATGTAATGAAACAAAAATTAATAGATGACATACATGTATGTTGCCCACAGAAGATGATTTATCAAGCACTGCTTCAGGATTTAGAAGCAACGCTTGACACATGTTAACCATGATTTGGATAAGAAAATATGTATCTGATACCTATACATGAAGCTCTTTCTTGTGAAAATGCAACAAAACACTTTACTCACTGAAGTTAGCCTGTCGACACTCAGTAAACTCCAAATATTGTTGAGGGTCAAGAGTTCTTGATAAACGTTCAGCTCTCTGAAAATTAGAAGGAACAAGTTGTCTCTAAATCCATTACTTTGAACATCAATGCAATTGAAAGTCAAAACATCAAGTGAAACTGGAATTTAACCCTTACAACCTAACATCAGTATGTATACTCTTCATACTGTTCTCTATACATTTCCTAAGGTGCTAACATTAAGTTGGTGATCATTTCCTATATTCTTGTGACCTTCATGTGTGATTCAAAGTTAATAACGTAAGGAGAAATTAAATGCTAGTCACTCTTAGAGGTCAAAGGGTTAAGCAAGGGAAGGCCCACAGAAAAAAAGTCAAACTTTCCATGCTAAGGTTATAAGCATCTTCTGGCTTAAAGATGTAAATGTAAATGCAGGGAAAAATATAACACCTCTAACTACCTCATTCCTCTCTTGTTTCAGTTCATCAATGTCATCATCCTCAAATAAAGCTACAAGGTCACCTGAAAAAAATTGTACACTATCAAGATTGTATGATGAGGAAAAAAGACTGTGATATAGAACTGTTACGTACAAAGTTTATTTCAGATCAAGACAGGTATTTTGCTGCTCTGTTTATTCAAAGTAGTCAGCACTTCAAAACAAGTAACCAGTAAAAATACTGGCTATTGGTGCTTCTGGAGAATACTGCTATAGTCTCATAAGAAGGTGACATCTGTACTCAAGTCTATTGATCTTCCAAGCTGGAGCTTATCCCAGTTTCCATGTAGCATGAAGTGACCAGAAGTACTACTACTCTCCCCTGAATGGGATGCCAGTCCATCCCAAGGTTACCCCCCCCACCATTTCATCAGGTTCCCCTGACAATACGCCAGTACCCATTTATATTCCTAAGTAGAGAGAGAGACAGTATGAAAGCTGAGTGTCTTCCTCAAAGAACAAAACACAATGACCTGGCTAGGTCCTGAACCTGGACCTCTAAACCCTTTAACTCCCACAAGTGACCACAACAGAATTTCTCCCCACAATATCAATACAATATCAAGCAGACAAGTCATGAGAATATAGCAAAATATCAATCAGGGGATTACTAACTGATTCAATTCCAAATTCCCCAAACTAATTTTATGAGAATCATATGGCAGACAGTAAGGAGAATCTCTGTTGAAATATTGGGATTGAAAGGGTTAACTGTGAGTTCAGTGTCCAGACCATTAAGCCACTGTCTCCCACTGCTATAGCCTCACACATGTGCAGATTTTCATGGAAATGGGGTCCCAGCCACAAATGTCAACAATCCACTTACCAGTTTGGTCTATCGTGCTCACAAAGTCATATGAAACCTTTCGTTTTTTGCTACCCTTGGTTTCACTTGCTGCAAAACAAAAAAATGACAGCACTTAATCAGCACAAACTCTTACCAACAATTCTTCCTCCCTAGGTTTTAAAAAAAGGCAGAAAACAGATATCCCTTCTTAATAGTTTTCAAGGTTTTGTATTGCAATACTGTTTCACCTGCAGCTTCTAGGACTTCATCGTCATCTTGAGAAGTTTGTTTCTGGGTTTTGCTTTTCACGTCTTTGAAATTGAGGTACTTGATTAGTCTTTTGAGTTTTTCCTGCAGAAACATTAACAATTTCTATAAGGGCAAACAAACTTATACAAAAATAATTAAAGGGCATAAGTTTCCAAAGAAACTGTGGCACTGCATGGGTTGGGAGTATAACAAGGTAATTTGGTATTATCAACTGAGTAGATGACTTAAATTAGCTACCATAAAGAGTTTCAAAGCTGACATTTTCAGTGTTAACCATTCATCATTTGCTCTGATGAGGGGCTAATGCTGGAAACATCAGCTTTGAAACTCTTTACAGTGGCCAATTTGCATTATATACTCAGTTGATAATACCACATTACCTTTTAACAAAAAAAATAAATGCTCTGATAGAGTGTTCTTGTCTACACATAGCAGGGTTGATCTTGGACGGAGGAGTCCTATTCAGTTCAATCCAATCTGAGCATTATAAGCCCATCATGAGAGCTGAAACTGTGATGCTGTTCTCATGTTAAGGAAACTCTTCATTCTCCTATTGAGTTATATTAATCAACTGATGAAAGTCTATAATATTTGCCTATCTTATACAACAAAAAGATTGCAAGAATTGAGTCAAAGAATGTGCAGCCTGTGAGGTTAAGTAGTGTCCAAAGAACCATGCCATCCATCATCACTCCTCCACTTACTTTGTCCTTCCGCATTAGAAATATAATGTCTTCCACACTCATGAACCTTCCCCCTCGCATATTTGTGACCTCTGCAGCCCGCACAACCTGTAAAATAAGGGCATACAACACTCAGAGCAATTTTTTAATCAATACATCATTTTTAAAGTATTCATAGTCAAGATCAGGCTAGTATGGAATGTGAATGGCCATACAGTATCAAAACTTCAGAGTATACCCCTTCTTAAATGCTCAAGGAGCTGTAACTCTCTCTCCCACCCAGAGAATTCTTTGAAACAGAGAGAGTGAAAAAATACTTAGGAGATAGAACAGCCTAGGGGTCAGTGCAGTGGACTTCTCATCAAAAGGTTTATTGTTCACAAGCATCAGTTTCTTGTGTTCTTAGACAGGGCACTTCATTCACACCAGTCCATCTTTCTAGTCAGTAAAATGGATGTTACCAATTTTGGTGAGAAACCTGATGAATTACTGAAGGGCACAACATGCAATGAACTAGCACCCCATTCACAAAGGGAGGCAATTCTTGACGTCACTTCTATGTCAAGGACAACAGGATAGGCACTTTGTGCAATAAGAGTCAAAATCTTCTATATATAACCTTCAACCTTGCCATAAACAAAAAAAACTAAATAAAAACCTATTCATAACCACCCTTCAAACTATTTTAAACTATATGTAAGATATGAACCTTTTGCCTCCTTTTATAAAGGAAGGTTCAATAGAGAAGAAAAACAGCAAGAAAAATAAAAAATGAAAATACCAAGCTAGCCATCTGTGAATGGACAATTTCTTCAATAAGAAGAGCTGATTCTGTTGATGGTTTTCTTGAGTCACCAAAAGCATACCTGGTGAAAAAAGGCACATTGTTTGAAAAGGTCTATAGTTTAAGTATTACAAGCCTACTGACCTGTTTCAATAGCCTGAATCCACTAGGAGTATAGTTACATCTCTAAACAGGATGCTGATCTATCACAAGTCCCCCCCCTCCCACAACTCTGGTTCTCCTATGAAATTCATCATGTTTCCCTGAGAGTACGCTGGAACACAATGATACTCCTGGTTCAAGAGAAGTACTGTATGAGTGCAATTTTTTGCGGAACAACATAATGCAGTATATCTTTTTCTCCTCTTACACAGGATGCTAGTTCATTGCATTTATACTCCTTGGTGGAGAGAGAAACTGTAAGAGTTAACCCTTTAACTCCCAAGATTTCATTAGCAAGTCTCCTTACTGTCTGTTATACAGTTCATCTGATGTTAGTTTGGAGAATTTGGAATTGGATCAACCAATAATCCCCTAATTGATATTTTTCTTTATTCTCATTACTTGACTGCTTGATATTGTAGTGATAGTGTAAGGATAAATTCTGTCTTGGTCACTAGTGGGACTTACAGGGTTAAGTGTCTTGCCTGAAACACAACAAAAGATGATAAACAAGCCAGGGATTAAGTCTGAAGCTTTAACTCCTGGGCAAGGTTGTTCAAAGCTAGGTTAACCCTTTAACTCCTAAGATATCATTAGCAATTCTCCTGACTGTCTGCTCTACAAGTCTTCTGATGTTACATCTGAGAATTTAGTATCGGATCAACTAATAATCCCCTAATTGATACTTTTCTTGGTTCTCATCACTTGTCGTATTGATTTTGCATCGATATTGTGAAGAGAAATTCTGTCTTGGTCACTCATGGGAGTTCAAGGGTTAACATAACCTAGGGTTAGTGTGAAATCTAACCTTATATCTAAAAGTTTAAAAAGAATATTTTAAGTTTAAAAAGAATATAGTAAAATTTGTTTTGTCCACAATTTGATGCCTGGACACTCTATAAAGAATAGTAAGAGGAAATTATCTGAAAAAGGCTTCTGAAGAAAGAAATATAATATAAGAACCCAGATCAAGACTTAACCCTGGGTTAGTGCTAATCTGCCTTCAAACAACTTTGCCAAGAGTCCCAGGCACCACCCATGCAGCCATCAAGTCTCCCTGTTGCTACAACGAGAGGTGCTTGCTTCATTTGCCACAAGCACTGAGCAAGCAGAACAACATCTAAGAGATAGAAGGTTAGTGGAGAGTTAAACCACATTACAGTTAGTAATTGAGTTAGTTTCAATTTAACGTTAAAAGTAATCCACATTGCATTCATTTGGCTTTAACTCACTTCATGATTGGTCTAGAAACCACCCTCTCAACCAATCAGAGGACAAACTAAAACCAATATTCCTTTTTGGAAAAGAGTGATACCCTGGGAATGCAAAGGTGACACACAAGTGCTGATGGGATTGTTTGGGGAACATTTAAATCTGTCATGTTAAGACATGCTACAACTGGAAGTTGCTGTGTGCCTAATATGCACAAAAAAATACAGAGATTCCTCTGGACTGACTTTTTATTGAATTCTTGATCAGTTGCAGTTTACCACCCATTCAACAGTTCCTTCTTTAATTTCCCATAGGGTTTTTGAGACTAATATTTTTTTGTTTTTCCTGTTTCTTGTGGTTACTTCAGTTCTGATTTCAACACACTTCATTTAAATGCACTTTAATAACCACAAAAAATACAGTAGCAATCTACCAATGATCACTGAGATATGGAGACTCCGTCACAACCACAGATAAACTGGGGTATCGTAATAAATGAAAATATTATGAGAGAAGAAACACTAGTGATTACTGATTTGTTAACTCTTTGGCTCATGTTAAATTTCATTAAAATATCAGAGCTGTACACTATTATCACCTGCAAAACCATAAGGAAAAAGAATACTGGTAATTGTTGAACCAAAGATATAAACAAGCTGTAATGTGTCTTCAACACTCAAAACATATTTAAAAAAAAAACATGCCATGATGTGGCATACTTTAAGAGTTTTTTTTAAAACAAAATTTTAAGTTGATAAAGTCACTTGCAGTAACAGTATTGAGCCACAATACTGGTGAGAGGTACAAAGGAAATTAATTTCACAAGAGTTCATTATCAATATCACTTCTTCGTCACCCAGAGTTGTTACAGTAACAACACTTGTCAGTGAAAGACGTTAACTGCTACTTGAAAGGGTCATTACCAAATGTTATTCAAAATTTATAGTTTCCCTTTTTTGCAGCCCCATCTCAATCATTACTACCACTGATCAACCTCAGCAAGAATTACTTTAGTTGAGAAAAAAAATTTTCAGTCCCTCCTCCCCTTATCTATTTCAACATACTAATAAACAAAATTCACTTTTAACCTATTCAAGAGCTAGGCGGCACATTAGCGAGTGTATTGTGTAGTTCAAGTACCTCCTCAACGTTTTCCATCAAAACCACATCAAGGTCAAAATATATGAAAAGATATAAGGGCTCCTTATTGAGTAACATATTGATACACGCACTCAAAGGTTTCTTTCAGAGAAACCTTAAGGCAATACACATACAATGTAGCAAACAAAGTGGAATGAAGAAATGCCCAAGGTATCTGATTCAAACTGACTAATAAAACAATACAAATGTTGACAAATATTCAATATCATATTGAAAGGGCAACTTAGAGAAAGAAGCCAAAAAAGTTCTGAAAATAGTGCAGTGTTTTCTTCTGGAGTACTTCTTTTCATCATGCACAGACACACTACATCAATATCAATCCTAAACAACAGTCACCATTGATAAGTTACAATATTATCAGTCGAATTATTAGAAGAACTATAGGAATTTGTAGCTAGTCTGGGTACCATCTTAAAACATCGACAACAATATCTGACCTCACGAGCTGCACACGGAAATACTTCAAATTGTGATACTTTGGAAATATAAATTTCCTACATTAGTAAAAATATTTGAGTTGTATTGTACCCAGATTCCTTCTGATATACCTTACAGTATATTTTGTAAAATATACACAGCAGCTCAAGTCACAATACAATTTCAATTGGTACATATTCATTAGCGATAAAATCTGCCAACTCCCTGTACCAGTGAGGTACAGGGAGATATCGCATTTACTCCCAGAAAAGCCTGATTGGTGGATGACACATAGCTAAGTAACAAGGTATATCACTCCTTCAGATATGATACTTGTTTCATCGCATTGCATCTTGTGTGAGGGTGATCTGTTAAGCCACAAACTTAATTCAATCATGAATACTGTGGATAGGTTAGGTATAGACACCCAAACAGCAACCCTTATTTGGTGGCATATTTGTCCACAGCTATCACTGTTCTCAGAGCCAAGCTCAGGGAACAGATTACGTCCAAGGACAAATATATAAGCATAACTTTCAAGTTAAATGGAGTCTATTGTGTTTACTATCCTACAAATACTTTTTGCAGCATGGATGTTGACTTTTCAGAGCAAAATAATGAACAAACAAGTTCCTCTTCTCCTGTTACAAATGCACAGAACTTTCCCAACTTCCCTTAACTTTCAAAGGAAGACTTTATTTGCATTGAACACAAGACTTTAAAATTGGATATTTCCCACTTTTAGCTGGGTAATGAGTAAAGGCTTGAGCCTGTTTCTTGTTAAATTTTGAACAAGTAGTAGATTTAAACTAAAATGATAGGATTGCTAGCTCTTGATTTCTATGAGTGAAAGCTGATCTCTCATTACCATGCCATATTGTTCATAATCTAATTTAAAAAAACCTTTGACCAAGGCCACCTACAATGATGAGACCTTTGTCCTGGGATAGATGGCAATACCTGTTGTTACCATGAAAAGCAGTGATAAGAGGGTCTCAACATTTTACAGAGTAAGCCCAACTTCCCCACTCTTCTTCCCCTGCTATCCTGTTAAGCACACCTCACTTATTCACTGTCATTAAGAAGGTCATTTGCACATGCTCAAGATTATTTGCTTGCTATCTTACACATTTGCTGCCAATCCCACATGTTATTGTATTTATGACTTCTAACAAGAGAAAAGACAGCTTAAAGAGGATCAACCTTTGCAAATTAACCTGTTTGGTACCTCAGCAATTAAGAAATCAATCTACAAACTACTCCCACAACAAAATAGGAAACCCTCTCTGCTTGATTGTCACAGATATAAGATTAACACTTCTCTAGGGAGTTTTTCAGTGGATAGTAAATCAGGATTCTCAAGCAAAGGTATACAAGTAATCTGTTCCAATTCTTATTGGCTTTAAGTTTATAGCCACTTCTACTCAGAAGTGTTTTTTTTTTGTCATACCAACCAATAAGAGTTCTTTCTTTATTCATGAGTGGTGTCATAACAACACACAGCAGTTTTTCAGCAAGCATAAGAAAACAACTATCAGATTTCACATGGATAGAATTATCATGGTATTGGTTTGAAGAATCAAAAAATGTTTTTACGCCTTGGCCTTTAAATTTTTGCTGTAATGCTTTACTTTATCAAATGTTTACTAATTAACAGCAATTAAATATTTAGATATTGGTAGTATGATGAAAAGTGCAAACACCACAAAGGTTAACCTCAAATTTGAGAAAATTATGGTTAACACCAAACCACTGCCATGGTTTATTCAGGAAAACCTTTGAAGGACCAAACACTCATTTTAAAGGACCAAAAACATTAAAATAAAAGCTGTTCTCTTGATTGCATGCACACCTGTCCACAAAAATAGTTATCACTAAAAATGAATTCCAAACACTACTTTAAAGACGTCATAAAATACAAAAAAAACCAGGCTAGTTTTCTAATAGCCTGGGTGATCTTTATGGTAATTTGTTTCATTATCCTTATGTCAAACAGAAGTTCATGTCATATGAAACACCCCCAACAACTTCGTAGAAAACTCCAGTTGACTTTCACTGAAAACATATCATTGAAAAGTTTGGCTGATTGTGTAACACAGCAGGACTATTTTAAATTTTCATTATCTTTTTGGAATTTGTTTAAAAAATAAGCCAAGCATAAAATTTAGTTCATGAGACACCCTGGACTAAGGGATTTGGCAAGTTGGCAACACCTTGTATGTTATGTAGTTAGTCTAATGAAAAATATTCTGTTTTCCTTGTAACAAAGATTTCTTTAGTGGACAACATTCGCATGTCCATGATATTGAGCATGTGCTCATTTGTCATAACAATCTATCATTTACAACTTCGTCCTAATGAACTTATTAACGTGTGAACTTAAGGCTATACTTCAAGAACTAAAAATACACAGACTTAATTCTTTCAAAAACCGACGTTTTAACATCAGCGAGGTCACTTAGTTATTTGAGCAACAAAGAGTAATTGGTCAACAATGACCTTACCGCAAATTTGCTTTTGTTCATCCGCAAACACTGTATTAAGAGGGCTAAAAATATACTCGCAGTTAAAATTACTCTCTAATAGACCTCAATTTACATGTTTCACGAGATTTGCGTCATTTGTCAACAAACAGGAGAGCCTTCGACCTAGCGCAGTTGATAAGAAGCATGGAGAAGCACTTGGCCCGCTTCAAGAGCGATAAAGAGATAACATTCAAACTCGGAAACAGACAATAACGCCGAGTGAAATTGCTCCTTGGAATTTTTTAGCGGCGTTTAAATTGTGCCCCTCTACACGTGGCCCTAATTGCACGAATCAGCTCATTGATTTAGTAAACAGTACCTTTCTCACGCAATTGTGTTCTCACATAAAAAGGTGCTTTTGCCGATAACCTCTATTCTCTGTAAAACCGCGACGATATTATTGTGGTGTTAATCACACTTGTCATAAACGCTTTGCGGCTTCTTCGTGGGAAAAATATTTTGTCAATTGTGTAACCTCTCTCGAGGCCACTACACTTCCTGGCCTAAGGGCTTCTTATTATCATCGACCTGTCAAAAATCGCGTCGCGGAGTATTACACGAGAAAAGGCTATTATTCAACTACACAATTGGCCTCAGGAAATCGTGACAAAACCGCCGTGTAATGCGCCACTATCAAACAATTCGGCACATTTTCGGCAGCCTTTTTCGCACACGATACAAAAACGTGCGACAAACGAACCGCATCGTAGTCATACACACACAGCAGCAAAGCCGACCGATATGCAGAAGATCAACTTCTTAATGCGATCATAAACACGCGAAGTGTTCGACCTCCAACGATGATGTGTTTGTAAACCGAGAGCATTGTTTTCGACGTGTGGTTGTATAGATAGGTCATTATCGAATCTACATCGGTTTAAACTTCAACTAAGACACGGCTACTAAACAATTATCTCGGCTTCGAGGTCATTGTCGCTTGAACAGACTGAATTTCCTTCGAGTTGAGACACTTGTCTTATTCATGGCAGAAGAAGGATTATAACACCAATCCCAAATAACTTTTCTCTCTTTACTTACATCATATTAAGAATTTCGCTCTGAAACCATGGCTTTGGAAGTCTGGAGCTTGGGGTCACCGGACTTTGCACAACAGCCGGAGTAGGAGGACGTATGTCACAAGCGCTAGGGGGCTGAAACCGGAAATCAATCAGTTATTTCTTTGAATAACCGTTGTATTCATCGAGTTCAAAATGGAATTAAATGCTTACGACGCGCTACAAGATCATGTTATTAGCTATACTTGTCACGAAATGCTTAACTCCCTTTCCACCCACAAGAGATTAACTGAATTCATTTGTCCGTAGGTTTTGAGACCTAAAATCTCATACAAAATGGCGGCTTTAAAAAGAAATCGCTTCCACCGAATTCGTAAGCAAACCTCACACGTTTTACTCACTCTGCTGTCGCCAGCGTTGGCAGAATTGTTGACCTCCTTCCCCTTTTCGCTTTTCTTGCTCTTAGATTTAGATTTCGTCATATTTAGTTCAAATTTTTTTACCAAAATAGAGCTGACAGCGATTCAACCCACTCCATCCGGAAATGACCTTCCTTTCCCATAATGCCTAGACGAAAAGCGCGCGAAACTTGACAGCGAATCAACAGAGAGGCGACATGGTAAGAGGGATGTAGATTTCACGGCTGAAACCTGCATTGACATGTTGATTACAAAAATAAATCGATTGATGATGACTAGATATCTCGGATTACAACCGGAATTAAGTCTTCCTGGGTAAACACGGTGGAATAGGCGATTTGTAAATTTTTCGAAGCTTTGATATTTCCTTTCGTGAAATGACTCACAGTTCAAGTGTTCTCGAAATTATTTTCATTATTTTTCGATATTAGTCATCTCCCTTCTTTCCGTCGAGTGGGAGCAAATTTTCGCCTAAGGGAAACTCGTGATTACGCATAAAGAGTCATTGACATTGAGCAATTTTACACATCTAGGCATGATTTAACATTAAACACTCAGCCGTTTACGATCGATCGCTGAGACAATACTGAGCGGACGGGTTCCCCGTTTGTAGTTCCCACGTGTTTCAACGAGTCCGCTAATTGGCGAAGGTTCGCCGCAGTTCAGTTCTTCAATGTCATCAAACAATGATTCTCGCGAAGACATTAAACCACAGGAACGCTCGAGAAATCAAGAGAGAATTCATCGGAATGCGGAGTACGTGAGCTCATTGGATAAATGCCAGCGGTGGGCGTGTGAGCTAGTTAAGTCGCCCGCCGCTATTGGCTCATCTGTTGTACATCACAAAAACGCAAAACAAGTAGGCTCAGCAGATGTCAAATCTCAGGGGAGTGGTTGGCCAGAAGCATTTCAGTTGATTCAACCGTCCGGTAGTGTGCCAAACTCGCCACACATATTCTGGTGGCTCACTCTTGTGGTTTACACATTGGAGAACCATGACCACTGCCACAGAAAATGCGGTCCCACGAAAAATTAGAGGGGAGCGATCGCTCATTGAAGCACTGGCTGAATACCCAGGCGAGCTCGTAAAAACGGATTCTCCGAACTTTGTTTGTAGCGTGTTGCCATCGCACTGGAGATGTAATAAGACGCTACCGGTTGCATTCAAGGTTGTTGCACTCGGTGATATTCCCGATGGAGTTCTCGTCTCGATCGCTGCAGGCAATGACGAGAACTTCTCGGCCGAACTCCGAAACGCGACTGCCGTCATGAAAAATCAAGTCGCGCGCTTCAACGATCTAAGATTCGTAGGACGTAGCGGAAGAGGTAAGATACGTGCCAACCAGTTCGCATTGACGCGTATTGTAAAGACTGACTCACTTACTGCATTCAGTATGGAATCAGCCATCTGGAAAACGACATGCACTCATGAAAACATGTCATATGTTATATGGGACTTGCACATTGGTTGTCAATTTCAAATGTCTGTTTGTGAAAGGCTTGAATGGGTTTAGCATGTAGTAAGTTGAATATTTTTTGCCCGGTTTGTTTACATCCAGTTTATTTTATTTTTGCTTTTTTTTCCACCTGTGCTCAGGTAAAACGTTCACATTGACAATAACGGTGAAGACAGATCCACCTCAAGTCGCCACATATTGCAGAGCTATTAAAGTCACCGTAGACGGACCGCGGGAACCGCGTAGTAAGTCCTCACAAAATCTTTCCTCATTTTTGGGTTGTTTGACAAACGTATTTGTGGTTCACCCGAGCTCATCGTAACCCAGAAGGTTTTGAAATTTTTAATAAGCTTAGTGTCTCCATATTTTTTCATTCATTCCTTTGATTTTTATTTTTTTTTCCTCTTTAAAATTTTTGGATAAAAAAAATTCTTCTAAGTGAAAAGAAAAAAATTTCGTGTATTTTCAAAGAATTTAAAACTCTGATTCCGACGTTGATTTGATTTTGAAAATTGATGTACAATCAGAGATAAACATCTTCTCCGATGGGCAAATTCATAATTCCTTGTAGCTTTTAATATCTCGAGGTATTCGCGGCCACAACAAGGCCATTCCGAAACATACAAGTCTGTAGTGTTTTTGCCGCAGTGGCCTGACTTTGTCGATACTGTTGAAACCTAAAACAGATAAAAAATTTGCGGGTTCATTTTGAAACGGGTGCTGCTATGTTGTTTAGATTCATGAATGCTGGCCGCCTTACCGCAAATAAACATACGCTGTGTTTAGATAAATACAGCCATCCCGTTGTCTCATTCTATGCCGAAGCCACGCGTAGCGGGGACAAGTGATTCAAGCGATACGCGGGAACATGATTAATGTTTAATTTGCAATTAATGATTCATAAAACGGGCGAAACCCATTGGTTGCTGCGTTAATTGAATTTATTATCGTATGTTTTGAAGAATCCATACAATACAGATGCAGGTGGCAGGGCAGGTGGCAAATAGGTTGTAATGCCATTTCACCTGTCTTCGCGAGGCTTTTAGAAATGCATTTGTTAATTTAATAGCATTTCTCTTTCGTCTTAATCAGGCTAATAAATCAGATAAAACATACTCCGAAATTGGATGTCTTAGAGACAAAGAGCAAGGCAAGACTAGAAATTGAAAGCAAACAATCAAGTGTACTTTTGGTGCAGTTCAGCTAAGGGTTTCAGCAAACAGAATTATGTAGTCAAATAAATAGAGTTTATTTTTAATTTCTGGAAAGAAACATATGTTGAAGTAAAAATTGACTAATTAGTTTTTAGTTTTGAGTTTTATCTGATCCTGCCCTATGAAGAAAGTTCAATTTTACTTTTGGTTTTCCTTTTTAATTGAATTAGGACAGTAATTGATTTACTTCTTCTGTGTATTTATTTCTGATTTTTTTACTGGGTGAAAGGCAATAATACTACATTTCTTGGCTAGGCCTCAAAATGGGATTTTTAGCTGATCTGCTTTTAATTGTCATTATTGATAGTTAAGAAAAAAATAGAACATAATTTCATCCAAAACCAAAATCCCTTAGTGTGACTTTCAGCTCTTCATGAGTCAATTAAAATTTCCTTCCAAAACTTGTCCAGATTTTTGTGGAAATGAACCAAAACCCTACCAGCGTCAACAAAATCTATATTTTATGGTGGCAAGGTCAAAATGAAACTTTTAACTTGAAACCACCAAAATCATATAGATGTCCAAAAATCAAAATTCATGGTTTTGGTTCGAGATAAACAAAAGAAGTAATTTGAAACTAGACCATAGCTATGCATATAAGCCTACTAGAAAATGACAGATTCATTATTGATTATGAAGATTTTTGTCACTGTTGGGTATTGTGTCATTTTAATATTTTATGACAAACACAGAAGCCCCTTTGGACAAAAATATTTCAATTAAAAGCCAGATGTTCAGGGAATTCAATATGTCTTTTGACAAAAAAAAATATTATTTACATCCATAAAGAAGGGAGTTTGTGAAGCTCAAAGAAGGATAAATCCTTTCTAAAATCAATCAAGTCATTAAATAATTTTTTTGGGCAAATCTTATTAGATCAATTTTTTCCAAACATATTGAAGTTGCTCGCCAAAACTGGCCTCAATGTGGTTTCTTTTGGTAAGGTTTAAGTGAAATATAAGAAGTTTGTTTGGTAATAACCACATATATAGTCATTGTATTGAATCTTTTGGAGTCCCAATTTTGCCTCACCATCATAGAAGTTCACCCTCAAACCACAAAATAGCAATTATTCTGTCAGAGAGATCAAGCTTGGAGAATTCTCTTATAACTCTCTATTTAAAAAAAAATCATGAACTTTGTCTCCCAAGCAATAAACCTACTTCACCAAGCAATACATTTTTTACCAAAAGTAACCTCAAATTTTATATTTTATATTTTAAATTCACTAAAATTTTAAAACCATTAAATTTCGCGAAGAAACCAACATCAAGCAACTCTTATCGCAAGATTTCTCCGTCTTTACAAAGACTTAAACATTTTTCCCAAATGATGAACATGCGACTCTCCTTCATTTGCATCCACATAATTTTTATTTCTCATTAGCATCTGATGTAAGCGTGGGTAGTCAGCGATAAAGGACTCACTTCAAAGCACGACCTTTCTAAAACCAAATTTTCTCTTTCTCTTATCTTTCCTATTAAATCCACCGTCTTTGGCATAAAATCATTTGGCCTACTTGTTAAATGGCTTGCAATAGAATAATTGGCCATAAGTTTTGTGTGATATTATGTAATTTTCTTAAACCGGAAAATCCACAAATTGTCGAGAAACCTTTTCAGTCTCAGCAAAACTCGGTGAATAGCATAAAATCATATGATTTAAGGTCTCTGATGTAAGAAGTATCCATCATTTACTCTAAATTCCAAAGGAAAAAGTTAGAAAAAAATCAAAATAACAAGATTCAACGAGCAGCTTGTCGGACCTTTAAAGCAGGAAAATTCAAACATTGATTTAAAAGCAAATGATAATGATATAGCTGATAGAAGATCTGAACATTTAATTCTGATATTTCAAAACGTAAACTGATGTATAAAAATCTTCTCGCTTCTTCTTCATGGCGACGTAAATTATCAAGATCGAGCTTGAATTTATCGCAAAGACGATTACAGATCTTCTGCTGTGTACCTCATGCAATGTTATAATTCGAAGCTAGTGGATTCTCAGCTGAACTGGGTTCTCCGATACCGCAGTTTTAATGTAATTAATAGTCGTACAAAGAGTCCCCGAACTTGGCCTGTTGATAATTCTTTTAGCGTCCAACTGTTCACACTAGGAGAGAAACGAACTTGTGGATTTTTCCAAGAGAGAACCACGCTGCTACTTAGGCTTCATTTTGTCGAAATTGATGAAAAAAAAGAGCTGTTCAAACCTGTGGTTGAACATCGTGCCTTTCCCTGCTACATTTCCAATTTTTTCACTGATTTTTTAACCCAGAATTTCATGGCAAAAAGGAACTATCGATCGTGACTGATTCAAATTCTCAATTAAGCGAGCAATATCCAGCGCTTTGCAAACATTCCTTGATTTTATACGTAGATTGTCGACAAAGTTTTCAGCTCTTCAGCGTTTTTTGTACACGACGCATTTGCCTGCAGCATTTTATAAATGGTAAATTTCCGTATAAGTTCTTCTGATAACCCCTTTCTTTTCCAAAAGCTATAAATAACCGTACTTCGAAAACTTAGCTTTTTTAATCTTCTAAAGACGTTTATATCCTCTCAGCCAAATGAAGCAATGTTAGGGATTTAGGATCGCGGTCATATTCAAATTCTGTCGCAAGGATAGTTATTGAGCGAATGAGGGCAACCTAATAGCCTTTTTTATTCATTGCTTCCTTCATGAAGGGGAGAAATCGCGGCTAGTATTTATAAAACGAGCGCTAGTTCTTGTGTTAAGGGTGAAATTGTTCGAATATTCTAAATACAGTTCGTTCTTTCCAGTTTAAATTTCCCTCAATTTACTTGCTAACGGTTGCAAATACAAGATGGCACTCGACGTGAATTTAATAACAAATCTTACCCTAGTCCCAATTCAGTACCGAGTCATGATTAAGGAATAATAACACGTGGGAATCCTTGATACGATTTATTTCGACTTCTGTGAATAGAAAGATGCCTCTTGGCATATTTCCCAAATGGGAGCTTTTTACACGCATCCAAAGTTACAACAACTTGGGCTGGCGTCAAGTTGCTCTCATGACAGGAAATTCATTTTTCTTTGATAGGACACAGAACCCGTTCAGACGAGAGAGACCAAGCAGGCTACGACCAATTTCATTTTTCAGATCGTCTCTCAGAGTTGGGATTTGAGGGCCTCCGTCGCTCTATTAGAGACAACAGCTTCGGCCCGTTTACAGAGCTTCACCCAGGTCCTTTGCAACCCGTCAAATTACCCCCGGACGGTACATCAGCCTTCAGCGCGCTCGCTCCCGGTAAGTAGAGCTATGTGTTAAAACCTTCATTTACTTTGTAAGAAGCTTTGAAAAAAAGGCCATTTTTGGAGTTTTCTGGTTTTTCCGTCTGCTATCAGCTTTAGAGGAATGTAGCGAAAGGGTGGAGGAAATGGTTAGACAAGGAACATTTAAAATCTGGTTTCCGGAACCGCTTCGTCATAAGCACAGCACTGTTTTTGTTTAGTTGAAATCGCGAGAGACAAGACTGCAATTTTTCGTTTTTTCCCAACTCTTTTTCGTACAGGCACGGTTAATAAGCTGATATCGTTTACTTTTGTTTAAAATCCAAGGCCATCTTTACTTAGCAATTTTCCTAATACTGGTCACCCAGCCATCTAGGTTTTTTTCACGATAGTTCTTTTAAAGAAATGGTTGAAACTCTTATTTGACGTCGGCTGACTTGCCTAATGCAACTCGTACAAAACGGAAACATTAACGCCCTTTTTTCCCGTCTAGACAACGAAAAACTCTCCTCAAGATCACACCTTTCCACAGTGTTAAATTTTTTTCTAATTTCCTTTTAGGAAACCGATAATTAAACTAACACTCTCTACTGGTGTTTTCCAATAGACTAGTGATACAACTGCTGAGGAGAACGAAAGCATTGATACCAACGTCTCAATAATCATTTGTAAAAACGGAATCTTTAAGGCTGTTGCATGGTTGAATCTTAGACCCTTTGTAAAGATAGTGTCATCAAGTGAACAATGTGCAAAATCGGGTACTCGGTCAATATTTACTTGACGGACTTAGTTTGCGTTCATAAGTGTCGCGATGGACTCCTCATTGCGTTCGCAAGACATTACCATCTAAGTGATCTTAAATCAGGATTAAGAATGTTCCCCTTTTCAGTCGTAAGATTCGGCTGCCTACAAGTCTTCATTTTAAACAATGAGGCTTCGATAGTGTCCTAAAAATATCCAAGGAGACTTAAATCAAAGATTTCAATCAAAACCAAATGTGGCTTTTTGTAATTCAAATGTTCTGGAATTGAAACAGTGCCACAATGAATCGGAAATAGGAAATGGCGCCAGCCGACGATCTTTAATGGATATCTTGAGCTGCCAAGGAAAGCTTTTTACTTTTTTTTTCTGTCGTAGTTCCTTTTTACCTTGAAAATGTTGTTTCAAAACTTAGGAGAGATCTACGTGCCCTCGATAACGTGCGGTAAACCAGTTTTGTTACATTTAATTGGAGTTGACTTAGCAAACTAATTGTTTTTGGTTACCTCTTATTATGTGGTTTGTATCCACTAGATTCAATGATTATGGGAAAGCTCGATATCGATGATCTTGGAGTATTCTTTATCTAAAGATGCCATAACAAAAGAATTTATCTCTTTTAAAACCGGAAAAAGCTCTACGTATCGATGTTTTATTCGAGTGCGCGCGGATAGCATTGTTCGATGTTGTGAACAAAGAAGGAATTCAGCTCTTTGCTAATTCCTAAGCTTTACTTCCATATTTCGTTATCAAAATAACCTCTGGAGGCTCTCTTTAGTATCATTAGAAACCTGTGGGGAGTTCGCTGTGCTATTCAAAACAAGTGCAATATGTTTTGTTTCTTTTATTTACAGATAGCAATCAAATCCGTTCACCGTCCACGTGGGGTTTCCACGCTGGCTTTCCGGGATTTTTAGGCCCAAATTTGCCGCCTCACGCTCCACCAGATGCTCAAGTAAACTTAACGGCATTAAACCCACTCTCAGCGCCTAGACCTCAAGTGAACTTGCAGAATTCGAGTGGTAATGTACCCATGCTTCCTCATTACTCCGAACCAAGATTTCAAGGCATAGCACAGTTTCCATTTCGTTCATCGCCGCAAGCTACAACGAACACGACTCTGACAACAGTATCAGACGGTATCGGCGGAGGCATGAATCAAGTGTGCCCGGCACCGCCCATGGATCCTGCTCACAGCATGTTCTCTTCACAATGCCAGCAGCTGAACACGTCTCCTGGAACGAATTCCGTTGTTAACAACTCTATGTTGAACAACAATAGTTTGCCCAATGGCATGGTGAACAATGGATACACCTTTCGTCCACAACCATTCATGCAACAAACAGCAATGACTAAGGTAAACATGCCAATAACTCAAACTACATCAGTGGGAGCTATCACGCAGGCGAACACCACTGCGGGGGTGACATTCCCCCTGTCGAGACCTGGTGTGATGCCCCTTGTGGGACAAAGCATGGGGGTAGGAAGCCCCGCTGTTACACAGAGGATACCGCTACCTCTTGGAAACGTGGATTTGAACAGCGTGGGTAGCTTTAACGGTCTGCCCAGAAGCGACGGGCACGGAATGATCTCGTTGAAGCAGGAGCCTATTGATAATATGTCAAATCACGTTGTAAATCACCACACAGGACTCGAGGTTTCACACGCGGACACGGTCCTTCACGAACGGAACGGTACCACAACGCCAAAGGGAGTGTGGAGACCTTATTAGCGAGTAGGAGTTTGTAGGAAAATTCTAGACAATGGAAACCATCCACTGGTATTTAAATTTAACTTAACATACGCCAAGATGTGCGTAAATCTACAAATTTTAAGGCGGATTTTTAGGTCGAGAACCCCTTTGTTTTAAAACATAGATTTCGATATCATAAGCCGTTGAACTTGACTCATTTTGGACCGAATTAGCCATGTTTTTTTTTAACTTGCAAGTCATTGCATTTAGACTCCAATCGCTCTTAAAAGTTTAATGAAAATATAACACGGAGTTTGATAGGCCCACAAATTCAGATCGTAGAAAGCATCCGTGACAAAATTGACAACGCACTCTTGTCCTTAAAAATTAGGGTGCGGATTTTAATATTCGCAAATTTGTTTCGTTTTCTTCCGATTTATTTATTTCTCACTTGCCTCCGGTGAATATGTGAAAACATTTGAGGCATAATCCATAATGAAATTAAAATATAATTAACTAAGCGAGGAAGAGTACCATAATATGGAAAGAGAGCTAAAGAATATAGTATTGATATTTATACACAAGTATTATTTGAAACCCTTCGGAAATAATATGTTTGAAATGAAATAAGATTTCAAGAATTATTCACATGCTGCGCGTGAATTGATGATTAAATTGTTAGAAGCTACTGATGCTGTACCTCATTGTTATTAGTAGTATTATTGTTTTATCATCATCATTATTAACATTATTATGACATCTATTATATGTGAATTTCGTATAACTGTACAACCAATTTCCATTTGACCGTAAATTGGTGTTATTTTTGTCCTTAAACGTTTATTTTTTTTGGCAAAATTGATCTGTTTGTTGTTCGTACCACTGGACAGCTTCTTGGCCGTTTGTTCTAGAATCGTGAAAACTACATAAATTCAACTTCAATTAACGGACAAAGCAACGCACCCAATATTACTGTTTATATATTTGCGTTGAAATTTAGGCCGTTAACGAACTCAATAATGAAACAAACAGTAAAAATTTAAAAAAATAAAGACCTACTGATAACTTAAGTCCCTATATTTCGTATTTTAACCGCGAATAAATTATTAAATTAGGCGAGGTGACGCCAATTTTTCATCGTGTACTGAAATATAAAAACAAACTGTAGTATCTAATAATTTTTTTAAAAAGTATGTTCGATTGCTAGTGGTATTTATTAATTATTGTTCTTGTGAAAGAAAGATTAATTGCAGTTAAGATGCAGGATTCTTATTGTAGTGTTGATAATAGTGACAACAATTAATTGAGGCGGCCGCAGACACCGCAATAACTTCGCATCATTAAGTTTGCGATTAAAGAATGACAACCATAACATTAGCAGTGATCGTTGTTGTAAAAGTCATGCATAAGCACTTATCTATAATCTTAGTGAATTAAATAAAACTGTTCGAGACCATTTAAAGAAACAGAATCTTGAATAAAAACACCCTTAGTGGTTAAGTAAGTAAAAGCGCGGTGATATTGTTGATTTCAACTTTAAACGGAAGTTGTTTTCGTTCGAAATTACTGATCACGCGATAAAATCATTCACGTGGAACTTGTAAGTCACGAACATTTGATGATCGACTTAAATGATTGAGAAAACCAACAAAACATTCCCAATTATATAAAAAACCAAAACCACCACTTGATAACAGGTTAAAGGTTCTATCTTTCCCATCGTTTCTGAAATATCGTCCCTCGTGATCGAGGCATTAAATGTTGCCCATGTCGCTTTCACAACACAAGGAAAGTTATATAACTTAGTGTTTACTCTTAATTCTATGAGAATTCTATGACTTTCTTCGTTGTATAAGCTGATTTGAGCTTGTTTAAGCCGTGCGTGATCTAGGGTGTTAAATCTATAATCTGTCCTTGCAGCAACACCAAACTAACAAAGAAGGCTATTATTATTGTCTCTCAGTTGGGCGTCAGGCCATGCTAAATTGTTCGTTACGGGAGCACGGAAGTATTGTTTTCTACAATCTCCGAAAGCGAGCTATGAAACATCAAACACTACTGCTGTAGCAAAATTGCGACGAAGATTAAACGTGAAATTCACAATTGCCATGACCTTCTTTTGGTAGCATTAAATCGCGCTATTAAATACTAACATGCAATCGTCTTGAAGTTGTCATTGTTCTCATTCCTGACGAGTAATGATAACAACAGATTTTCATCGCGATAGGAAAACGTGACTTGGGTTTTATAAGTTCATGAACCTTCAAGAGTGTGTGGTATGTTTGGAAGTGTTCAACAAGGAATTAATAGGATTGTGCATCTAAATTAACGTGCTTATGTAATAGCTGTTATTTGACGCACTCGCTTCAATGAATCCCTCTAGGTTTTTCCTTTAACAATTGTTTTGTCTCCACAGAAACTTTTTCCGGGAAGGAATGACTTGAATGTTGGCAAGTCACGGGCAAATTTTGTGATTATTCAATGTTGATGTTCATGATATGAAAACATTGCTGACCCTTTGACTGCTACGTGTCCTTTCGCGTGCAACTTTTGAGCACGGGACCAAAATGTTCTAAAAACGATCGATGAACTTCGCTATGTCTGATTGAATTCACTACAAAGCTTCTAAATTGCATTACCTAGTGATTGAAAGAGGGATACAAAGCAGCTTATGCTTTTGCGGGAGATTTTAAGTACAAAACTAACCGCCAATTAAAAGATATAGGCAACTAAATCCTATGGATAGCGAGGAGGGGGTAGTGGTGTCTTTGTCGTAAGAAGAAAGATGCACACTTTAATAAAAATAACACCGATATCGCTAGAAAAGTGCACGAAATGTCCTGACGGGTACAAAAATAATACTTAAAGGAAGAAAAAGGACAATAACAGTGAAACGGAGTCATTATGCTCGCTTTTGCCGACTCTGACTAAAGATACCCTCTCCACCCACCACGACAATCTGTTGTAACAGAATCGTGTTTGCGTTGAAACAGCGTACGTGCCCATGAAGTCCGTAAACAACCCGCTATTGACACGATAGACAAAGTGTCGCTGACCGCCTTGACAAAAAATCGCCTCACCCTATTGAGAAATGTCAATTATCTTTAAGCGCCTACGCTATCTTTGAGAATGAAAGGCGTCGAATTAAAATGTTTATATCTCTACGAAGGATTCCTGGCGCATCTTGACCGAATAACGCGCATTCTTTGCTAAAAGGGGGTCGGTGTGCTTGGACGACTTATCAAGAGTTGTTATTTTAGACACAAAAACATTCTCGTTATTTGTATCTGGTTACAAAAATAGGGGCCAAATGTGGTCAATACTTTGTTGTAAATTATATACTCTTTTGTTTTTAAGTAGAAAGAGGACCTCATTAAGCCCATAAGCCGATCGTTGGGAGGGGGTTTCAGGACTGATTCTCCGAGTTCGTCCTACGATTAATATTGATCACCATTTTGCTAAGCGGACGTTTCGTCAAGTTTTCTTTTTTCCGTTTCAGCTCTGACGACAGACGAAAGTGCCAAGAGACCTATGGAACAATTAAATTTGCTCTTGAGTTCTAGTGATTTTCTTTCCAATAAAATCAAGCATTTATACACATTGTCATCGATTTACTTAACTCTTTTGATTTGTCTAAGGTTTTAATCTTCCATCCAGTAGACTGAACGTTTAAATAGCAGCATTACTGTTCTGTTTCGCAGCGAGCAGACTAAGATAATTTTAGCTGACGTGGTCAGTATTTTTAGACAGAAGTTTAAACATTGACAAGAGGGAAAAAAAATAGGTGCGTTGACGTTGAAAGGAGTCTCCCGCCAGGATGGTTATGGGGTCCAAACAAGATGACTCTTTCAATGATAACACTGAGACTAAGTTACAATTTCCATCTGTCGTTGACAATAAAACATCAAAACGTGTGCTGTAAGTTGTGAAATCAGAGATCTTTTCGGCAGGAATCTTAAATGACGCTCAAAGTTTAGGCATACTTGCAGTCTGTCTGAGTTTTGAGTTTCTCAGTGATAACAACTTCATTCCCAATTTAGTATGTTGATCTTACTTTGAAATACTGTCGTGAATTTGGCCTACAGATATACAATTAGCATGTTTCAAAAACAACGCTCTAACAGTTTTTTTTTTAAATTCACGTGAGCATACAGGCACGAACTGTATTTAAAAGGTCAACAAATGTCACACGAAATCAGTGAATGAAACAGATCTTTAACAGCATGCAATTACGAAAATGGAGGATTTGTTAGAGTTCTGTAAGTGGCAGTCATCAGTGAACGAAGCTCAACAACTGTAATGGATAAGAAAATATGCGAAATACTCAATGAGCTGATGATGGTCCTTGAGTCACATTTCATATTTAAGATCGAACCTCTCAGATCCCGGCACCAACAGTTGTTTTCTCAGCGGAAAAATCATATTAACTAAATGAGTAAACACAGGATTTCGTACTTTGATGAAATGCTATTTTTGCTGGAGAACTTGCCAGAAGGATGCCAATTAAATAGGCGGAAAATGTTTACTCTGTAGCACCCACCATCGCGCGTCAATTATCAGTTTAGCCTTTTCATTGAACCATGTGGCGTTGTACTGTAGGCTATTCATTTGATAACCGTAGACAAAAAAATTGCAACTTGTCGAGTTTTAATTGAACTTTGTTATGTTGTTGTCTTTTCCTTCTTTCACTGTGCAAAAGTTCGAATCTGGCCGAGAGAGAAAAAGTCGCAGATGATCAAGAAAATATATTACTAAGTTGATTTTTCTTGTCTCACGACACATAAACAACAATACTTTAAGAAAAAAAAACAAGTGTAAGCATTCCAAGTTTATAGACTAACAAAACACAATGGTATTTTTAGCAATTTCTCACAGTTGTGCACCTCATGGTCAACTAAACCTTTCAACGATCACTGTAAAAATGAATTCCTTCCTTCCAGGATAGCGTCTTAAGAGAAAATAAAGAGCAAATTGGTGCTAATGACGGGTAACGTTCAAATTAAAATATTCCTAAACTGCCTGTGTGTGGTTTATATAAATAAAACACCTCCACAAACCTAAACAAAACGCATTATCCCCCGTGCGACACAAAGCAAACACAATACGTGTTCCGCCATGTTTGTTAGGTGCGGTTTCGACGTGAACGTGTCAAATGCCTCTTCAATGAAAAATTGTTTGCACATAAAATCATTGAGCGCATTTTATGTCAGTATTTGATTATGTCAAAAGTGTCGCACCGTATCCATCAACTCAAAGATTCATATAAAGGCTTAAATAATTAGAACTACTTAGGTCTTACTATATTGCGCTTTAAGTTGCCGAAGGAGGATGGAGCCAGTCACGTCTCATTCGATTCTGGAAAACGAACTGACGTGTTCAAACGTAAGTTCGCAAGGCCTGATTCTTTAAATTCGGAGAAAAGCTTACGCTACTTCATTTTAAAACGATAATAAAAGTATACAACCAAAAAACGTTGTATGACTTAATTTGTGAGAAAATCTTATGCCTCTTAATTCATCTCAAAACGACAACTGAATCAAAGTTGACGGTCAAAAACGTTCCATGTTCTTTCTTCTCGGAGAAAAAACTTGCGCTACTTCATCTTAAGACAACAAAAGAAGTTTACGGCCCAAAAACGTTTTATGTTCTATAGTTTTTATGTGGCAGTTATATCAACACAAAAGTACAACCTTGTTCTTCTCAAGATTGCGAAACTTTACATGGCGCCAAACAAGGACGCAAAACACGCCAAGTAGTCTCGAAACTTTTCGTTAGGTTGGACTTGACCATTTAGTTTGGCTGCGATGCTTCTAAATTACATCAGTAATATCCTCTTCAAGCTAATACAAAATACTTTCACTGAACAAGTTTACATCTCACATACCGTGAACTCAGTTAGGAAGCAATTCGTATGCCAATACAGTTATGGAGGCGCCGGAAAGTTGCGCTGTCATGTTTTAAAAAACTGCAGTTTACGCTGTGAAACATTTGATATAAGACAGAAGTTTTTACGACCCATATATTCCGGTGATAACGGAATCAACAAGTTCGTTCAGTTATCAGAGCTGTACACCCACTTCATGGCACGTTTCAAACTCAAACGTTTTCTTCTTTAGCTGCATTCTAAAGCATTCTACGAATTTCCTTGCTTGAGTGTAAAATCCTTTTTTGGCTTATCAGAACTGAAAGAGCTTTTCAAACCTAGCGCGTTTACTGGCCGACCAAACTAGTATAACGAGTGACTTGGCAGATCCTTCCATAGTAATTCTAATCTATTGGCCTTGAACTTCAAGGCTATTGACGGAGAACGCCTACGCAACCGTTAAAGACTCACGTTTTCCTTTAGACGACGCTTTCAGAAAACAAAAAAATTGAAACATTCTGATCGTTCTCGTTCGAAAGGGAGTATAAGCCTTAGGCATAATACCTTGCATTTGAATAAGGCTCAATTTTTCCTCCTTCAAGAGGACTGAATTA